AACGCGTTAACAAGACTTTACAGACAAGATTTTAGGACGACTTGACATTTACCCAGAATGCCAAAAAAACTAATCAGTTCTAGATTTCCATGCTATGAATCATCCCTGAAAATTTGAATTTGATCTACCAAATGGTTCACCTGAAAATGCATAGACAAGACTTTACAGACAAGACTTTACAGACAAGATTTTAGGATGGAAAATCCAAAATGGTTTCCTTGACATTTACCCAGAATGCCAAAAAACTAATCAGATCTAGATTTTCATACTAAGATTCATCCCTGAAAATTTGAAATTGATCTACCAAATGGTTCACCTGAAAACGCGTAGATAAGACTTTACAGGCAAGATTTTAAGACAGAAAAATCCAAAATGGCCGACAATTAAAAAGTGATTATGAGTTTTTGCTGATTTCTTTATCATATATACCTACTTTTAACAATAACATAGGCTTTTACAAGAAAGTACACCTGAAATTATTTATAAAGCTACTTAATAGTTAAAGTATAAAAACTCAAAAACACCATTCAATATGATACAAAGTATTACCGCACGCTAACTTTTCTTAAGACATTCAAAATGGCTGCCATGACTGAGTTAACAGGTCCAAAACCTATTCAGATGTAGAATGAATTGAGCTGAAGAAGATGTTAAAGTTTTAAAAGCAACTGTGAAGCCGTTTTTCTTTAAGTTTGCAAACAAGGATTTTAGCATTTGACTTCAAAATGGCCGACAGGAAGTAGGTATTGAGTAGTTCATCCACATCTGTATGCACTCATAAGTTATCCCTGAAAATTTGAAGGTGATATCTGTAGCGGTTTTGGAGATAACTGCCGGACGTACGGATGGACAGACAGACGGACGCGCCTAGGTTGACAATATGGCCCCACACTATGTGGTGGGGACATAATAAAAAGTGGACATTTTTTAGGCCAACCTTGTACAACAAATAAACATGTATGTAGAAATGTTACATCCTGTTCAAGTTCCAGTCAATCAAAATACCTTGTTAGATCAAGATGGTTCCATATGTCAATAAACCAATATCTACAAAGAACAAGAGAAAGAGAGTGGTCAAAAACCACTTTGTTAAGTGATGCCATTTTGTGCAAAACAATCGTCAAATTAATAATTCTTTTTCATCTTGAACTCAATTTTTGATCTTCCATTTTTATGCACAGGTAGAGGATTTGTGTTTATACACCTTCATATCACCTTGCCTAAATTTCCGAAAATTGACATTTGGACTTATCAATTGTTTCTTAGAGAATAAAAACAATGGAATATCTACATAAGAAAAAAAGAGGAAGTATCCAATGACTACTTTAATATTCTTTCTAATATAATATAACAATTCTACCAATATATGGACATATCTTTGATGGCACTTGAAGTAAAATATCAAGATGTTTACATTACGGATTACAAGGGAAGTAGCTATCTTTTATTTCCCTTCAAAGATGACATCTCATGTTTCATCCTAAATTCTACTGGTTTTGTTTGTAAACTGTCATTTCGTTAACTAAAACATCTGACAAAAGTATTTACTTAAGTCTGTTTCATGGCTCTAACTCACTAATTTCACATGTTTATTCATTTATTGTATAATTGACTTCGTGTCAATGTGTTTACAATGGAGAATGTGCACTCAAAGGAGTACACTGTACTTTCATTAAAATTATTTTGGCGCTTTTTAATTCAAATAGGTCATTACAATCAAACTGCACTATTGTTTCACAAAAACATATTTATGATCTTGCAACAGACAGTCCTGATTTCAGATATGATCAGTTAAATGGCAAATAGCAATTAAGATAATTGAATGTATATGGAAAGACTATTTACATTACCCATTACCCGTTTAAATACAAGTGAATAAATATAGTGAATAATCATGATCATAATTATAACATATATCATGAATAAAATCAGCTCTGTTTCTGGAAATGTGCTAAATAAACTATGGTTGGAGTTTTCACAATTTAAAGCTAACGAAGACATCCTGTTTTCATGCTATTATTAGTGATTAATATTCACACAGAACAAACTAGAAATCGCCAACTCTACTGAGTAGCAAATCCCAACGAACACTATAACATAATCTGTATTTGAGACAAAAATACAAACATAAGAGATATATGAGAATTTCTACCGATTTAATCATTTTGGTGACCATTCAAGAATTTCAAAGGCACAAATAATAAAGACAATATATTTGAGATGTAATATTTATAAACAAATATCTTTACTTAAGTGGTTGATAAGCCCATGTGGGCTGGGTTGTTATTTTATTACTTTTCTTTTGTATTGTACTGTATTAAATGATGTAAACTTACCACTGTAAATAACAATAAAACTAAACTAAACTAAACTATATTTGAGATCTAAGAAAGTACCATGTTACCCTCTAAGTAACAGCGAATTCCTGCTAGGCAGCCAATTAAAATTTTTTTAAATTCTCCCATTTTTAAAGTGGCAGCCATCTTGGAAATGTTTTTGTTTTTTTTGTTGCGTACAACTATACACCAATATACATTTTTCAACCAAATATGAAGAAAATCTGTCTACTAGTATTCAAGTTATCTTCCGGACGGAGGGACGGACTGACTGACGGATGGACGGACAGGCGTAGGGCCTTATTATATCCCTACTGAACTTCGTTTGTTGGAATAATAATAGATTGTATAAGTTTATCTTAACTTATGATATCTGTATTTATCTAGGATGTAATATGGTTATAGGCTATTACCCTATTAACAAAGACCTAAGAAAATTACAAAGATTAATACAAAATATATCATATAGATCAAAGGCTTTAATTAAACCACTAACATTTATGAAAATTATAAAGATGATTTAATTATGAAATTGAACTGGAAAAAAACGAACCATAAACACTACATTAATCATAATTTGCATATTCTTTATGATAGAGTTTAAGATATAAAGAGTTCAAGCTGGGGAATAAAATGAATCAATCTCCCAATAGCAAGTCAAATAAGGATGAAGTACCTTCAACAAGATACTCCAATACTCAATAATTGGCATAGTTCATCTACCTTTGTTGTTGGGTATTCTATGATAAACATAATTTAGCACAGAAAACTGCAAAAATCAATGAAAATGAGTAGACTATTTTTAAGTAATGGGTGAAAATTTACTTCTACACCTAAAATAGATCAAATATAGTAAATATGTGCGTTTATTAGAGAGAATATGCTATATGTTATGTTTTTACCTTGAATTGTGAGCTCCTAGACGACAAATTTAGTATATAAATACACTATTGTGTGTTATTTACATGAACACCTGAAGAAATTTCTTACGTTGCATGATGGGAAATCGTGACGTCATGAATCATGATGCATTATTTTAACGAATGGTGAAAATACTCTATTATCGCCCACAATGGTTTTTTTATTAAAGCTTCGTCAGATATCAATATTATCTGGACAGGACTTTCTAACCTGGGACAAAAAGTCGGGTGTGCGTTTATTAGAGAGTGTGCGTTTAATAGAGATAATACGGTATAGTAAAAAAATGTAAAAAACAGCCTACAAGCCAAAGTGTCACTAGTCCTAGCTGCCCTATTTTTCAAGATGGCTGCCACATTTAAAAAAAAATAATTAGATTTTCAACTTTATCAATATTCTCTATAGCATATTAATATTATGGTTTGTATATATGCTGTACCTAAAAAAATGGTATAAAAACGTTGCATACATATATGTATAAAATATAAACAATATTGTGCAAATGGTATTTGAGTTATTGCCCGGACAAATGGACGGACGGGGCTCTCTATATCTCTCCGAACTTCATTCAATGGGATAATAACTTTATTGAACATTAACACCAAAAATACAATAATATAGAGTTAGACTGTACAACCATGACAGTCCATACAGTGTTTCTTATTTATCAGTAATCAAACACTACTGAGGTGTTTTACAGAAACAAAACACATTAAGCTCACTAAAGCTCCCACTTTTGTAAACTTGGGCTGTCTATCCTAGAGTTTGAATATGAAACCACTGTCCTTTGCCTGTGTTACAAAATTCTAGGGTTTATTCAACTCGTTTCTATGGGTTTAGATTCTGATATTGATATATATTGATTGTTAACCAAAATATATTGAAGAAAGATGTGGATGAATCCATTTTCTTGTTTGGAAGAAATACTCGGGAGATGGTAAAAACTTTGTGAGAGGAATTGGCAGGTCATTACAATCTTAGTAAAAATGATTGGAACTAAAACACAAATTTTTAATCAATATTTCTTAATATCATGAATATTTCCCAATGTGATTCACCAGGAACTAGTAGTAACAAGGGAATAATTGCACCAAACACCTAATAACAGGGACTTTAACCATTAAAACTGTAAGTAGCTTTTTCTGTTACCTCCCAATCTCCATTGAAAGTAACATCTGAAAATCAACATCCATAACTTCTCAAATAGTTCTCTATAGTTCTTTATCATCTCAAGGAAGAAGTATATTGTGGTAAAGGTTCTCCAGAGATTGGCAGTTCTAAGCCAATGATATATTGTGAAGATCTGATAAATAACATAGCAAAATGAGATAATAAATAGTGACAAATATTATTGGCATGGATTGAAATCATGTTTTGTTCATGTATTTAAAAAGATCTATTAACTAACAGGGTTAAAAAGTACATTATTAAAAATACCTTTGTATTCATTTATACAAATATAGAATCTGCTTCCTCGAGTTTTAAAATCATGAAAAGATATATTTTGGTCTTGGAGATCATGCATTGCTCTAAAAGGATTTACATTAATAACATTATCTAATGTGTAAAAAATATCCTGGGAAGAGCACATCTGTAATTTTGTGACATATGTGACGTAACAGATATATGTGATGCAGCAGACATATAAAACCAAATGCCACATGACACAATAGAACTCAACTAAACCTTATCTTATGAAAAACTATTATAATTATAGAAAACATTTAACTCTGATCCTAAAATAACAAAACTGTGGCTATGTATGTTCAGCTTGAATTTGCTAGCAGTGATGCAATTACGTTACACTGTTTAATAGAAGGAGCAAAATCACTATCATAAATAATATTCTATTACATGCAGACATACGGCCGAATACATCTTGGCATTTTCTATTTTTATTTATTAAAACAATTAAGGCATTGCATAATGAAGACAGCTTTTTGAAGAATGGAGACATGATTTGAATTTCTAGTGATGAAAAGTAAAGTAAACGGTAATGACTTTTAAATAGCAATACATTTAAACTATTTCACAGATTAAGATTCTAAAATATAAATATAAGTTGGTGACAAATGTTTATTAATTGTGTTTTCTCTTATTTCATTGCAGGTTCTTGAATCAATATAAACATAAATCTAGGAAAGGATGACAGGAGCATCATAGCACATATTTTGGAATAAAATCTTCCATCCAGATGTAATAAGAATATAATTAGCAGCTGAGCATAGCGTAGCATGTGACAGTGATGGAACCACATCTAGTGAGGCATTATCAGGTTTGTCAAATGGGTACTATAAATATATGATTAAGCAGATGTATTGAAAAAGATTCTCATAACTATCTTATACATCAAGTGAGCAACAACATATAAAAACACCTCTGCCATACCAAACATCGATACAATGAAGTATTCCTTTAATCTGTCCAATCAATAATTTTAAAACAAGGTGATATAGCTCGACATTATTGACAAACGTCTAATTAGGATTCTGTCAATCACAAAGACTTTAATACGTAGAAGCAGCGCCACAAATGAATCACTTTGAAAGAGATATGTCATTTATCAAAAAGAGGAGTTAACACTGTCGGCTGGTGGATTAAGTTAAAGTGAATGCTCAAATGGAGACATGGAGCAGTAACTCATCAAACATTGGAGGAATGGATGACAGGATTAGGGATTTAGACAAGCTATATGCATTTATACTCACATTGGTAATTATCATTTCAATTCTGGGGAATATACTTGTGATGTTGGTCATCAAAGTAAATAAGACATTACATACAACAACATCAGCCTTTGTGTTTAATCTGGCTGTTTGTGACATTTGCTTAGCTGTGTTTGTGATCCCATTCAGCGTTATAACCCTGCTTTATGATCGGGAGTGGATGTTAGGAACAATTATGTGTAATATTGTTGCTTATCTCTCAGTGCAATGCTGCGTATCATCTATAATGTCACTGACCATGATCAGTTTAGAACGTCATACTGCTATAAACTATCCACTAAAAAGCACTTCATTACTGACAAAACAGCGGGTAGGATACCTCATAGTATTTATATGGATATTTGGTGCCATTTTCGCCTGTATGGGGTTCACACCTCTTGGGCCCTATGGGTTCTCTCCAGGGAAAGCCAACTGTGCCCCCCTGCCATATAGTATCCCACTGCTCACACTGGCGGTCTGTTTGCCCATGTTTACAATGCTCGTGATGTACATAGGCATTTCTAGGACTGCCATGAAGCAGGCAAAGAAAGGTACGCTTGTTTGTGATGCCAACAACTGCCGATTTGTCTCAAATAAGAAAGGAGAAATGAAAGCTGTGAAAACACTGTGTATAATTACAGGTAAGATTCTCACCTCACTTCCATTTATTAACAAGTTCACATAAGTTAGCTGGGACAATTTTGGTACCCTTGAAAGCCTGAAAGGTCTGTTGAAAGATGGTCAAAAATAATATTCAGGTAGATGCTAAATAAATCATTTATTGGTTTTGGAGTAAAAAATAATCAAAAATGTGTTGTCTGTTTGTGATCTTCAAACATCGCCCTTGTGCTTTTAAATTAATTATGATAACCATAAAATCTGAGCTTATGTATTCTAGTAACCTGCTTGATTGAAATGAGGTCACACAGACAATGCATCATTCTAAAGAACAATACAGATGTCATTTGTCAGAGGAGTTATGCATCTCATGTATACTTAGTATTAATAATTCATAGTAGTTGCAGTAGAAATTCAAGTTGTTATTTTGATGGCATATTCATTATCAAATTAAAATGATTTATGCAAAATGATGTAAATGAAAAGGTTGGTAATATACAAAAAAATAGTGACTGCCATTGAGGGAAACAGTGCAAAATATTTTTCCCGAGGAAATATCCTTTTCATGTGTCAGTGGACAGGATATTCCCGAGGGGAAGATTTTTATACTATTTCCCGAAAATGTGGCAGTCACTATTTGTTTTACTATATACCCCATATGTATTCTGTAAACAAAAACAAAATGAGAAATCTTCATTTCAACATTTAATGTATACAGGTTCTTATTGGCATTTAACTCTTAAATGATCAAAACCAATAAAAAGTTTCAGATTTTCTTTGAAAAATGTGACTGTGTGTTTATTGATATAGAATCCTATAGAGCATCAGAAAGCTCATGAAACTATATATTTTCTATCAAGCTGATAGATATCACTTAAAAATCACTATCGTGCTGATAGAAATACATTTGAATTAAAAAAGATATATAAGAACACAAAACTGTATATAGGAAGGATATACACTTATTATGTATATCCTTCCTATATACACATTATTATTAATATATACAATTGCTATACTAAAGAATTGTATATGATTATATAAGTACTTAATAACAAAGCCATTAGATAATGAAATATCCTGTTTATTTTTGAATTCTTATGTGTATGTTAGGGAATATGTGAATTGAATATATAACAACTCTAATAGAGTAATAGTGCAATTTTCAAGTGATTTATGCCGCTGTCACATGTATCTGAAACGTGAGTTGATAATAATATCTTTTCCACTCATAAGAATCTTTCTGGAAATATTACATAGCTTGTGGATGCTTTTTCTTGTTCTTAAAATGCTGATTTTACTGTAATGTTTGCACCAAAAAATGATTGAAGAAAATAATTTTCAGGAATTCAAAAACATAAATCATTAAAAGTAGGCCCATCACTTACAGATCATTAATTACTAATATACAAGTAACACATTTACATAATAGGTATACATATGTAGGTATACATATGTATACAAATATGTACTGTAGTCATGGGCATTCAATAGAAAGACAATACTTAAGAATTTCCAACGAGTGTAGCTACGTTATATTGAAAGTAACAGGCTAAGGATAGAACATGTGATATTTACCCTGACCATATAGATGAATCTATCTTGAACCTATTTCACAACTTCCATAAAGCCTGGCTTGAATTCATCTTATACAACTATGTGTATAACTTCAAATGAATAAAACATTTTACAATGCCATTATGGCATCACAATTACATATGATTTAGAGTAATGTTTAGTTAGTTGGTCTTTAGAGAATAAATAAAACTGATATAATCATGAAATAATATAATATACGAATGATATTACTTACACACCTTACATTACTAAATACTGATTGATAATAAGTATTATTATTAATTTCATATTATATCAGCTGAATTAATTATGAGATTGGAACATGTGACACACTAAGTCAGGTGTCCAGCTTTTACTATAGAAAGAAAGAAATTATAAGACTACATGAGGAAAATTATCTAATTTCCTTACTGCAACAAGGTTATTGTGATCATTGAGTTAATTTTTCAATTATCCTAATATTCATCCTCTCACCCACAGATGTCTCTCTTATGAAATACATATTCTATCATTATGACTCAATTGTATGTCATGTCTTTGGGTTCAGTAAAAACACAGAAGTGATTTACAGTCTTTAAAAGAAATTTCTCATTAATTATTGTTACAGGTATTAAATTAATATTTGTTATAACTTATAGCTGGGTATTTTATAATACAGCCTATTAATGGTATGGTATATTAATTTATGAAGAGAATGATATGCATTTATGATAACTGATAAATCAACTGTCATGATTTCTTATGAAACGATGTTTACAAATGTTACAACTCAATTCCAGTATAAGTTGGTATGTAATAGAGAGGTGATATCCTCAGCCTAACATATCTGTATTATGATTTCATAGAAAATGTGGATTTTAAACAATTCAAAATAAGTAAATATCCAAAGTATCTTCAGTGGGTTTTATGTTATACAATATCAGTGGCATCCTGGTAAATAAAAGATAAAATAATTAAGATGTTCCTAAGAAAAATACCACCTGGAGAAACTTGTTAAAGCAATAAATTGCATTAATATGCTGTATTCCCATGTACATTGTATATACAAAGGGATTGTTCCAATTTTTGTGGGCTCTAAATACATGTATGTGAGATGCTAATGAACTAATTTATTCCAGAATGTGAGACAGCCATATTTCTCTAGTGTTGGCCCCTCATGTCTTGACAGACACTGGATTATAATAAACAACCCAGCTCCTTTCTAAATAGAATGTGTTAAGTACAATAACTGGGGATCACATTCAGTTGACCTGTGAAGTGAATAATGCTTGAAATTGATCTAAAATTCATAGACCTTAATTAGTTTCCTGTTAATCACTTCTCACAATACACTTGTTCGAGAAATTGTTCTTCATGAAAACATGGTTACCCTAATGCATTCCTGTCAATTCCATCTCCCTTAAACTAGAATGGATAACTCTTGGGACATTAGAGACTAAGTACATTGTTATTTCATCAATGCTTGAGAGTTTTCTTGAACTTGGAAAACAGACACCTCAGTTATCCAACGTGTGTTCATTGTATGTGTTGATTTTAACAAGGCACTCAATAACTGACGAAAATAGAATCCATTGATTGTTATAAGTGGTTTGATGAATAACTATTCTACACAACTGTGATAAAATTACACCTCAAAGAGGTTTCAACAAAATGTCTCACAACAGGCAAAAATAATGAAATAAGATATTATAATTCAATTAAACATGATAACAGTTGTAAAATTCTTAAACACAACAATAGACTTAAAATGGCCAGAGAGATTTGCCTGTTGCCTGCTACAAATGAGAGCTTCTCATTTCCACCTCAAAGTATTCAAGATCTTACAATATTTTAAAAATTCAGAGTATAAATTCTAGCTTTTCTATTACAATTCTGCAAACAAGCTAGAAAAATCATTAGCATTTTTGTCAAGCTTGTAAGTGAACTTATAAATAACCTGATAAATAAACTCAAATCTGATTAATTCAGAACTTTTTAAAACTAGGAAGTATAAGACATTGATGAGCAATTAGATCCAGTATCTTTCTTGTTTTTATAATACTGTATTTTATCCAGCTGCCATAGATGGATGCCCAAAAATAAATTATCTTAATGCAATGCTTTAAAATGAAAATTAAGTGGAAAATAGTGAAATTTGGCAAATAATAAACAGAAAATGATCATATAGAACTGTAAAAAATGTTATAATTCTTTCAAACTTAACAAAGAAATATGAAGATGAAAGAAAATATGCTAAAAGCTGCTCATCTTATACATAAGTGACAAGAAAGTAATCTCTAGAAATAGCTTTTATAGCTGATAGAAGGCTTTATGTGATTTATTCCTAATGCAATGTTAGATTGTCGCAATATTAAGATCTGAAATGGTCAAGGTATTCCCACATTTAATGGATTGGTCACATTGACCTACAGTAGAATTTATACCTCATAACACTGGTCTGTGCAGGGCCTTTATTTCTAAATATGAAATACAACCAACAAGTCTTAATTAGATACAATGTACTGTATAAGTGGTAAATTTGCCGAATGGTCAAATTTTATCATTTTCCTAATTTTAAGTTTCCTAATGGCAAGAAACTTCCCATTGGATTACATTATGAAGATTATATTTCCGACATTTAATTTTCTGAACCCGGCAAAAATTAGGCAATAGGCAAATTAAAGATTAGGGAAAATTAGCACTTATACAGTATCCAGCTGTAATAATATCTCATTCCTGATTCTAGATAAAATGACTCAGATGACTGAAGAATAAGAATTATTTTCAACAAATCAAGAACTACATATTTTTTATCCAATATCCATACTGACAATTTTGCTTTGCATGTGATTGATACTTTCATAGATGAATGGCATTTTTGTTTCTGCTATACTTTTCACATACTTCTGTCATTATAATTAAATATATGTATTTTACTTTTATGATTACAGGTGTGTTCTTTCTGTGTTGGGCACCATTTGTTATAGTGAACATGATCTCTCTCAGTCATAACATTTCCTATAATATGGACTCAGTGACACAATGGCTGCCATTCCTCAGCACATCTCTCAATCCATGGATGTATTCCCTGCTAAATCGCTCATTTAAACGTGGAATGAAAAAACAATGGCGGAAAGTTAAGGATCGTTTCCGTAGTATGAAAGTTAAACCAGCGGAGAACAGCGTTGAAGAAAATGCAACAGAGCTTAAAACTAAAGCCAGACCTACATTGACACCAGTGACAAATTTACATGAGAAAAAGAATGCTGAGCTAAGTAGTCCTTCAAAAGATAAAAGCAAGACTGGAAAACAAGCTGGGATCAAGGTAAAGGAGATAGAAGCTGACAATGTAACGAACATTAACATTATATCTGATGGAAAACTTGAATGCTGAATATGATGAACATCCAAATGGCTATAATTGTTATATCTCTAGTGTTACCCATGATTGAAATGCCTTGGCGGGCATGTTTTGAAATGAAAAAATGCTCAAAGGGAGAAAGAGATATGAGATATTTCATTCAGTCTAGTAAGTAATAACATGACAAATTAAATAACATGGAGATAAACTTGCTCAACCCTTAATGTATAATGAATGAATGCATCCCACATATATTTTCCCAGCTGTTTATTTAAAACAGTATAAACTTGCAATGTATTCAATGTAGTAATGTTATGTATGATGAAGTTGACCTCCATATTGATTTTGGAGATGTAATACTGTTTCTTGATCAAAAGACACTTTGCTAATCGAGCCTTTGCAATAAAGCTTCTACTAATTGCATTAGGCAGGAGTCTCGATTTTGATTCTTGAATTTTCTGAGTTCACTTGTTAACTAACAGTGATCATGTGACTATTTATACCACTGCAACATGATCAATTGTAATAAAGCAACTCGTTAAAATAGCAAACAGATCATTAGTCACTATTGGTTGCTGCTAAAATGGACAGATTAAACCATGATGTAGATAGGATGTAACTTCCTTCAGTATTGAGCTAGAAGCTTCAAATAAAAAAAGCATTTTAAAGCTCTTTTCTTCTTATATCTCGTGGTTTTATTTTTATTGGTTATGGGGCTACGCCTATAAAATCCACACATTAATATGAGACTTGTGTCAGTTTTATGCAAAGAGTGAAGTATCTCGCATGATCACCACTTATCCATCTTTATAGCAACTGTTTAGCGTATGAAGGTATCACATGTCACACATGAAGTAAATGAAAAATACAAATAAATAAATAATAAAAGCTGCATATTGTACTTGAACGAACCTTAACTTCTTATGTGAATATATAATAAGCAAACCTGATAAAAGTCTTTAGACCTCACTATCAGGCCTCCTAGACTATCATTGACGCGAACATCAGTTCTGAACATAGTTTGTGAGGTCAAAACTGATGTTTGTATTTTGATGGAAGTCTATGAGGCAAAATAAATGAAGCAAAATATGGAAAACCAAAAAATCTGGCCAGAGCATTTTCTATGAATCTGTAAATTATACCTACTATAACAACTAGATCAAATCATAAATATTTTTTACAATAGTAAATAAGGAATGATGAATGACAACACATGTTTTATTCTATAGAAAATAACTTCTGAAACAAAAAGCAAATTATATAGTCAAAAGTGTCATTAGACAGTGTGCCATGCTTATAGTATTCATACACCAAATACAGTATGAACACATTCGCTCCACTACTTCTTGAGTAAAAAAAAAATAATCGTAAAATAACGAGTAAAGGCAGCCATTTTTCAAGATGGCTGCCATGTGCTTCTTTAATATCTATATTTCTAGCTTTATCAATGTCCTATATAATTTTTTTACATTTTACAGTTTTACATATTGCACCTAAATTACTGTAAATTCAGCACTTAAATGACCGCCATTTTTAAATGAGCGGCCATTTTGAAAATCGGCTTTCGAGCAGAACTTCTTCCCCCGTAGGGTATATGTGTACAAAATATGAACAAAATCGGGCCAACGGTATTTGAGTTATTGCCCGGACAGACGGACGGACAGATGGACGGACAGACGGACGGACGGACGTACAGAGGCGTTCCCTATATCCCTCCGAACTTCGCTCGATGGGATAATTATAAAGATAGTAACCTGACTTTTGAAAATGTCACTGCCACTTCCAAGGTCTTCCAAGTTAAGTAATATCATGCTATTAAAGAAGAGAAAATGAATGTTGCATGAGGTACAAGCCCAACATGTGCTCATTGAGAGGACTAATCTGCAATATTCATTTATATTCAAACATATTTCAAATTAAAATTGCTGCCTATAAATTTACAAAGAAACATCCTTGAACATTTCAAATAAATCCATCAAGAGGTACATCTTTATATGTGCAGACAAAAAAGCAGGAAGCCCCAGGCCACTAGCCGAAATAGTCATCTCTGATAATGATGAGAAATGAGCAGTGAATTGAAGTCATTAATGATCAGGTGTTATATGAGTCACCTCTGGAGGCGTACACTGTGCCTTACATAACATCATCACTAAGTAAAACGTGCCAGCCATACGAAATACATTCAGTCATGTAGGTTATGAAAGAATGATCGCAACAATCTGATTGGTCCAGATGCTCCTAGTAGTAGGTTTACCATGATGCAAATGATAGACATGAAGAAGGGCTAATTTAATACCTCAATTTCAGAGTGCTGGGAAAACATATTTTCATGTATAAATATCAATTCAGAATTTAACAACCATGCAGTTATGCATTATCATATAATAGGTTATTTCAGGATCAAGCAACTGTGCCCAACTTGATCATTATGATACATCTGAATTCTAGGAAGTCATGTTCCAGTTTATGTGGGAATATTCCCAAGAATTGTTAAATATGCAAAACATTGATTATTATGTTTGACTGTTTGGAATTGGAATATGAAAGTAAAGGGCAGAATTTCAGTCTGAAACATTAAGGTAACTTGAAATAACTAAGAATAAATCTTAACAAGGCACAGACGTGAACAATATCGTACCTAAAACACAGCATTGTGGTCTTGTTGACCAAGAAAGCAAGATGGCCGCAGAAAAGTTTATCAGCTCTAGAACTTATCACTGTGTAACATATGTTAAAATTTGAACGGTTTGGCTTGAAACCTGTAGACAGGTCTTGAAAGTGAAGATTTTAGGACGGAAAATCCAAAATGGCCACCTTAAAATTTACCCAGAATGCCCAAAAACCAATCAGTTCTTGACGTTGATATGTAGAAACATCCCTGAAAATTTCAGATGAATCCCTCAAATGGTTTGGCTGAAAATCTGTAGACAAGTCTTGAAAGTGAAGATTTTAGGACAGAAAATCCAAAATGGCCACCTTAAAATTTAACCAGAATGCCCAAAAACTAATCAGTTCTTGATGTTGATATTTAGAAACATCCCTGAAAATTTCAGATGAATCCCTCAAAAGGTTTGGCTGGAAACCTGTAGACAAGTCTTGAAAGTAAAGATTTTAGGATGGAAAATCCAAAATGGCCACCTTAAAATTTACCCAGAATGCCCAAAAACTAATCAGTTCTTGACGTTGATATGTAGAAACATCCCTGAAAATTTCAGATGAATCCCTCAAATGGTTTGGCTGAAAACCTGTAGACAAGTCTTGAAAGTGAAGATTTTAGGACGGAAAATCCAAAATGGCCACCTTAAAATTTACTCAGAATGCCCAAAAACTAATCAGTTCTTGACGTTGATATGTAGAAACATCCCTGAAAATTTCAGATGAATCCCTCAAATGGTTTGGCTGGAAACCTGTAGACAAGTCTTGAAAGTGAAGATTTTAGGACGGAAAATCCAAAATGGCCACCTTAAAATTTACCCAGAATGCCCAAAAACTAATCAGTTCTTGACGTTGATATGTAGAAACATCCCTGAAAATTTCAGATGAATCCCTGAAATGATTTGGCTGGAAACCTGTAGACAAGCTAAAAAGTGAGACCCGGCCGCCGCCTGCCCGCGGCCCGTCAAGCTGACTTCAATATCGTACCTCTTGTTAGGTACGATAAAAAGTTAGAACCATAATACATATATACACATTATAAAGGCACTTAAATTATCACTGGCTGTGTTCATTCTATGTTGTCTTATTCCAATCTTTACCTTCAATTCCATTCCACTGTGGCAACCAGTTTCAAAACAATTTCATAAGAAACCATTGAATAAATTGATGTTTTGTTGAATTACTTTACTTATTTTGAATTACTTTGTTGAATCACTTTGCAACCCAGCAAACCATTGAATACATTGTTGTTTTATGAATAGCATATCACTTGACAACCCTGATTTAAAAACAAATCATTGGATACTCTGATGTTTTGTTGATGTAAATCACTTGGCAACCCAACAAACGATTGAATACATTGATGTTTTGTTGAATTAAAACACTTGGCAACCCAGCAAACCATTGAATACATTGATGTTTTATGATCGGCATATCACTTGACAACCCTGATTTAAAAACAAACCATTGGATACTCTGATGTTTTGTTGATGTAAATCACTTGGCAACCCAACAAACGATTGAATACATTGATATTTTGTTGAATTAAATCGCTTGGCAACCCAGCAAACCATTGAATACAATGATGCTTTATGAACGGCATATCACTTGACAACCCTGATTTAAAAACAAACCATTGAATACTAGTACACTGATGTTTTCAAAACAGCTCATCACTTGGCAACGTAACAAACCACTGAATACATGGATGTTTCTAAAAAAGCACATCACTTGGCAACGTAACAAATCATTGAATACATTGTTGTTTTCTTGAGGCATATCACCTATCAAAGTGTCAATCCAGGTTTCAAAACAAACAGTTGAAGAATACATTGGTTTTCTTGAGGTATATCACTTGGCAACCAAACAAACCATTAAATACATTCATGATTTCTAGAGGCACATCAATCCTGATTTAAAACAAACCATTAAATACAGTCATATTTGCTAGAAGCATCACTTACCATCCTCCGATCAAAGGGCTTCAAAATCCAGAATATATTCTTTCTTTTTACCCCCTGCGATAAGCAGTTAGCATTTCTACGATTAAGAACTCGCAATCTGATTGGCCGTCGCAACACTGCGACAGAAATCATGTATTATTCATTGCGCATAATTAGATCACATGATTCAGTTTAATCGGGCGCTTCCAAATTGGTTATAGCAGGGGGAAGAAGGAGGTACGGATTCTGGATAGCTGCTTAGGAGAATGATCACTTACCTGATTAACAACTTCAAAGTAAATTCCAAGTGTAGAGTTGGGATAAAGGCCACAGATCTTCCAACTAGATGTGCCACCCATACCTAGTTCCGTCTCGGACACACTTGGGCCTTTAACATGGGTGGAAATACAAGAGCCAATGGCACCTTGTATTTTAAGCTCCCTAGATGTCTACAATTAGAGATATCAACATTGAAGCCTTCATTAATTAAACTGATAAAGTGCCTACCACAGAATAGGACCGTTACCTTTTCCAGGTATTATGTGCATTCTATTACTTTTACAAAAGTTTAAATATTCCTAGAAATAGATTTCTGTTCTAATATTGATTAAGAGAAGAATGGAATAACTTGGAATGCATGAACACATTTTTATGCTTTACCTTCACTTCTAATGTCCCACAAAATGCCATTTTGAATTCTCCTTTGACATCTTTCGCAAAAACTCGTTGAAATGTTTGCTTGAAAAGGGATGTGTTGAATGAATCTCCCATAATCATATGGCCCCTAAAAATACAGATATACACAAAAGATGATAAAAATACAATATCTAAATTAGATACATGTATAAGATCTAATTTATCCTACACTTAGTGTGCTAAATGTATAATAACATTAAAAAATAAATTTGATATCTATTGGCAAAAAGAATAACCAGAGGATATCACAACGATACACTCCGGAAAACCAATATGCGGAGGATATCGTGACAATATACTCTGGAAAACCCAATATGCGGAGGATATTGTGACGATATACTCCGCTTGTTGATTTCCCGCCAAATTGACTCTATTTGGCATGAAATTCATAGTGCAATGATATTATACATTTAGTACACTCCTTGTAAGTGTAGGATAATAAGATCATCCTATGATTTTTTCAGAATATCATTTTAATTTACTCGGTGATATTGATATATGCACTTGTTCGCTTTGCTCTCTCGTGCAGATATCAATATCACCTCGTAGATAAAAATGATATTCCTCAAAATCATAGGATATCCTATGCCTGTACATGTAATACTAATATTTATTAAAGTATATACATATAATAACACTGAACATCAATGCCTATTTATATTTCTACATGGGCTTTCAAGAGAAGGGTAGGCAACTTCCCATATTTCATACATAGCCATTGCCTTGGTTTTCAGAATTGGAGAATGTACACATTCCAAGGAAAATCTTATTTTGTACTTTTCATGTATGTTTAAAGATATAACCCAAAAATAAACATGATTATCTCCATACATGTTGATACTTAAATACAAAATGGAATACACCATGATTGTGGCAATAATGAAAGTGAACATTCTCCCACGAATTATGTTTTTATTGGGATGTGTTCTTAAATAATTACCCATAATGCAACACTTGAAAGGGAACATTTTGATATCCCTTTTTCTTATTGGTCTTTTTTGTTTACTTTTACATGAGATTTAAGATGTTTTATGCTTTAATCATATTGAAAGTTGATTTTTATTCAAGATAATACTAAGATATATACATTAATCTAATACGTTATGAAATATTATCATAAAAAGAAGCATGGCACTGCTTTTTGAAGTTCGCATGTTTAAAACACAGGGCATACCCTTCTGTTGAAAGCCCATGATTTCTCTTAAGACTGGATCCAAATCAATGAATATACAAAGACTGGGTAAACTCAAAACTTATGGAGCGATATAACGCCATTCATAGTGATTTTGATTTTGATTGGCTTCTATCAGGCCTTAAGATTGCTGGTGCATCATTCTAGTATTAATAAACAATGACAATCCAAAATCTGAACTTTAACACACATATATTTCAAGTTGAATAGGAAAGTGTTTTTCCTGAAATTTCGATGACAAGATTTGATTTCAGTCGATATGTTGTGACATGCGCAAAGCTCTATTTAGTGATATTTTCATTTCAAATATGGCGGCCAATCCGATATCTGACAACCCTTACAAAGAATCTAGGCAGTGTGCATTTTTACCTCTTGTGAAATAACAAGTGGAATTTAGTAGTTGTTTTGTGTTTATTATCGTTCTGCATCGTAATTCTATGTGATGTTGTGTTAAAATGTCAGCAGAAATACACATCCATACGATAATCGATAATTCGAGTGTCATTCAAGTATACACGCTTAGCAAATATGGCGAAATGATCTGAATCTTGGAATTTCGTTCGAGAGCTAGTACTGTTTGCTCCGTTCTTTGTCATAAGTGTTCATCAGACTTGATGCATGCTCAGGAGAAAACCATCAACCAATAACGTTTATAAATCAATTTTGCGCGTGCGCCTTATAAGGGTAAGAAATTCGTATTTATAAACGAACCAATTTGAGATAACCCGATATCAGTCGGAGAAATCTGACGATCTACGAAACTCACTTCAAAAAATCAAATGCGGACTGACGGCGTATTCTACTATGCTGGGATCTAAGATTTTCAGTTTAGATAAAGTCTTTTATGATCCTTCGAATGAGGTAAGTCTCTAGATCTAGAGACAATTGTATCAACTTGAACAAAAGTTGAGTTTTGCGCAGAAGTCCCATTTTCGTTGTACCATATTGACTCATTTGTGTGTTGCCAAAGACAGATGCATACATGCACAAATCAAAGTGCGATATTAATAACTCAAAGTAGTAGAACTTAGAATGTGGTAATATCAGTGAAATACAGTCCTAATAACCATGTGATAAATACAATATACTATGATTGTTCTTGATATCCCACTCACTTGTACTGATATTCATATTATATTGTTGAGGATAATGATATCACTTAAAATAACATGAAACTATATTGTAACACAAAAATTATATTACTCAACCAAGTTATTGCTTTTTCTAAATTAGCACAAAGACGAGCTGATGGAAGATGGGTCCAGGGATGATAATTAAACTGCCTCAATAATATAAACTAATTGGACCTACAGGACGAATCTCATGTAACTATTGTAAATATACATAAATTGTTTTGTTTCCGTTTAGTGGTAGCAAAGTGATTTAAACAAAAATCCAGCATGAAAGAATAAAGGCCAACATATTTTCAGACATTGAAAAGTGATTATGGGTAGATTGGAATGCTGTATTTTCATGATATATTGAGGCTCTTCAATTGTATTTACTGTTCTATTATCAATCAGTGGTTTGTTCATGTTGTTTTATATATAATATTTTATTAATAAGGGTATCGTTCATGTTGTCTTAACATGCGTGTTATTTTATTAATTAGATAATTTCCCATATATTTTGATACAGCATAAGTGGTAATTTTGCCTAAGCATTTGCCTATTGCCTAATTTTTGCCAGGTTCAGAAAATTAAATGTTGGAAACATTATCTTCATAATGTTATCCAATGGGAAGTTTCTTGTCATAAGGAAAACTAAAACTATGAAAATGATAAAGTTTGACCAATCGGCAAATTAATCACTCAAATTAAATACCACGATTAATCAGGGGCTCAATCATTGTAAATCAAGGGTTTTGTTTAAATTGCTTTACCCTGTGTGATTGCAGCAGAACTTCATCTCATGCAAGCCTGTCTGGTCCAGGGCACAGGAATAGATATCTATGATATGACCATTGTTGGAGCATCTGTTCGCAAGAGCCTCATAATGCTGCAATGTAAATATTTCATAACAAACATGTTTTAAGTTTCAATAGCAATTTTTCTAAATTAATTCTTCAGAATTTAAGAATCTTGATTCTCAGTAATGGCATTGTATTAGATTTTTGATATCCGCACGACTGATCTTTAAACCAGTGTCAACAGTTAGATTCGTGGTAAAAATCATATTGACGTGTGACAGCTCAAACTGCACATGGTAAGCTATTTTGGCATCAACATTATATCTACACTGTAATACTTTAAAAAGTAATTATTTGAGAAAATATTAAGCATTAGAGAATTTGTACACATTAACAAAGTTATGTCAAACCTTCATAGCTTTCTTCATGTATTTGACACTATCTTTTTCAATGTCATGATGGGACCTTATTGGGAATTTCTTCTCATCTCCGACAACCATGCCTGGTCCCTGAGTACAAGGGCCCCCTGTAAACATCATAATTCTGGCCCCTGTATTTGGGTATGTGCACTGAAAAGAAAATGAATAAAGTACCTTGTAAAATTTGGGGATAAGGTTTCAAATATTTATTTACATTTTGTGTTCATCTAGCTGTGAAAGTACTTACAACAATCATAGTTAAAACCAGTGTTAAAAAGCAAATGAAACGTCATTTTGTGTTCAAAGGAGTGATGATTTTGATTTCCCATTTACCTCAAGGAGTCCTACAGCAATAGACAGGGCAGTTCCCAGGGACCTAAGGGGACGTTTGCCCTGAGCTACAGGCCAGGGATCTCTCTGAAGCTCACCTAGGAGATCAGTCAGAGCCATGTCACATTTATGGACAGGCTGAAGGAATCTAAAAAAAACAAGTTACAAACAATTGTTACCAAATTTGACATGGTAAAATGTCACGTTAAGTATTGCAAATGATTATAAAAGTGTTTCTGACAAATGAAAAGCAAACCTATCCACAAGTGAGCTATTAGTCTTTATTGAATAATTTTCAGCATACTTTCAAACTCCAAACTCAACAAATAGTTCAGACTAAAATGTGCATAAAGAAGAGGTGTCACGTGACACAAGCAAAGCACTGCAGAGTATTTATTACCTATTGGATGGTAGTTGTTGTTGTTGCTGTTGTGGGTTCTGTCCCTGAGGACCCCTTGGTTGTTGTGCAGGAACCCCACGTCCTATGCCAAGCATCTCCTACAAAATAATTTACTAACATCAACATTTAGGAAATCTGATGTCATACTAAATTTTGAAATAGGTCTGCACCCTCCTGCAACTTTTGCATTTCTTGAAATAAGAAAAGTCATCTGATTAAAATTGTGAAAATGTGAATTTTGCACCTAGTTTGCACAAACAAGTCCTTGGAGAACACTGGATACATTATACCAAAATTCTAGGCCCCTTCCCTTCCTGAAAGGCCCCACTTTAGGGGTATAAGGGGAGGCATCAAAAGTTAAATGTCGAATCGAAAACTAAATAAATCTAGTTCTGAGTATGAACCTCCTCTCCCAAAAACTAAATACCATTAAAATTGATCGCGAACTTCCAATTTATTTCTAAAAATGATCTAATATTCATAAACCATCCAAAGGCATTTCGAGTCAAAATTGCAAAAAATTGAAATGTTGAAATTTGTCAGATAGCAAAGTGAAATGTCTTTGAACCCCCTCCTCCTAACTAGATTTATTTATTTCTGTGTAAATTCATCACTCTGGTAATATATTAATAATAACTTAAGTTCATTTACTTCAGAGTGAAAAGTTTTATTTTCGACGTTTTACCAAAAAAAATTTAAAATTTTACCAAAGGTGATGAGCCCTATAAGGGATTTTGGGGATAGCAAACTCAGAGACATCTGTAGGGACTCCTTGGTGTTTCTATGTGTAGTTTATTGTCATAGTTTGTTGTCATAGTTTATTGTCATAGTTTATTGTCATTGTTTATTATAGTATTGTTTATTGTTACCTGGGTATTGTATTGTTCAATTATTACGTCATAAATAATATAACTGTGTACTTCCATTTTGAATGTAATCTTGATAAAGCTAGTGGGATGATTAGCAAAACGTCGAAAATAAAACATTTTACTCTGAAGTAAATGAACTTATGTTATTATTCGATTTATTTAGTTTTTGATCTGATCTTTTGATGCCTCCACTAAGCTATGTTTTATTGGGCTGAAGCTGTGCACAATGGCTATGTAAGTTAATCAACCACTGACCTGTATTTGTTTGGCATCCAAGTCCTTAGTGCCTCTGAACACATAACTCTTTGATATTCCCTCACTACCCAATTCATGCACTTGTACCATTTTACCAAAGGTGATGAGCCCTATAAGGGCATTTGGGGGTAGCAAACTCAGAGACATCTGTAGGGACTCCTATAAAATAGAGAGAATCATATAAATAAAATATTTCATTTATCAAATTATATTTGCTTGTTACATCTGCCATCTTTTATGTATAAATATATTGAAAGTCACATGACATAATGCAAATACAATTATGTACCAGGTGTTACATTATTTTCCCATGTATGATTAATGGTCTGCAATACTCATGGCACAATGAACTTTTAATACCTTTTTATGAAATCACTTCCTTCTCCCCTCTTTTCCCATTGTTAATTTGACTGCTGTGAACATTGTCTCACATTATCCTCACAATCGAATATACATTGTAATATAATTGCAAATTATCAATTTCCTTAAAAATTTCATTTTTGTTTTTTCACTTCATTTTTCTTTTTTCACTCCATTTTTCTTTTTTCACTCCATTTTTCTTTTTTCACTCCATTTAGCTTGAGTATTAGTTTGACTGTTCAGCCAACACTCGTTTTAGCTAGAGTATGTTTCTAGGATTCTGATTGGTCAAAAACTGGAAAGAAAAAAAAGAGTAAAAAAAATTTCAATTTTGCGAGGTGAAGTAGTTCTCGAGGCAACGAAGAATCGATATGACCAAGCATATGAATAAAATGTTAATTTAAATTTTGTGAACATGGGAACTCTTGTAACTTAGGGAGTTTCAGCCATGATCTTTTTTGAAAATAACATGTCAGAGAAGCATCTTGTTCAATTAGATGTATACTCAAAATGACCAGCTCGTGTTGATAGGGACCAGTAACTTTTTGAGATAAGGTCATTTGACCAGCAAAGGTTTTATATGGACCACCTGATAAATTAAAAGTGATGGTATGTATGATCAACAGTAAAACGGAGCTTAGCTCAAGGCCTGCTACTGGTATAAGACTATTTAGGAGTAGGGTCAAATAATGAACATCCAAAAATATAATTAACTTGGTTTGAGTTCATCCCCACTGTCCCCTTCAAAAGAAAAGCTTTATAGTGGATTAAGTGAAAAATTTGTTTGTGATACAAGACAACGAAGCTTTCATAAAAACACGATGGCTTTCACCCTAACCCTCCAAAGGTGCCAGATTAATCTTTTGACAGAAATCCATATTTTGAGGCAACCCCTTATTCTATAATTGACAACATACCTTGAGAGCCTGAAGATCTTCATCATCATCCATACATGTGTCCACAACAAACAGGAACACTGGCGGATTACATGTGGCTCTCTAAAATATCCAAATAAAAAGTTAATAGGAATACATTTATAATTACAGATTTATATATTAAAGAAAAAATAATATGGATCATTATCCTATGACAAGTGAGCTTTCAGGTACATAACAGCGGGATTTATAGAGGATATCCTATGATTTTTGAGGGATACTATTTTTATCCATGAGTGGATTTCCCTCATCTCCACGAGTGAGCACAGCGAATGAGACAAGATCGGCGATATCCAAGAGTGAATAAAAATGATAGCTGAGAAAATCATAGGATATCATATTCATCCGATGGCCGTTATTTTTGTATGGACTTCAAATAATTATTAGACCTAAAAGTTTGTTGTTTTCTATTTCTTTTCTATTTTTTCATTTTATTTTCTGTGACCTCATTTTTATGAAATGATGGCATGAAAAAATGTAACCAATTTTTATTGAGCACATATCCTTGGAACTTTATTGTCAAACAGACAAGTAGTTGTCATAATTTCTTTTCAAAATTTTTGTTTTCAAATTTTCTTGGGGAAGCGGGACATATATACATCTCCAGCTTTATATCTCCCGCTGTGTATCTTCTGCTCCTATATTCCCGAGAAAACGTTTTTGTTTAATATAGAAACAGATGTTAGAATAACTTGCTATAGCGAAAATATCAAAATGGATGCAGCAGATGGTGGAATTTTTCGAAAATAATGAGAATGAGAACATTTTAAAGAAAAATAACCTAAATATGGGTGTCCTGAAAACATCACTTGTGAAACTGCACTTGCCATAGCATAAATTTATTATGTGATGCTTGGTTTTGATTATGGGGTATATCCCTCAGGAAATATGATATCTTACCTTGGACTATCTGGGCTCTCAGAAAGATATCTATATTTCCCTCAGGATGTACTCCATATCCAAAACCTCCCATAACATAACTCTCATTCATCCCATAGTTGAGATCAAATCGGTATGTTTAAAACATGTAGATATATTTATCACATTTTGCAAATGCATGGAAAAAGTGATATTATATCTGGAATACAGAGAATATTTCACGGATATAACATTTTTCCATGGATTTGAAAAATCTCGCCAATGTGACGTGTATTATTTCTTGATGATTTCATGATGTCAGATGATAAATGAACAAATGAAGGTTCTTTGTAAATGCTTGATTTAGTTTTACAGGTGAACTATGGGATTAATAGAACATGCTATGACATTCAGTGATATCATTTTAATCCACTCATTGATATTAATATTTGCTCTAATTCGCTACACTCACTCATCCAGATATTGATATCAACTCGTAGATAAAAATGATATCCCTCAAAATCATAGGATAGCCAATACTTATATGAATAGTGAGAGAGATAAACATCATACAAAGGTTTTAACTTGAGTGTCAATTTGATTTTTTATGAGTTTTTCCCCTTCTTCTTACTTTGACATAATGGTTTACTCGTTAGTGATAACTAGACAACAGCAACGCCAAAGCGTAGCAAATTCCATCGAACAGATATGGGTGGCATTTTTACAAAGTATTTAGCAAAAATGGCAGCCATTTTTCAAAATGGCCACCTTCTACCAAAAGTGTCACTAGACAGTGTGCCATGCTTATAGTATTCACATACCAAATATGAACAAAATCGCTCCACTACTTTGGAGTTACAGCAATAATCGTAAAATAACGAGTAAAGGCAGCCATTTTTCAAGATGGCTGCCATGTGCTTCTTTAATATCTACATTTCAAGCTTTATTAATGTCCTATATAACTTTTTTACATCTAAAACACATTGCTATTACAGTTTTACATATTGCACCTAAATTACAGTAAAATCGGCACTAAAATGGCCGTCATTTTTAAATGAGCGGCCATTTTGAAAGTAGGTTTCGAGCAGAACTTCTACCCCCATATATGAACAAAATCAGGCCAGCGGTATTTCAGTTATTACCTGGACGGACGGACAGACGGAGGGATGTATGGGCGGATGGACGGAGGCGTTCCCTATATCCCTCCGAACTTCGTTCAATGGGATAATTAAGATTATGTTGCCATAAAAATGGGTAAAACAGTTACTTTATGGACAATTTGTAGGGAAGTTACTCTAACTTACTGTGAGAGTGTATTCAATGGTTGAGAACTGGGGGATAAGCTCTGCAGGTTGGTGTTGCTCTGATATGGCTGCATACTGAGGGGGGAACTACAAACACAAAAGTACAGGATAAATCAAATTGTAAACTGCATGGATGTAACAATTCTCACTTTCTTACTTTACACATAAATCATCACAGTCATATATAATTTCAACTTGTAACTTAAATCAAATCCTTGCGAGTTGTGACTCCCCTTCCAGGAGAATTGATGCAAGATGAATAAAGCTACAACTTCTGTAATTTTACATGTACTATGATAGAATAAATGTGATAGATGTCGAAATAATCCTTTGAAATCTTAATAATTTAATATATCTATTCCACAGGGGAACTTAATTCATGCCATGTCATCTGACTCAAGATAACCACCTGATGGTGAAACTGGTAACTACCTACTGGTGGTAAAAGGTATTATTATATGATATCTAAATGTTACTGATAAACTTGTTCGTAGCTCGAAAGCTCTCAGACAATGTAGTTATAGTTATAGTTTATAGTTATAGTTTATTTCATAATATAACAATGTAAAGTACAAAACGTGTGCACTCGACACCCTTAGTAATTGGGCGTATCAGTGCTTATTTCAAAATGTGTTGCAGAGCAACCAAAATTACATATAATATAACATATAACAATACAGATACAATTAATAGATACAATACAGAAACTTTGAAGTCTTGAGAGAAATAATTAAATAAACAAAATGTGATTTTATGTAATAAATGTGTGAACTTACTGGGTTTCGTTGAAAGCAGAAATTACATGTCCAAAGTTTGGCTCTGTAGTCAACTTGGCTGCAATTAAATATTTACATATTAGTAATATTTACTCATTTATGGCATATGTGAAAGGTTCTATCCAAAGTTGTCATTATTTGACAAAATTAAAAGTTATTGACTTAGCACCAAGTGCATAACTACAATTTGAATTGAATAGAACATAAATTCCCTGACCCATGCAACTGTCATTTGATTCACAATTTAACACAGAATTCTATGTTTTATTTGCTGACTAAGAGACCTCCAATATGTGAATGTTTAATTCAATATGAGTATGGCATTTGAAATACAATTTAGCACTCTAAATGGTCACATATCTTGCCTCACTGCAAAACCTACTAAAAAACCTACCAAAATGGATTAAGAACTGCTCTACAGTTTGATCTGGTACACAACACTGGATCATATGCAATAGGTGGAAGGGTTGGTTGGTCTTTGATTGGTGTATAGAGACATCCTAATGGTACTACAATCCTGGTGGCCTCAAGGCGACTTGACGGCCAAACATTCCAGCTGAAGCGAACTCCATCACGATCCTCATTTTGCTGTATAAACTCAGTATAGCTAGCCATGAAGGTTATTTAAATCTGGAAGTAAACAAGAAGGAAAGAAGTTAATGCTCACTTTGTTGGTGATAAATCATAACTTAATCATCCATTCGTAAATTGTTCTTGATATAGGTCTAATAGATTTCATTGAAAAAAATAAGGGAACATTGCCTAAAACATCTCTCCCTTGAAGTTGCTTTAGGCAGTTATTTTGAATTTTACTTATTCAATTTGATTACAGGATATTCACATTTTCAGCATTTCATGCTTTATTTATCACTTGCAGCATTTTTGGAAAAAATGAAAATTCCCTGGAAAAACTCATGTTCATTTTCCAGTGTTTTGTCAAATTCCAGTGTTTTCCAGAAACTGGAATTTATTTTACTTTTCAAGTAAATTCCAGAGTTGTGGCCACCCTGTTAATATTTATGAACTGAATGTCAAAGGACGGGTGTCATTAAGGGCCCTTTTTAGCCCCCAAAGATATCTGATAATAATGCATATCATATTGAAGAAAAATCATTTGTGCTTTATAAAAATACAATTTCAGCGAATTTTGACCTTTGATGTTCACACAACAGTCATTTAAAGATCATATACCATTTTTGGTGGTTTTACAAAAAATTCTTTATTTATTGTTGTCTAAGTAAATAGTATATAAATATTAACCAATTTAAATATATTAAAATGTAATATATGAAATACTGAAGAAAAGATACGATTAAAATTATTTTCATGGAAAAGCACATAGGGCAATATTGACAAAATGCAAATGCTATTTTGGTAGGTTCTGGGCTAGCAATGGGTACATTTCAACTGTGACTGTAATGGATTACTATTGACTTTTGTCAACATCACAGGGCAACATTTAAGCAACTTAAATACAAGGAAAATCAAAGATTTCCTCTCATTTCTAAAACGAGGAACAAAAGCATGAATTCAAGGAAAATAAATGATGGCCTGTGCCAAAATATATAACATATGAGAAAGTTGTGGCACAGTAAAGGATATGTATAGGATATTATATGATTTTAAATGATTTTATCTTTATCTCTGAGTTGATATCAAGATCTTGCCAAGTTAGCATAGCGAATTAGCGCAGATATTGATATGAATGAGTTGGATTAACACAATATCACGAAAATTCATAGGATGTTCGATTTTTCCCATAGTTGACCTCTAAAACTAAACAAAACATATCAAAACAACATCCATTCATCCCTGTGATGTCATGAAATCACTATGTAACAAAACACATCATATTGGTGGTAGTTTTCAAATCCCTGCCAAAAGGTGATATCTGTGAAATATTTTCCGTATTCCACAGATATCACTTTTTCCACGCATTTGCAAAATATCACAAATATGTTTTCATGTTACCTAACAGAGTGGAACAGAGTTCAACTATGGGATAAAGAATAAAAAATAGGTACATAATTGAATTACCACTCCAAAAATATTAAATATGAGAGTTTAAAGAAAGAATATTGAATATGAGATTCAAAAAGACAAGTGGCCTCATGTCCCACATTACCCAAACCCCAGATCCTCGATGTCATATATACTTGTATACTGTATATCAATGTTATTTACTGGGAGGATTAAATATGGAGTGTATAGCAATGGTCAATACGATATTTCCAGATGGATATTTTTTCACTAAAAGCGGAACCCAAACTCAGTCATGACATAGAAGCTAACTTTTGCAATTAATAGAAACTTGTTTTTTATTATATTTTTGTGTTCTATATTTGAGATGAAATAATATGAGATTCATTTCTACAATGGAACGAACGAATGTGAACTTGTATATTGAACTATACTCCTTTTCTGAATAAACAGAACAACATTTTATCCAAGCCAATTAAGAAAACCAAGGCCAATGAGTGTAATTTATGCCCAGTTAAACTAACACAATAACAACTTTTTGTCTGGACTCACTTATTATGTAAGATGAATGAATTGTATTACTGTTTACTGCATTAAATGTCAAGTATACTATCTGTATTTAATTTCAAATGCCTATCTCACTTATCGAAGGTATACAAGAAATGTTATTTTGAAACAAATTCAGCACAACCAAAACCATGTCCACATATATGACAAATCCAAGATGGCTGCCACAATTTTAGATCCATGCAGATGTGAAGAAGTTAGAAATACACATGATCCACAAGTTCCATCCCCAATAAAATGGGAAGTTTAAGGTTTTCACACATATCAACTCTATTCCTATATACTTTATATTTGTGGTAAGGCTTGTGATCTAGGTAAACTTAGCATGTTCATGTACCTCCTATCCTCTGAAGCTAAAAACAGAAATAGTGACTTCAATTGAGAAAAATGAATCTTATGGGCTCCATATACATTTTGAGTGGCTGTCCGGCTAAAGTTAGATACTACTGATATTCTGAGATTGAAAATTATGTCAAGTTTAGTCCTCAGCCTCTCATAACGGATAACTTCGAGGTAATTGTGTTGTCACTGCAAAAACCTCTATTTCTTCATCACAAATCTACCATCTTTTGCATCTGTCAAAACCCTTCATTTCATGTTAATTTTCAGACTTTTGCTTGTGCCATCATTAAATATATATATTCAACTTGTTATTCAGAATATTTTAAGAACTTTTCATGAATGTTTTTATTTTCACACTTTTGAAAAAATGACTAAGTCAGAGAATGGCCTCTTAATGGCATGTCCCCTTTAACAATGAGTAACTTAGCCTTGGCATTTTGTGTGATCATTCTCAACAAGACAAGTCCTAACTTTTGCATATTTCAAATAGTTATGTATAATGTGCAGTAAAGCTGTGGCCTTTTGTAATTTAGGGAGTTTCAGCCATGTTAATTTTTCCGAAAATAACATGGCAGAGAAGCATCAAAATATAAGAGGCCACAGATATGATAGCTAAACTAGAAAACAAACTAAAATAAACAAAAGTTAGGACATGTACATGTTTCTATTTTTACATATACTCACGTGGGGGGGAAAGTCTACCCGTGTATATACAACCTACCACCGAGTAAGACACGCATATACCGCCAATCCAATGTTTGGTAAGGGACATCTCGTAGAAAAATGAACAATAAAGGTAATATATGTCACTATCAATTGCTTTGGATGGTTAGAATTGTTACTAAGATGTTCTAGCAGGCGGAATTGGCCTAGAATTATAATTGAAATATATTTGTTAGGTCCAAATTAAGAGATAGGTTAAACGTATAATGGTTTTCGATTTGTTTTTCTCATTCATACTCGCTTTAATTGATGATGAGCCATACATAAGACATACTTGGGCCGGTAAATGTATGTCATATGCATAATATATTAAGTATCAAAATATTAGGTCAAAATAGCACTTTTGAACAGCAAAATCTTCACATAAACTTTGTCCTAAAAGATCCGATGTTATCGGACATCGGACGATGTGATCGACGAGCAATATTATAAAGATCCGAAAATATCTTGAGTAAATGATCTCAAAATCCGATTATATCGTCGAGTCTATGACATGCTGATGATGAAATAGTGTAAGGGTTACTTTTGGGAGTTTTCAAACCTTGATTTAATTGCCTTTATCAGAAGGGTTACTCGTTATTAATACTTTTGTAACATTTTGACTCAGACTGACACAACAGAAATTAGGCTATCAACATTGGAGGATAGGAAAAGCGCGGAATTGCGTTAAAAACAATCATTATCTATATTTATGGATAAAAATGAATATGATCTTTCTTCATTTTAGGAGAGTGAATGAATTGCATTTAAATCATTTATTATCCATATTTATTGATAAAAATAAATATGTTTCACGTTCCTAATCTCTACTACCTAACTCATTGGATCATGAGCATAGTCAGATAAAAGTGGTGATATCATCAACAATGAAAATTATGGTGATTCGAGTGAAAGCATGAATTCAATGTTTTAAAGAACTTCGCGGGACACAGAAGTTGACGTAAAGTGCTGCGGGAATTATATCATATTAACAGGAATATTTGTGATATACTTCATGTTATTATATGATCATTCGAAAGCTTACTCGCTACCTCATTGGGTTTTACTCACAGTATAATCGGAATACCCAGGCGGTAGCATCGGGTCCTATTGAATCGTACTCGTGGTATAATCGGGTCTTTCATTTTCATCTTTCACCGGTGATTTCAATGATATGTAACGTATAGCAGTGAAACAAATGTGATATATTTGAACCTATTGTATCTTTGAATCAAATAAAGTAAATACAGCCATGGTTCTTACTTATTTAAGATGTAAAACATCATTCTAATATTTAGAAGTTGAATTTAGCAATTTGATAGTAAATATTGCATTAAGTACTCATTATTCTCTAAACTTGAATGCCTGGAACAACAACTATATCGGTTACAAACAATTCTGTGTTTTATCTATTTCTCATATTGAGAAATTCAATATAAAACAGGAGTTTATTAACTTATCCCCTACATTTTCAGACATCTTCGGGTCTTTGCTCGGTGGTAGGTTGTATATACGCGGGTAGACTTTCCCCTCGTGTATACTGTTCCAATATGGTCCTTTGATTGCTTATTTTTTAAATTCAAAGTAGTTCCAAACATTTAAAATTTTACTGTAGAGTCTATTTCACTGTTTAATTGCGTCAGTAAAACCTAAAAAATAAGAAATCAAAATATCATTATGCAATAATATATGGAAAAATATATTCCTATTGTACATGAATGACATTTGTATATCTTGGATTGCTTCTAGTTTGGCTTATAAAGTGTATGGCCTCTTATATTTGGATGCGTCTCTGCCATGTTATTTTCAATTTATAAGATTAACATGGCTGGAATTCTTCAAAGTACAAGACATGCAAGAGGGCACAGGCGTATTGCACAAAAAACTAAAAATCTGAAATATACAAATGTCATTCATGTACAATATGAATATACTTTTCCATATATTATTGCACAATGGTCTCCCGGTTTCTTATTTTTGGGGTTCTACTGACACAATAAAACAGTGAAATGGACTTTATATTCTTTTTGCTTATTCTGGGAACCAATTCATATGGATAAAATAATGAAATAACCACTTTATCTACTTACCAGTTTGTTCTAAGCTATCCATCGGACTGTGAATTGTGGAACTCAGCCAAACACGACAATGAAGGCAACAACACGATATTGATCTTAGTCAAATTTTTTGAAATTTAGATCGTCTATTTTGCCAGTCACATGTCTGATCACATGTCTAGTTACTAGTTGATATCACGTGACTTGTGACGTGTCACTCAACCATGTCTTCAAAGAAAGATATTAATTTATTAGAAAATGGTTTTCGGAAATCTGCTGCTGAATATAAAAGGAAATTTTTCAAAGATAGCGATGTCACATATTGTAGGAAGGGCCCCTGAAGCTACTGACTATTAAAAATCAACTGTATTCAAGATATTACGCTAGGAAACTTATTGATTTTATGAATCATTAAGACCTGAAATGATGCACTGAAATAAGTGAATTGAAACGCTACACAAAAACTGGTGAAACACAACGAACTAAAGTTGAAAGATCGCAATGTTCGCTACTTTGTTCAAATCCGAAAATATTCAAGGTGCTACAAATAGGAAATTATTTCGATCTAAATTTTATAACCTCAGAAAACTGCCTTCGGTGTCATCTGTGTTTAACTGAGTTTCACAATTTACAAAGCGCGATGGATAGCATAGACCATACTGTTAAGTACAGGCCTGTAGCCAGAAGGGGAGCTGGGGGAGAGGTAGTCCAACAACATTAGACCTAGCCCGGGCCTCGTTTCTTATCTGACATGTGTTATGGCCCGGCTAGGTCTAACCTCCATGACCATTTTGCCTTTGATGCGTTAATTTAATCGTTCAGCAGGTTTCGACAAGCGGAACTAATTGAACCCTGAAAACATGGCAATATTACACAAAGAATGTGATTCAAGCATGCATACATACCTTATAAACACATACACCCCGTCCCGTATCCCCCTTAGACCCTATTGATGCATAATTACGAAAATATTGGAGACAGGTTTGGAATATGACGAAAATGTCGGTCAGTTTCGGTAACATTGGTTTGCAATTAATAACTATTTTGCGTGTATATACGCGCTATATAAATTAATCAAAGATACCTGTTATCCTCAAAATTGATCTTTTTATCCCGAGTAATCGCGATAATAATTATCAATCTATTTGACAACAATTTCGTTTCGCTGGTAGTTTAATTTTACGATCCGGGACACTCAGACGAACAGACACAATGACAGACATGCGGAAATGTCTTTTTAGAGATTGGTAAGTGTAGCCTCATTTTACTCGTATAAATGAACATTTAACACAATAATATTGTGTTAAATCGCTTGATGTTATGTGTTTTTATATTATTGTCAAGTATCAGTTGCACGTTATCGCGGAAAAATGGTTTCGATGGATTCAGAACTTGCATCAAAGGAAAGAATAGTAAGGAGGTTAAACTCAATAATGGCCCCAAGAAAATTCCTAATAATAAAGAACGCCGTTATTGAGTTTAACGACGTTGAACTAGGGGAGCGGATGCTCCCACCCTGGCCAGAAATTCTTTCAAAATCATGCAGAGAATTTTTCACATGATTTTTAGCCAAAATTGTGAAAATCTCCCCCTCCTGATTAAAGCTGGCTACGGGTAAGTAGGTAGATACGTGGTTACATCACATCATTTCGTTATTTTAACCCTATGCCTATGAATTCAAAATAAAAAATTTGAGTTTTTTAGTGAGTGTTCCTCAAAATTATAAATATGATGAAAGTAAGCAACAATTAAGAATATGATGAGATACAATCAATTTGAAGAGAAACAAACTTACTTGTTGAAAATTTTGAGTTTCGAAGACTTTGTAAAACAGTAATTGTTGTCAATATAGTGAAATTTATAGCACGAAAATATTTGTTGATTTTCAGCGGATGCCACGTTCTATTACCCACGATGCAATTGCAATGAATGACGTCATTTGAGGGAATCCCTCTGCTCCTTATGTGCAAATATACAGGGTGGGCCAAAAAAACATTACCCAACTTTAAATCAGGATAAAAATAGTTACGTTTAATATGGTACATTGACTTATGTATCATTTTAAAGGTAATTCATTTTCAATTTGGTATATAGCACTATGTCATGAAATTTTCAACAATTTGGTATATTACACTATGTCATATAATCAGTGTTGTTTATTATCAGGTTGAAGATACAGTAGAGTTTCCCATAGGTGGCCATTATAACATTTTACCCTGTATCTTATTAACGACTAGTATCCAAGCCTAGTGCAACATACCACGGTGTTCGGGAGAGACTCGCCTAGCCTGCTATAACAATCTTACCATGGGTTGTCCACCGAATTTTTGAGATAAATAAACTTGAAGACACTAGCCCCCTCTATCGTCAGATTTCTCAGAGAATTCTGGTAAAATCACCAAGGTCAAAATCACTCCGCCGCCAGCTTAAAATGAGATTTCCAACTGAACTTTGACATGTTTTCAGATAAATCAGGACCTACCTTATAAATATTTAGTCCCAATTCACTTCCCAAACGCCAGATGGCGCTCCAATGGGGTAGGAAAGGAGGAAATGACTTTTTATACAGAACACCAAATCACTAACAGTAACCGCTAGTGTCCTTACTCAGGACTATATCCTCAATAAGTACTCAAAGGGTTACTTCCTGCGAAAGCTATTTGGATTTTGATATAATAGCCATAAGTTTCAAAATTTAACATGGCTCTCGAAGTGAGTAACTCAAAGGGGGCATAAAACGTTTATGTGGTGAGGAGAACAAAGGAGACATTGGCATTCCTTTGCGAACAAGGTGTCAATTTGATTGATCTAGATGCTTGGCCACCCAACAGCCCCGATGCTAATGTGGTTCATTACCATACAATGTACTCGCATGTATGGCATACGTTGAGTCATCTCAGGGAAATAGTACAATCACAAGCATCCAATAAACAGTATTGATGAGGTGAAACCATCATGATAAACCATGGCATCTAATTTCTTCTCAGCCCTGAGATGCCATGATATAATGAGCTTGATTTGGCAATCCAGGAGAGCCCAAAATTGAGGATTTTTGACTCTTTCATCCCAGCTCACATTTCATCTAATTGTGGTCATAGAACGTGCCTATTCTAATATCTACTGTTAAATACAATCCCTATTATGTAATGTATTATTAATGTAAGGTAAATGATTTCATGATAACTATCACACTTATTGACAGTTATAACCCTTCCCATCTGATGTGCTCAGATCACAGAATATGCCTCATAATATCAGAGCATGTTTCAGGTGAAACAGAAAGATGCTATGAGAATCAGAATGAGGTGAAACACAGAATCTCAAAGCAGGGGCGGATCTGGGAACCAATAAGGGGGGGGGCCTAAATTTCAGGTCAGAGAAAAAAATCTTGGGCCCCTAAAATCCAAAAGTGTGCCCAAATTTTAAAGTTCCGAGGCCCATTTTCTTCAAAATTTGGCCTGAAAAATAAGGCCTTAAAAGGCCCAGTATTGACTCACTTTTGGGGCCTGAAGGTATTTTTTTGGCCAACATTTATTTTTGGGCCGAATTTTTTTCCTGGCCCCCCCCCCCCTTGGGTGCCCCCCCCCACGAAGATCCGCCAGTGCAAAGTGCTGAAATCAATTGCAACAGAAATCGGTCATTAAGGCTATTGATAGATGGTTGTACCGTTTGAAGCTTATTGTTGACATAGAGGGGGGAGGGCAATAGGCATATTGAGCAATTGTTAAAATTGTTATGAAGTGTAAAATGTCATCAAACAACACTGAAATTCATAAACAATAAGTTTAGTCACACAATGATGCAAATGTACAAGCATGTATTCACCTAACAAAATGATATTCTATAAATAGAAATTTAACATAATCCCGCAGATTTACTATTTTCTCCTTAAAAGCTAGAAACCCTAAATAGCAACCCGGCCTCCCAAATAAGTGTAATATACCTTTTCTATTGATTATATGACATAGTGTTATATACCAAATTGTTTGAAAATGTATTACCTTTAAAATGATATGTAAGTCAATAAACCATATTGAATGTAAATATTTTTATCCTGATTTGATTTGGGTATTGGTTTTTTGGCCCACCCTGTAGTAACCAAACCTAATCTTACTTCCGGGTATTTTGCTGAAACCACATTTTTGATTCTTTCTAATTTTCATCTTGGTCGACAGAATAACACCATTCATGTATGTGTAAATTAGTTAAGGTACAGGTGGAAAATAACATTTTGGTAAAAAATTGCTATACCTGCACATGTTTATTTTCTGGTACAAAATAAAGTAGACCAATCTAGACTATGAAGGCATGTGTCAATTTCCTTGCTTTTTTCAGGAAAGTATCATTACATTGTCTTCTTTCAGAAAATTCTGTTTCTGTCTGGAAACTTTGAAAGAAAATTTGGAAAAATAGAAAGTGTGAAATATCAGAATTTCCTTGAGTTCCCATTTTTTTATTTTCCAGCTGTGTACTTCCTGCCTGATAACCTGCAAAATAATCAATCGATTTTGACAAAAAATGGTGGCCATATTTAATTCAAAGGCCATATCGGAAGAGGGGGAATATCTCCAGTGTTCAAAGAAGACACATGTCTATAATTTGAATCTGTATTGAGAAGACAAATGACATCATTTGATAGGGCGGTTCAAAATTTTCTTAAAACGCTCAGAATAATATTTTGCCTATTTTTCATTAGGCCACATTAAGCCACGCAACTTTCGCTTTTTTAATCCGCTTTTTGATATGATCGCACATTATATATAACATGTATAAGGCATCGCTTTCCTCCTCTTTTCTCATGTAAGCCTACTAAGGCCATGCACCTTTCTCTTTTTTTCATTAGGCCATGCCTCTTTCTCTTTTTGACATAGGCCACACATCTTTCTCTTTTTTCAATAGGCCACGCCCCTTTCTGTTTTTTCACTTTTTTATTTAAAACCACGCCCCTCTAACGCTTTTTTTTGCTTTTTACATTATGCCCCTTTATCATTTACTTGCTTTTTTACATTAAGCCACATCCTTTTCCAATTTTTTTTTGTTTTTAATTACCTTAAGCCTCTCCCCTTTCTTGTTTTTTTCCCTTTTTTAAATCAAGTCATACCCTTTTATCGTTTTTTTCGCTTCTAATTACCTTAAACCACCCCTTTTTTCGATTTTTTCACTTTTTGAAATTAGGCCACCCCCTTTCTCGTTTTTCGCCTTAAACCACGCCTTTTTTTCGATTTTTTTCGCTTTTTCATATTAAACCATGCCCCTTTCTAATTATTTGGTTTTAAATTACCTTAAACCATGCCTCTTTTTCAATTATTTTCACTTTTTTAAATTAAGCCACGCCCCTTTCTCGATTTTTTGCTTTTAATTACCTTAAATCTACTCCCATAAATGTGGGGTTATTTTGAGGATTTTTGATATTTAGGACATTTGTTACTCAAAATAATTTATTTTTTTGAGAAACAAATGTCCTAAATATCAAAAAACCTCAAAATAACCCCACATTTATGGGGGTACTTAAATCACGCCTCTTTTTCGATTTTTCGCTTTTTTTTAATAAAGCCACGCCCCTCTCTCGTTTTTTTTGCTTTTCATTACCTTCAACAACGCCTCTTCGATTTTTTCGCTTATCGTACATTAAGCCATGCCCCATTATCGTTTTTTTCGCTTTTAACTACTTAAAATCATGCCTCTTTTTGATTTTTTTGCTTTTATAATTTAAGCCACGCCCCTTTCTTGTTTTTTCGCTTTTGATTACCTTAAACCACGCCTCTTTTTCAATTATTTTCGCTTTTAAATATTAAACCTCACCCCTTTCTCATTATTTCGCTCTTAATTTCCTTAAGCCACGCCTCTTTTTCGATTATTTTCGCTTTTTTAAATTAAGCTACGCCCCTTTCTTGTTTTATTACCTTAAACCAAGCCTCTTTTTCGATTTTTTTGCTTTTTTAATATTAAACCACTCCCTTCTCTTGTTTTTTTGCTTTAATATAGCTTAAACTACGGCTCTTTTTCGATTTTTTCGCTTTTTTTTTATTAAACCACACCCCTTTCTTATTATTTGGTTTTAAATTAGCTTAAACCACTCCTCTTTTTCAATTATTTTCGCTATTTCTAAATTTAGCCACGCCCCTTTCTCATTTTTTCGCTTTGAATTACCTTAAATCACGCCTCTTTTTCAATGTTTTCAGTTATTGTACATTAAGCCATGCCCTTTACCGTTTTTTTCGCTTTTAATTAGGTTTAACAACGCCTCTTTTTCGATTTTTTCGCTTTTTAATATTAAACCACGTCCCTTTCTCGTTTTTTCGCTATTAATTACCTCAAACCACGCCTCTTTTTCGATTTTTTCGCTTTTTTATATTAAACCACGTCCATTTCTCATTTTTTCGCTATCAATTACCTCAAACCACGCCTCTTATTCGATTTTTTTGCCTTTTTTAAATTAAGCCCCGCCCCTTTCTCGTTTTCTCGCTAATAATTACCTTAAACCACGCCTCTTTTTTTATTTTTTTCGCCTTTTAATATTAAACCACGCCCCTTTCTCATTATTTTGCTTTAAATTACGTTAAACCACGCCTCTTTTTCGATTATTTTTAAATTAAGCCACGGCCCTTTCTCGTTTTTCAGCTATTAATTACCTTAAACGAAAGTGAAATGGTGAAATATGAACACAGGCGCCAGTATCCACACCTTTTGGTCACTGCAAAGCCTTATATTCACGCCCAGTTATCAAGGCTGGTGTTGGCACATCATTAAATGTCAACACCTAGATATATAATAAGATTGGGAAAAGATAAGTTTCGATATGGTGAACTGAATTCCAGAGCTGTCAAGTGTCCCGCGAATGGCGGGATTATCCCGCGAATTCGATCAAAATTAGGCTAATTCGCGTGTCCCGCAATGTCCCGCGAAGTCCCGCAAATGTGGCTTTCGACCTCCGCGAATTTCCGAAATTGTTGCAATCCCCTATATGGTGATTATCTTATCTTATATAAGAAGCTAAGTTTTTGCACTTTTGAGGAGTAAAGTTTACCTAATTTTAAGTACCTAGCATGCTGTTGTTTGGTATCAAAATAAAGAGGAAGGGTTCAACTTTCATTTTAATTACGACAATAGGGATGTAGGTCACAAATAGTTCCAACGTTGGCCTTTTTACTATTCGTGTGGCCTTCATCTCAGAACTGAGCAAATGTTAGCAAACGCAAGTTACAATAAATGGACGCTGATATCTAGAAAGGGTTTGTAGAAAAAACCGGGTACCGGGTAGTAAATCCTCCATGCTGGGTTCAAACTTGGTACCCGGTACCCGGTCATAAAACGGGTACCCAAAAATTGAAAAATACGAATATACGAGTATAACATAATTAGATTATCAGAAAACGTGTAAGATTTGTTTTGAATTTACAAAAATGTATGTAACATCCTTCAAAATTGAGCTAGAAGCTTCAAATAAAAAGCATATTTTAAGGCTCTTTTCTTCCTCTATCGTCATGACCATATTTTCATTGGTTATGTTCACGTACCAACATACGAACTCATTGAAAATAGAGTAAAATTGATTTGTCTTGTTATTCAAATCGTCTTACAATGTCATTGGCGTAGCAAGGAGAGGGTGTGATGGTGCGATCGCACCCCCTCCCCATTCATTACCAATGGAAATATGACCATGATGATAGAGGAAGAAAAGAGGCTTAAAATGCTTTTTATTTGAAGCTTCTAGCTCAATTTTGAAGGAAGTTACATTTTTGTAAATTCAAAACAAATCTTACACGTTTTCTAATGATCTAATTATGTTGTATATTCGTATATTTCGTTTTTTGGGTACCCGGTTTTTCGACCGGGTACCAAGTTTGTCTACGTAAATTTTATTTATATTATTAATTGCATTACATTTACATGTACATATTTATATTTACATTTACATGTACATAAATAAGAATGAAGGAATAAAAAAAAAATAAATAAAAAAAGTTTGAACCCAGCATGGAGGATTTACTACCCGGTACCCGGTTTTTTCTACAAACCCTATCTAGAAAAGTAACCTCATTCCCTATAATTTGATGTAGATTAATCGAACCCCTATATCATGGGCTTTCAATTGAAAGCCCATGCCTACAGTATGGTAGTAGTTGGTCACGACGCCAGAAGCAGAGAAGTGCAAAGTATTGTTCCAAATTTTTGAATTTCGTGTTAGATTACGATACTCACACCTCAAGCATGGTTTTTGTTTTTGATAAATTACAATAAAGTTTAATAATATTTCTATGCGTATTTTGTGAAATAATGTTGACGTTTATTTATACTATGTAACGGTGCATTATATTTGATTAATCAGTATCTGAAAGTTTGATTCAAGTACTTTTACACGCTTTTTACATTAGTCCAAATCACGCAAATCCCTTGAATGTCCCGGGACATCCTGCAAATTTAGGTGGATGTCCCGCGAAATCCCGCAAATTTAGGGCACTTTTTCTAGAAAATCTGTCCCTCTATGAAGTTTTTGCTGGTAAACCTGTTAACTGTCCCGCAATTAGGGTGTTTGTCCCTCGAATGGTCCCGCGAAATCACGCGAATTTGATAAAAAAAATTGGCCTATAAGCGCAATCACGCAAATCCCTTAAATGTCCCGCGAAATCCCGCGAATTTAGTAGATGTCCCGCAAAATCCCGCGAATTTTGGGCATTGGGTCTAAAAAATCTGTCCCGCGAGAAAATCTTTGGGGGTTGACAGTACTGGAATTCAACAATGTTTTTCTCTTAAGGTACAGCTGGAAAGTAACATTTTGGTAAAAAATTGCTATACCTGCACATGTTATTTTCTGGTACAAAATAAAGTATGAAGGCATGTGTCAATTTCCTTGATTTTTTCAGGAAAGTATCATTACACTGTCTTCTTTTAGAATATCTGGTAGGGGTTCAATGGAAACTCCAGGAAATTCTGATATTTCACACTTTCTATTTTTCCAAATTTTCTTTCAAAATTTCCAGACATCACAGGAGCTACCATTGACCTATTTCCAGATATTATAAAAGTAAACAGTGTAATGATACTTTCCTGAAAAAAGCAAGGAAATACACACATGACTTCATACTTAATTCTGTACCAGAAAATAACATGTGCAGGTATAGCAAATTTTTACCAAAATGTCACTTTCCAGCTGAACCTTAAACCAATTATTGAAAACATTCTGTAAAAAACACGGTCCTTTATGTAATGTTGACTGATTGGCAACAATTTAATGCAAAAATTATTTTTATATATTTTATATAACTGTTAACATTTTTTTTTTAGTTCAATTGTTTTTTGTTCCTTTCTACCAATTCTTGAGAATGAAATAAAATGTCTTTCCGAAACCTTGTTGGAACAAAATAGCATATACAACATTTTCTGACCTCTCAATATTACAGTTATTCAAAGGAAATTTTGATTGATTTTACAAAATGTATGCAAAAACTTAAAAACAAAACCCCCCAAAATAGATAAAAATTAAGATAAACATTTTATTTCATTAACAAGATACTTTTTTAAAATCAACCAAACTTTCCTTTGTACAATTACAATATTGAGAGACCTAAACACATTGTGTTGATATCATTTGTTCCAATAAGGTTCGGATAGATGTTTCATTTCATTCCGAACATATGGCATGGTACCAAGAACAAGAGAAGTGTCTGATGTGTTTTCTAAAACAATAAGAGAAAAGGATATATACTGTATATGTTTCAAATTATAATGTTACCATTCAAAAGATGACCATTAAATTGACAATGTGTGCAATTTTCAGAATGTTTTGATGACTGGTTTAGAGAAGCGCGTGTTCAAAAAGTTCACCGTATCGATACCACTCCTTTAAGCCCTAAAAGTAAATAGAACAATGGGAGAACATTACAGGCTAGAGAGCCTCCAACTCTCTTAAACTTGATGATGATGAATATAATAACCCATTTTGTGCATGTTTCTCTTCCAGAATGTACTAAATCACACGTGATAGATATGCCTCCCACTGAGTTCAACAGGACAGCTCTTGATGCATGGTTGGAGTATGTGTTTAAACACAACGTCTCTTGGGATTTCATCCCAGAGGCCACTTATAATGTTGTGTCTGCTGGTGCAAACTCCCCAAAAGATAGTCATAACTTCTACCAGGTGTATGGGTCACCAAAATCTCAAAATGGTAATTATCATCATGGATTTTTGTTATTTTTGTCACAGCAAGAAAACAATTAAGATGAGGTTGGATATGGTTTAAGAGCATTCTGTTCAACCATATACAACCACACAAAATCATATTCTTCAGTATACTGAAGTAATATATGATATAGTGTCCTTAGACTTTATACCACAGTTAGCTATGAAATGCTACTGACTAGGATGTGACAGGAGTACTCTGATCTTGTATCATTTGGGTAGGGATGGCAATGACCAGGGTGACCATAGAGTATACATTACCTTCACTTCTGTAATCTGTTCAACAGCAATAACTGCCAACTGTAAATAATAATTTTTAGTTCTGGTTTTTAGCTGGTCCACCTTAGGAGTAAATTAATTTGAGCTATTCAAAGGTGATCCTGATAAATATAATAATAATACATTGGTGAATTCAAATGATCTTATATTAGTGATTCTTAATTGTATTCGGATCTCAGTTCAACTAATAAGCGCACAGTGTGCTCCCCAAATTGAAACTTAAAAGAAAGGGTAAGATATTGAGGGATCCCAATAAGCAAACACAAAAAAACTCTCATTAAAATCATCAAAATTAACACCTCTTTAGATGTTATATCATTAAAGTTGAAATACTCTCTGAATTAAACTGTTAAATATAATTATCAATCAATACCTTGTTGTGTTAATGATCGAAAAAAATGCATTAAACTTCGTGTTTTCTTGAGACCATTCATAAAAGTCACACTTGAGCTCATTGGAACTGCACGCTCATTAGAGAGAATATGGTAATTCATTTAATTAATATTTTTTCTTGATAAATAGTTTAAAACTTAATTGTAATCATACCCTGTGCACAACCCTACCCTTTGCATTCGTTTGACTTCACTTCTTAAAAGAGAGCTTCGTCTTCACTCTTTCAAACTAAAATAAACCTGTGAACTCACCGCGCCAATCAGTGTTCGTCGGCCAAATTTGACCGACGGTCTATATATAGTCATTCCTTCTGACGTCATCGTTGAGCCCGAAATTGACCGATGACATGCAAATATTTAATTAGAACGCATTTGGCATATGTTTCTTCAAGCTCGCTGATTGGTGGAAGAAAGGTCAGCGCGTAGGTCAAAAGCGATTTATTACCCGAACTGCCACCGGTATCCGTCGTGGGGGTGGGGCTACTAAACTGTAATATGGTCTCTACTAGGCAGAGTGTAGTTTAACTAGACTCTGCACGCAGGGTAGCACAACCCCTGAATCAGCATGAATGATTGGAGCTGAACACAATGGACCTCAAGACGCAAAGAGTGGCATATATGAGCTGAATTCAATGGACCTCAAGATGCAGAGAGTGACATATATGAGCTGAACACAATGGACCTCAAGACGCAAAGAGTGGCATATATGAGCTGAACACAATGGACCTCAAGATGCAGAGAGTGACATATATGAGCTGAACACAATGGACCTCAAGATGCATAGAGTGACATATATGAGCTGAACACAATGGACCTCAAGATGCAGAGAGTGACATATATGAGCTGAACACAATGGACCTCAAGATGCATAGAGTGACATATATGAGCTGAACACAATGGACCTCAAGATGCAGAGAGTGACATATATGAGCTGAACACAATGGACCTCAAGATGGATAGAGTGGCATATATGAGATGAACACAATGGACCTCAAGATGCAGAGAGTGACATATATGAGCTGAACAACATGGACCTCATATACACATAAAGTGAATGATTTGACCTGAACACAATGGAGCTCAAGATGCGAAGAGTGACAGATATGAGCTGAACACATATATGAGCTGAGCAACATGGACCACATGCACACATAAAGTGAATGATTGGACCTGGACACGTGAACACGTTGAATGAACCTCAAGACGCATTTAGACGCAGATATGAACTGAACAACATGGATCTCATATACACATAAAGTGAATGATTGGAGCTGAACACAATGGACCTGAAGACGCAAATAGTGACATATACTCGTATGAGCTGCTAACATGGACCTCGTATACACCTAAAGTGAATGATTTGAGCAGAACACAATGGAACTCAAGATGCATAGAGTGACATATATGAGCTGAACACAATGGACCTCAAGATGCATAGAGTGACATATATGAGCTGAACAACATGGACCTCATATACACATAAAGTGAATGATTGGAGCTGAACACAATGGACCTGAAGATGCATAGAGTGACATATATGATCAAGCTGAACAACATGGACCTCACATATACCTAAAGTGAATGATTGGACCTGAACACAATGGACCTCAAGATTGATAGAGTGACATATATGAGCTGAACACAATGGACCTCAAGATGCATAGAGTGACATATATGAGCTGAACAACATGGACCTCGTATACACCTAAAGTGAATGATTGGGGCTGAACACAATAGACCTCAAGATTGATAGAGTGACATATATGAGCTGAACACAATGGACCTCAAGATGCATAGAGTGACATATATGAGCTGAACAACATGAACCTCATATACACCTAAAGTGAATGATTGGACCTGAACACAATGGACCTCAAGATTGATAGATTGACATATATGAGCTGAACACAATGGACCTCAAGATGCATAGAGTGACATATATGAGCTGAACAACATGGACCTCGTATACACCTAAAGTGAATGATTGGACCTGAACACAATGGACCTCAAGATTGATAGATTGACATATATGAGCTGAACACAATGGACCTCAAGATGCATAGAGTGACATATATGAGCTGAACAACATGGACCTCGTATACACCTAAAGTGAATGATTGGACCTGAACACAATGGACCTCAAGATTGATAGAGTGACATATATGAGCTGAACACAATGGACCTCAAGATGCATAGAGTGACATATATGAGCTGAACAACATGAACCTCATATACACCTAAAGTGAATGATTGGAGCTGAACACGATGGACCTCAAGACGCAAAGAGTGGCATATATGAGCTGAACACAATGGACCTCAAGATGCATAGAGTGACATATATGAGCTGAACAACATGAACCTCATATACACCTAAAGTGAATGATTGGAGCTGAACACGATGAACCTCAAGATGCAAAGAGTGGCATATATGAGCTGAACACGATGGACCTCAAGACGCAAAGAGTGGCATATATGAGCTGAACAACATGAACCTCATATACACCTAAAGTGAATGATTGCAGCTGAACACAATGGACCTCAAGATGCCGAGTGACATATAGGATATTCGATCTGAACAGTGAACAACATGAACATAACATTCTGACATCAAGTGACTGATAAGAGTTGAATTAACAAAAACTGCACACACATACATTGACTAACTGATAGGATGCTTGCACAGTGATTGAAGTGATTACAATGCATCATACATGTCATAAGGGCTCAGCATCTTTACTTAGCTTTTGCTCGCTGGATGACAAATCATTGTTCCAGTGCTGTCAATCATCTGGTAGACAGATAGTAATGTATTACACTTCCACTGTATTTTTGTATGCCTGCGTTGCTGGTGAATTGCGTAATGTTTTAATGAGGTATATCCCCAGATCCCAGGTATCACTAAAAAGAACAATAAAACCTGCAGAGCTCATTACATGCCCATGTGTTTTCAACAAAAAAGCTCATTCAAGCGCACTAGCACTCACATATTTCTTTTGAAAGACATCACGGTTTATTGCAATCGAGATCCTGTGGTACACTAGCAACTAGCTGGCGCGATTGACACACACAAGCAGTCAACAAGATTGCCACAGCGTAAGTAGCGGTTTAAGTGCGATGAACTGCTCTTGTTGAAAATCTGTGGACATGTATTTACAATGCATTATTTTCTTTTTCGTGATACCTAGGGGGAATATTTCTTACATACCATGCAATGCAGTCGCCGGCGGGCAGTTCAAAAACACAGCCTTAATCCCCAAGTATGTTCTAAACCATCGTAGCTTTGTATTTTAGGTGGCTCTGATTGGCAGCTGTACATCTATTTGTTCATTATGTCTATCCTGTCTGTCATGGGGATCATTGTTGGCTGTGTTGTCTTCAAATTCTTTGTTGCTACTAGTGATCAAACAGGAAAACAAACTGGTAGGTACTAAGGTTTAAGGGGAAACACCAGGAAATACCACATAAACATATAAATGAACAATAATCAATACACAGAGCACAAAACTGCATTTGTTTCATTGGGAGCCAAAAAGATCATCAATCCAAATATTGAATATGACAAGGTTCCATCATTTAAAGGAAGTGATTTTACATTTGATTTACATAGGTTGAGGTCTATCTCACTTTACTTATGACATGTATTTATCAACATTACACAACTTGTGAAAGTGATCATGGGTGGAGACTAAAGTTTACTTTAATTTCACCATTCTAAGGTTATTTTTATCATGTGCATAATTTGCAGAAGTCATCCAAGACAAAGAAAAACAGAAGTATCCTCATCTTGAGAGACTCTCTGGGGAGCCCAACAAGGCGAGATTCAATAATTATGTGACAACTGATGTTTGTGCATCTGCAGTTAAAGGATGAGCTGGGTGCACTGAGATCAACATGTTTTGTGAAGAGACGCAAGGTTGGCTCAAGATAAACACATTTATGGATTTATGAATTGCTCATGCAGTTTTAAAGAACAGTGAAATTTATGGAACACTGAGTCTCATTGAAGGATCAGATTTGTGGGTTACCGACTTTCATAGAACAGCGAGATGTATGGTTTGCTGAGTTTCATGGAATGATCAGATTTGTGGATTACCGACTTTCATAGAACAGCGAGATGTATGGTTTGCTGAGTTTCATGGAATGATCAGATTTGTGGATTACTAACTTTCAAAGAACAGCGAGATGTATGGTTTGCTGAGTTTCATGGAATGATCAGATTTGTGGATTACTGACTTTTATCAAGGACGTCTATCTAGAGATAGACGTCCTTGGTTGTGATAAGACATTTAAAACAGAAATAACATTTTTCAAAAGACCATGTGCAGTATGGCAAGTGATTTTAGACAGTCATATCTTTCACCATGAGTAATTTCTGGCCATAAATACAGTGGTTTTTATTAAAACAATATGTTTTCTTTCAAGTGAAGTACCCATGATGATAAAAATATAAATCGAACAATTCGAAAAATTATGAATAGACCCCATCTCAACATTTTTTTCAAAATATCAAACCTATTTAGTATTTACTCAAAAGAGGATCTCCTTTTTCTGATTTTTATTGCATGGAAAAAATATTCAACAAGGGGTCTAAAACATCTTCAAAAATATAATGGTATTGAAAGTCTAGTTTTGAAGATATCAATTTTCGATGGCCAAAATGATGCTGAAAACAATGGATAGCACGAGTTTTCCCTATGGGAAAATAAAATGGGATATGTGGTTCTTAACAATAATGCATTTCAATACGCGTCCCCTTTTCAGAAATTGTTAATATGGTGTAGATGAAACTTTCGATATGTGTAAATTGAGAAAAACAAGAGCCACAAGATCCTCTTTTCAGAAAATAAGCTTAACATTTTTTAATAAAAAGTGCCAAGGTGGGGCCCTTAATCCATAATTTTTCAGAGAGTTGGATTTGTATTTTACTATCATGGGGACTTCACTTGAAAGAAAACATATTGTTTTAATAAAAACCATTGTAATTATGGTGAAAGATATGACTGTCTAAAATCACTTGCCATACTGCACACGGACTTTTAAAAATCCTCAAGCTTAGCCAATCAAAATCAAGTATTAAGCAATGCTGTTAATAACGCAGATGCGAGTAGATAGTAACCAGTTTCACCACCAGGTGGCACGTTTGGGTCAGGTAGCATGGCGGATATAGTAGAAAGTTCCATTTAACTTAAATTACATTTGTTTTAGTAGTTCAATTTTCATATAGGCTAACCCTTTTGTATCCGATAGTTATGCAAATTAGAATATGTCCAGTTAAAGAAAATGTTATCCGTCCAATACAACAAAAGATATTTCACTTTTTGTGATTTTGTAACATGGGGTCTTCGGGGAATCAACTCGTACTAGAAGTCACATTTTCAAAAAAATTAAATTTCCAAATTAAAGTTGATAAACAATTTTCGAAACCATATTTCTAATTCTAGACGTACTTTTACATGTAGATTTCAAATGAATTTTGTATATTAAATGACATAAATCAAGATTTTTTCTACTCGCATCTAGTTTATTAAACTCACTAATCCTGACTTCCTGTACCATGTTAAAGTGTGCATGTAACCTGATATTTTAATGGGAGTTGCTAGCAACTTTAAAACCGGCCTTTAATGCAAAAGATTATATAGGATATTGAGTAAGTTGAAAATCTAAATAGGCCAGTTAAAAAACATGGTGACCATCTTGAAAAATGACGGCCATTACACTTTATTTTATGATTTTTGTTGTAACTGGAAAAGTAGTTGAACAATTTTGTTCATATTTAATATGTGAATGCTCATAAGCATGGTACAATGTCTTATGACACTTTAACCATTTTTGTGCGTGTTATTTTACATTTTTTACTCAAATGTGAAAAGTAGTAGAGCAATTTTGTTCATATTTGATATGTGAATAATTAAATGCATGGCACATGCGCACACTGTCTCATGACACATTGCCCAGTTGAAAAGTTGTAATATTATTATGATGCATATTCCCTTACACATGTACACATGCATTTTTAGTCTAGTTAGTGTTTTGTAGTTTAGTTAATTGTAGTTCTGACTAATGTAATCATTGTATGATACCGTATGTTAATATAAGTTGTATATATAATGTGAGCTATAATGGTAGATCAAACATCTTCCAAACCATCCTTTCTATAATTATAACAACACTAAACATTTCTATCATAATTTACTTCATCTTAATAATACTCTTAGTACAAAAATATTATCAATTACAAACAAACTGCATATCAATTTGATATTTGCAGGAAGAGGGATTATACACTTCATTTCACTCGCATCATTCTATTCTCATAATTATGCTATAATATATCTCTATTTTGGGACAGATCATCTAAATATATATAGATGAAATCATGAGATATCAAGCAAAATTCCAAAGTAGCAAAGGGTGACAATTAAATAGTACTAAATTAGCCATAAGTACCACATATTTTTTATAGTTTGGGGGTTGACCATGCAGTTCATAAGTAAAAGATACATGGTATAAGTGGAAGGAAATAAGTACAAAGGGTGGTATATCAAAATATCATTCAACAATAAAATGATTTGAGACTTTGGCTAGTTCATTAAATCACATGTTAAAATAGCTGCAAAAGCATATACATGTACTTGTATTACAACTGCTGATACCTGTATAAATATGTTAACACATTTAAATCATGAAATCAGTGTGCTTACGTGGAGTGTGTGCTTGATCAGTGGTAGGTGCCCTCATTGAGAAATTGATTCACTCTGACTGCTTTCAAGCCACAATTTAGTATTTTAATTACCAAGGCATTTTTACTACATTGGAATTCAGAATACATAACTGCATATAACTAAAATCAACAAGGCATTGCCAACTGCCAATCGCCATCAACAAAAAAACAGAGACCATAACACTATGTCACCACTTTTTGCTTGTGACATAATAATTCAACATTTTCCCAGCACATAAATTATATCCATGTACATTCAACTAATTGGATGAAGAAAAAATAAAATCATCATCCTCCTAATCCCCAAAATATATAAAAGGCATTAACATGCAAAATGTCAACACCTGCCATTTGTTACATACTCTGAACTCCGAATTAAAGACCTGCATAGATTCGATAGACTCTTTGATAAGGCCTTATTTTATGTAAAAACCTATTAACAATCATTAGCATTATTTTTTTAATGATAAACTAAAAACCATAATTAATCAAACCTCTTCAGTCGATTGTATGAAATAAACTGAAAATTGTCAGCTAAAGTTGTTGCTTTAATGACTTCATACCAATATTTACACTGAATTTGGGGTATTTCATGTATTTCTTTTTGAAGTGAATGATATAGCTGTGGTACTGTCCATGTTCGTTGTATAGTACTGCTTCCATCTTCATGATGCATTTTTATTGTATGTTTAAAGCACATTTCATGACACAGTGACATGCATGAGTACTAAGTAATATTTCCCATCAACAGGATTTGTATCATTAAAAATTGTCCTATAAAAAATATTTTACAATCTTATCTCCTTGAGATGAAAAATGATTAACACCCCAGTCACATTTGTCGTACGGAGGCCGTGTTCATTTCTGTGGTCCCCATAGAAATCAGCAGGCCATTACCAGACTGCAGAAAAGTCCAACGGTGGCCGCATGTCAGGTTTGACTTGCATCTGCTGTAGGGTTTGATGGGTAATGTACCCTTGGAAACTGTTTTTATGTCAGTTTTCGGTCATATATTTGCTGTTAACACAACACAATACGTATTATACTGTTTGATGTAAGGTAACTGATACCACAGCAACTTATATTTCACTTGCACTTTTTATTTGATACTTTATCCTAACAAAACAAACAACATTTATAAATTGGACTGATGTAGATAAAATAAAAAGGAGAATTAACGTTAAATCAACAGAAATTCAAAAACTCGCCATGCGGCTGCCGTAGGAAATGCGACTGCAAAAGTATCAGACCGCAGAAATTCCACAGCAAGCGTAGAAATGTTACTGACTGCAGACATGATAGACCGCACGGTCGGCGAAGGAAATGTGACTGGGGTGTAAGTACTATATAATACTTTATAATATTGTATTGCCTTGAAAATGCCTTGTGTTGTATCATGCATTTCATCTCAGTCTGTAACATACTATACTTGTATGTTGCAGTGTGTTACATGTGTTACACTACATGTCCTTTTGTTCATTGTATAGTATCAAACTATATACTGCATTTTGTTGAAGACTACACACTTCATTTCACAAGTTTTAGTATTTTCATAATAAACGCGAAGATGGGACCATTTGATCATACTGAAATATCACTTGCAGAATGTTGACTCAGTCCCATTTTTAATATTCTAGGGTGTATTATTAAATATTTGAGCTCTCTGATTAATTACATCATCTTATGTTGTATTATCCTGTACAGTTGAACTTGAAGTGTTTCCTCCTTGATTCTTCAAATGTTCATCTAAGTGCTCCATCGCCATCTGAAAATCAAACATTAGTCACATACAGTGATACAGTGATGTCTGGGTTACTACAGATTCTACTTCCAACAGCATGAAAATACAGCAGGATAGATATATGTCACATGAGCCAATCAGGTAACAAGCAATTACATGTTTTCATTCTCATTTCTTTTAATGGACTATTTTATATGACATATTGATGACTGTTGCTTACATCATTGCTGGTCTTCATATTCAGCCAGGCTCTACATCCCCTCCAAGAACAGCGCAACATGCCATCATTGGGGGTCAGGTGGTCCAAAACTATGTGCTCCTTAACAGCATCATTGTTAGCATATATATTGCTACAGTTTCCAAACTGCAAATCATAACAATATCTCAGTCCCTTGTGTCAAAAATATGGTTCCAATTATAGTCTCCTACATGGCCACAGTTGATTATAAAATACTTGTAATGAGGAAGTTGTAATTGGGTCATCTTATAGACCAATGAATAGACAGATCGCTTAAATTTTGTCACCCATGAAGCAAATTAATTTTTTACTGCTTAATAAATGGCCAAGGACAGTTACATTGAGTTCTATAAGTATGACAATAGCATGACATCTTGATATTTCAAGGTAACTCATTCGAAGAGAGATGGCGGTGATCGAAATTATGATGTAAAGATAAAACCCTAATGAAATATTTATAGATTTTTTTGGAAAAACTAAGAAATATACATCACATATCAAATTTTTCAAAACAAAACAAAAAAACATGTATAAAATGTAAGGCCTACAGGTCAGATTCCCCCTGGTAGCATTAACATTGGTCTCATAAATGTCATACAATTAATATTTGAAATACAACTATCGTTCAAACTTATGATCGGGCATAAGTATGATGTTACTTTATCAATATTACATTGAAGTACACATCATACCTCATACACATCATGTCTGGTCATAAGTTTGAATAATAGTTGGGTTTCAAATATTAATTGTATATCTTATACGAGATCAATGTTAATGCTACCAGGGGGAATTAGACCTACATGCCTTATTCATGTTTTTTCTGTTTTGAAAAATTCAATATGAGATATATATTTCTTAGTTTTTCAAAGAAATCTACTAATATTTCGTTGCGGTTTTATCTTTACAAAATGTTTCTTCTTTCCTGGTGAATGTCATGTTAGGCAATCTGTCTGCATGGGGTGGAATGGGGATTTTGAAGTTTTGATAAACAAAAAGCAGTTTAATTCATAATCAATGTGGTTGGGGAGCAGAAAGAAACGGGTATGGTATGGCAAGTGATTTTAGAAAGTCATATCTTTGTCCCAGAGTATTTTCAGCTCAGGATAAATATGACATTTAGAAAAGGTGTTTAGGTTGCATTCGTTCGACTTCACTTCTTAAAAGAGAGCTTCGTCTTCACTCTCAATCTTAAAATCTCTGATCTCACGGAGCCAATCAGAGCTTGTCGTTGAAATACGGACAACTTTCTAAATATGGTCATTTCCTCTGACATCATCACATAGTTAATGAGCATGTATTAAGCATGTGTTCCATCCAGTTCACTGATTGGTTGAGAAAGGGTCAGCATGGAAGATTTGAAATGATTTATGACCTGGGCTGTCTCAGGCACCGATCGTGGAGTTGGGGTTGCTTAACTGTAATATAGTCTATGCTAGGCAGAGGGTATAACTAGACTCTGCACGTAGGGTAGTTTAGATAGGGTCTTTATCCAAGAAAAATATTGTTTTAATGAAACAAAGATATGACCTGTCATATCATACTTAGTTCTTTATGCGATAGATATAAAGATTTTAATAATTACCTTGCATGGTATTCTGATGTTGGGAAGATATTTTATTGATTGCACATGGCCATCTTTTGTGCCAGCAAACATCTGCAACGAACACAACAATGAACAAAATGAAGCAATAAAATAAGCACTTTGAAAAAACACATACAATAGTTATATTATTTGTAGTCAACTTTAAACATATGATTTAGGAATTAAGATGCACAGCCCAAAAGAATATATGGCCAATCAAGAGCTGGCCCATTAAATGATTGGAGAATTGCATCAATGTATGGGATTCTGTGTTGGACTTGATATGATGGTTATTGTTGGTAGAATATGGTTCATTGTATCACCTTAAATGTTGACATATTTTTTGTCGTAATTTGAGAATATACATTTGGACTGTGATACAACTATGCTTAATAAGCCATTATTCATCTATAAAATAGTGACGATTTTGAAAGATTAGTTATGACTAACAGAAACTCTTGTGTGCTGCAGTACATAATTTGAACTGACCATGTTGTTGGCAGGATCAAATTCCATAGACATCCCCTGAGCCCCATCTCTTAGTCTGTATTGCTGAACAATCTGGTTCTTCTGAAATGTAAATGGATTTTCAATTCTTTAAGATTAATTTATATCAATTCTACATACAGACATAGTACATGTATCAATTGTGGAGGGTCTTCCCCCTTGCTTCATTTCAAGGGAATAATTTCTCGTATATCAGAATGTGCCTCTTAATAATTCAATATATATATTTATCCCATACTTGCACGTGTTATAGGTACATAAAGCAGGTTTGTAAAAACTTATTTTTCATCAGCGGGCAGATATAGATTTACATCCCGCTACGAGCAGGCAGATATTGTACAGTGAGTATCAAAAAAAACGCAACAGATTGTAATCTTGGAAAAGCACAAAACCAGTGATAACAGCATTGATTTCATTCAATGCACCATAAAGCCATGTGTCTCCTCTTTACAATGATATATCATTCATTGATATTTGGTCATGGTTGGGCGAGTAATCATTTCATTTGCAAAGTGGGCCAGAATTAGCTTCGGGCCAAGTTATAAATATTGCAAAAGTCAGTGTACGGAGCCCCATGCAATATTGGATGAAAACATAAAACCAATGCTGACTGCATCCTTTTAAGTCAATGTACCAAAAAACCAAATTACTCTGCTTTGCAATGGAATATCATTCATTCACAGCGAGTCATCAAGCAAAGAAAAGCAGCCCATGGGCAAATCTTTCTCGAGGTTTTGCAATATCTGGTGGAGGAATTGTGAGCACAGATGCTCCTGAGATAGCCCCAAAAGAAAAAGTCACAACAATTCAAATCAGGGGAACTTCCATTGGCACTTAGCCCTTGCACTGATTTTTTTCAATATCTAAAACTCGGCGCAGAGCCGATTTTGACCCACTGTGCACATGGAAGGATTTCTCACCCAACCATTACCACATGTGAATGAATGACATATCATTGCAAAGAGGAGAGACATGGCTTTATGGTACATTAAATGAAATTGATGTAGTCATCACTAGTTTTGTGATTTTACGAGAAAACTACTTGTTGCGTTGTTTTTGATACGCCCTGTATATCTGCCCACTGGCAGATGTAGTATATCTGCCCACTACGTCATAATCGCCGTTCGCATATTGGTTCATTTTGTAACATTCGCATAATAACGACAATGGAAAAAACGTAGACATTCGCAATCTGTTTGATGGATTATAGAATGAAAGGAGCATCCTGTTAATAATCGAAGATTCGAGAAAATAAATGTGGGTGAATATGGAAAATCTGGCCACGGCCAAGGAAACAAAACTGGACATGAATATTCAAAAATATTTCTACAGTGAATGGAAATTTTCTGAGCTGTGGCCAATTGAACAATGTGAACCAGATGATCAAGATCGCTATGGGATAAACATATCATCCTACATTCCTCGGGCAGATATATATTGGCCTCAGGATAATCCAAATATCCTTAGCCTCATATAGGATAATATCAATATACAGTATATTAAAAAGTTTTTTTTTCAACTCTACACTTACCTTTGCTGTGTCTATACATCTGATGTTCCCATTCAGGTCTAAAGAGATGACAATATTCTTGCATGCATGTAGCTTTGTGACGTATCCACTGTGGGTAATAGAATCCACCTGATTTCCTTCCTGGAAACATAACATCACATTTCCCATGATGCAACAATTTAATAAACAGATGTAACATCATATAACCTATAATGCAACACACATAGCAGACAAATACAACATCATTAGCAATAGTTCAACATACAGACATAGTGCAATATATTTATCAAATGGATTTTTCGAACATCACATTATGACAATACACTTTTTAAAGTGTGGTAAAAAAAAAAAAAAAAAAAAATGTTATGATGACAATATCTTGATTGAACAACTTTGTATAAAAAAGTGAATGATATTGAGATCAAACATATTTCTAAACATTGGCTAGTGATGTCATTAATTTTGACATCTTCACACCCAACAACAGAAGAATTTGTCACCTAACAGTTATTTGCAAGTAATAATTGAAAATTGCATGTTTTTGGTTTTAACTAGACATCTTTGCAATAATTACAAGTGATTGTGGATAGCAAAGAGACTCTTTACTTTTAGTATATACAGGGTGGTCAAAAAATGGGACACTCATATTTCAAGAATAAATATTGACAAAAACATATATTATACTGTATACCAGTAGATGGGGAATGTAATCATCTTAACTTGGTACATCATGAGTTCAAATTTATTATAATACATGTCAACCAGTGTCCATAATGCAAATTACATCGTGTTTTCAATTCAAAATGGATTTTCAAAAACTTGCAAAAAGATGTTCAATATGTCCTCCATTTTGATCAATTATACCCCTCAATCTTGGCCTAGACTGGTCAATAGCATCACTGATATGCTGTTGAGGTAATGAATTCCACTTCTCAACAAATTTTGTTCTTAAGGGACTGAATAGATGTAAGGAGTTCATGAAACACCAATTCTGTTAGTTCAACCCGTACGTGGAAGTCGCAGACGTTAGAATTGGATAATCTGGGGGCCCAGTGATTAGGGGGGGGGGGGGTGAATGTAGGCACTCTCCTTTAAATATTTGACTGTCTTGTGGTATCTATGACTTAGAGCCCCATCTTGTTAGAAAATGTAATGATTCAAATATCAGGAATAAGTCCTCTGTGTAGGATATATTGATTCACCTCCCTAATCACTGGCCCCCCAGATCACCCGATACCAATGTCTGCCTACGGCTTCCACATATGGGGAGAACTAACAGAGTTGGTGTACCATGAGCCCCTTCCATCTAATCTGTCCCTTAAGGTCAGAATTGTTGAGAAGTGAAATTCATTATTTCAAAAGCATATCAAAGATGCTATAGACTAGTCTATGCCAAGATTGAGGGATATAATTGATCAGAAGGACACAAACGTGTACATGTCCCCACACAAGATTTTAAAAAGGAAAATCCAAAATGGCTGCCATTTTCTAAGGATGCCCAAAAACTAATCAGTTTTTATACAAATAATCATCCCTGAAAATTTGAAAACCATCCGTCAAACAGTTTGCCTGAAAATGTGTAGACAAGATTTAGAACGGAAAAATTCAAAATGGCCACTGTAACATTTACCCAGAATGCCTAAAAACTATTCTGATCGAGATTTACATACAAAGAATCACCTCTGAAAATTTGAAATTGATCCATCAAACAGTTTACCTGAAAATGTATAGACAAGACTTAACAGACAAGATTTTAGGAGGGAAAATCCAAAATGGCCACCTTAACTTTGCCCAAAATGCCCAAAAACTAAACTATACAATATTTTCATACAAAGAACCATATCTGAAAATTTGAAATCAATCTGTCAAATGGTTCGCCTGAAAACACAAGACATTACAGAAAAACTGAAATGACAGAAAATCCAAAATGGTCGCCTAAACATTTACCCAGAATGCCAAAAAACTAATCAGATCAAGATTTTCAGACAAAGAATCATCCCTGAAAATTTGAAATCGATCCGTCAAAGAGTTGGCCTGGAAATGTGTAAACAAGACTTAACAACTTTACAGACAAGATTTGCGAGTTTTTGAAAAACCCTTTTAAAAAAAATGACGTCATTTGCTTATGGACGCTGGTTGACAGGTATTATAATAAAATTGAACTTATGATATACCAAATTTAATTCTCCATGCACTGATATATAATATGATAGGTTTTCATCAATAAAATTAATATTTATTTTTGAAATAGGAGTGTCCCATTTTTTGGACCACCCTGTATATTTAAATACACATTCAGGTTTAAACCAAAATAGCTATTATAATCAACAGTTATTAGGCAGCAATTTCTGCAGTAGCCAGTGTGAAGAGAATTTCCATATGACCTTAAATAATTTTTTTTTATTTCGCCAAAGGTATTTTATCTACTAAAAGTTTGTTTTACGACACATTTTAGTATTATAAGGGATGGTGTCCCATGGTGAATGCATCTGTGGCAATGTGCCAATATAGCTACCTAGTAAACAACCTTTTAGATTTTGTTATTTCAACATCAGAGTCAATATAAGGTCTGCATGCTGTATTCTTGTCACTCTAATGAATAATTATAATAAAATGAATTTTTATAAAGTAAACATGTATTTCCAGGATCATAAGAGTATAATATTAAACATATATAGCATCACGGAGTGCATTCTGCTACACCGGCAAGAAAAAATATATAATTGTGAAATACTTTTATTAACCAATCATATACCCTTAAGGTCAGGGTGCATGATCGGAAATTTTCTGCATTCCTCAATTGAGTCACATGTTATTTTTCTAACAAGAATCACTCCTTCCCCACATTGTCTATATCTTCCAGTTTTGCACAAAGAGTACACTTATGTGCCTAGAAAAGACTTGTGAGAAGAATGTTTTGATAAAGTGTATAAAAAACAAGAAAATTCAGTGAAAAAAATTAGAAAATTTTCAGAAATATTTTTCACTGAATTTTCTCATTTTTTATACATTTTACAAAACAAACCTTCTCACAAGGCTTTTCTAGGCACATAAGTGCACTATTTGTGCAAACTTGGAAGATGTAGACAATGTGGGGAAGGAGTTATTCTTGTTTGAAAAATAACATGTGACTCAATTGAGGAATGCAGAAAATTTCCCAACATGCACCCTGTCCTTAAAACATTTCGTAATAACCCCCTTTTACAAAAGGAGGGAGATTTTCCAGATACACATGTAATATGAATAAATATTATTTTGCTGTCATATCCCTCAGAGTACTTTCATAAAAATATATGGACAGCCCTTTTATGTAAATATTACATACACTACAATTAACAATGCCATAGAGCCATACACTGTATTTTAAGACAAAAATACCTTAAATTCTTTTTCTGTGTGTTGTTTGCCTACACCTATTATGGTCCATTTAAATGATAGTAAACAAGGCTTCACATCAATTGATACAGCTTTTCTTTCAAAACTTGACATAAAGAGCAACATAAAATATAATGTACAAGTACTTACTGTAAACATACATTTTATATCAATATAATATTTTTCATATCCATCAAAATCTGTTATTTTGCAACACTGTAATTATTATTAATGTTTTTATTATTCTTAAATCTGACTCTGTGATATGATCATACTACAGAGGTTTATGCTAATAAAAAGAACAGTATTGCTAACAAAATTATTTTCTTAATTTGTAAAACAACAAGGGTTACAGTATGCCAAATGCTAACAAATGGAACTGGTGTATTTGGGAGAGCCACATTCTCACATACAATTTACAATGAGAAGACAAAGAGGACCAAATAAAACTGTTTATTTTTCAATCAGCATTTCATGCTTTCTATGTGGACTAGCTATTATATGTATTCAAGGCATAGAATTCTATGATGAAAATGCAAATTGTGCAAATTATTGCTTCTCAAATGACTCAATGGACTCAAACAAGAAATTAAAAGTCTATCCAGTGCCAGATATGTATGACATGGTTTGTGGAATATTCTTAATGATGCTCAGCATACCAAGACTTGTTCTGATATATAAAGGAAAATACAGTTCTTCATGCATACTGATCATGCATGTAATATTTGGTACAATATTATCAACTTTGCTGTGGGTTCTACATATTGCTATCAGTCTGACTAGTCTTATTGAAAAGTACGAGAACCTAGAAAAAGGTAAGAGTGTTTTTAGAAAAAAGTATTGTACACTTTTCATTTACATCTTTTCTGCACATGAATTTACTAAGCTTATGGCCTGATTCATGAATTTAAAATGTTGCATTAATAACTTCAAAAGATACGGACCAAATTCTGAATAGTACATACTAAGATATTCAGAATTTACTATATGTCTTACATGTCTTATTACTGCTAATTACAATTTTGATATTTTGCCAAGTTATTGCATGTTCATGTAGGTATCTGGGCATGTAAGACATGGCTGCAATGTTATACAAGGCATTAACATGACAAAATGTCACCACCTAGTTGCTCACAATATTATGAGTCAGATTTGAATTTCTGAGAACTTGTAAAGTCAAATTTGAACTTCTGAAAAGATGTAGATGATTTTGAAAAAAAAATTTGGTCAATTTGAAGCAAGTTAGAAACAGACCTTTTTGACCTTTTTTGACCTTGAGAAGGTCATTAAAGGTCAAATGTCAAATCTAAAGTCAGATTTGAATTTCTGAGAACATGTAGATGATTTTGAAAAAAAAAATTAGTCAATTTGAAGCAAGTTGAAAAAAGACCTTTTTGATCTTTTTTGACCTTGAGAAGGTCATTGAAGGTCAAATGTCAAATCTAAAGTCAGATTTGAATTTCTGAGAACATGTAGATGATTTTGAAAAAAAAATTTAGTCAATTTGAAGCAAGTTGAAAAAAGACCTTTTTGACCTTTTTTGACTTTGAGAAGGTCATTGAAGGTCAAATGTCAAATCTTAAGTCAAATCTAAAGTCAGATTTGAATTTCTGAGAACACTTAGATGATTTTGAAAAAAAAATTTAGTCAATTTGAAGCAAGTTGAAAACAGACCTTTTTGACCTTTTTTGACCTTGGGAAGGTCATTGAAGGTCAAATGTCAAATCTTAAGTCAAATCTTAAGTCAGATTTGAATTTCTGAGAACACGTAGATGATTTTGAAAAAAAAATTTAGTCAATTTGAAGCAAGTTGAAAACAGACCTTTTTGACCTTTTTTGACCTTGAGAAGGTCATTGAAGGTCAAATGTCAAATCTTAAGTCAAATCTTAAGTCAGATTTGAATTTCTGAGAACACTTAGATGATTTTGAAAAAAAAATTTAGTCAATTTGAAGCAAGTTGAAAACAGACCTTTTTGACCTTTTTTGACCTTGAGAAGGTCATTGAAGGTCAAGTGTCAAATCTTAAGTCAAATCTTAAGTCAGATTTGAATTTCTGAGAACACGTAGATGATTTTGAAAAAAAAATTTAGTCAATTTGAAGCAAGTTGAAAACAGACCTTTTTGACCTTTTTTGACCTTGAGAAGGTCATTGAAGGTCAAATGTCAAATCTAAAGTCAGATTTGAAGGTCAAATGTCAAATCTAAAGTCAGATTTGAATTTCTGAGAACATGTAGATGATTTTGAAAAAAAATTTAGTCAATGTGAAGCAAGTTGAAAAAAGACCTTTTTGACCTTGAGAAGGTCATTGAAGGTCAAATGTCAAATCTAAAGTCAGATTTGAGCTTCTGAGAACATGTAGATGATTTAGAAAAAATTGAAGTCAGTCTAAACAGTAATTGTTAAGTTATAGGAAGTTGTAAGAAATTGTTACAGACGCCGGACGCCAACCTCCAACTGCCGGACGCCAACCGCCGTCGCAAAAAAACGGAGACCATAACAATATGTCACCACTTTTGGTGGTGACATAATAGGCCTATGTGATATTGATGTGGAAAAGTCACAAAAAAGTTTTTGAAGACTAGCATATATAATTTTTTATATTTGGATAAATTCTGCAACAAAGTTTTTAGATGAAAGCAGAGATTGATATCTAAAAGCAATATATCACGTCACGCCTTGCAATGGTACTTTCAGATGAAGACAAAGACAAGCTAGCTAAACTGATCAAGAACATTCGCTTAAACATTGGAACTGCAATTTGTGGCGCCATAGGAAATATATTCATATATGTCAACACATGGCTACTAACAAAAGAACATGTTTGTTGCAAATCTCAAGCTCCCACAAACTCTAATGAAGATGATGGAACTGCAGACACGCAAACATCAGATATATCAATGTTACCTATACCACAGCAAGTGAATGATATAAGATTGCCAGCTGCACCATCATACCATTCTACAGACAGACTTGGACTACTGCCATCATATTCACAAATCTACCCAACAACATCACAAACAATATCCCCAGATTTGCCAACAGAGAACATGGATGGGTCTACTTCCAATTCAGCAGACCCCATAGAAACACATAACATACAACCATATTTACCAACAGACCCCTTAGAGACACAAATAGCAACGATACAGTCGGGGGTAACACAAGAACAGAACAGGATATCATTAATATCAGAAATGAACCAATTTGACCTTCCACCATCTTACTCACAAATAAGCTTGCCTAGGAACAACCAGACACAAGTACAGTCATTGTCAAGAGAACCCTTGGATATTTCAAGGCTGCACTAAAAAATTATGCCCCATTGGGAGGACTCCACTATCAAATGGAAGAGCAATCAAAACTAGAAAATGGCAACTCCACGGAGTAGCAAATCCCAATGAACACTATAACATATATGAATCTGTATTTGTCACAAAAAATATAAACATTGGAAACATTAGAGATACATCAGAATTTCTACCAATTTTAAAAGCATTTGGATGACCATTTAAGAGTTTTAAAGGCACAAATAAGACAATTTGAATTTCCTGAGGCACAAATCAGGAAAAAATACCAAAATAGTGATCTGCCCTAAATTTCCTTCAATTTGAGAATAATATAGCCATACTTTGAAGAGATCAGAAAATTATTGCGAAATTCCACATAAGGCTACAAAACCAATATAATCTACAAAACCAATATAATATTTGCAATCTACTCTAAATTGCATTTCATTTGAGTATAATAAACTTCAGAAAGATCTCAAAATTAACTCAAATTCCTGTTTGCAGCCATTTTGAACTTTTCTGAGGCACAAATCAGAAAGACAATACAGGCCCGTAGCCAGGATTTGCCAAGGGGGGGTTCAATTTTCAAAAATTTCCAGGGGGGGTTCACATTTGACAATTTTGTCCCAAATTAGGCTAAAATCACTTGAGAAGTGCTCAAAATGGTCAAAAACTGCATGATTTTGAAAGAATTTTTGGCCAGGGGGGGGTTCGCCCGAACCCTGCGAACCCCCCCTGGCTACGGGCCTGACAATACCATAGTAATGATCTACCATAAAACTTCCATTAATTTGAGTATAATATAGCCATACTTTAAAGGGGACGGACAGATGGACTGACTGACTGATGAATGGCGGACGGATGGACGGAGGGCTTTACTATATCCCTTACGAGCTTCATTTGTTGGGATAATGAGCTAAAAAGGTCTATCAAGGTAGATCTGTAGATGGATCTGCATGAACTAGATCACAGTCGAGTCTCTACTCAAAGAGTGAACTCAAACTCTTGAATGGCATTGACCTATCTACTTACTGATATATTCCAGACCCTCACTGTGTTGTCTGCTGAACCACTATAGAGATAATCCCCCAAGGCCTGGAAACACAAAAAATGAAGAATGCAAATCAAATACACATGTTCAACTTGTGATAATTGAGGGAGGGGGCAGAGATATATTCAAAATAACAACCCTAAGTATTTCTTAGATATCAGATGCCCACGGTGAGATGAGATTGGCTTCAATCTGAGTAGCATATCCTTCATTCCTTTTTCAGCTAGAATCACTAATCACAATACATTAATGTACACAATGAGTTTACAAGTTAACACAGCCAAAATTCTGTCAAAATCTATCAAAAAAGCAGTTAAAAGTTCTTACTACTCTGAGGCTATTTTTGTATCATTTTATTGTGGTCTGGGACAGTGTTTGTACTAAGCGAATATAAATCAGAGGACCAATGGACCAGCAAAACCATAATTTCAACCAGTCCTGGCTAAGCATCATGGGTCACCTGTACCTGCAACTTCTATTATATCATCGGTCCGAATGAAAACTAACCAGTCCTTAAAATATTAAAGAATAGCTCTAGACTAAAAGGCCTACTAGACCTATTTTTACATTCCTTGTCATGTCTCGTTTTTTGTAGCCCTGTTATTATTCTCATCTTCACCTGGTTCAGTACCAGTACCATATTTTGAAAATTGAAAATTGACCAACTTTACCAACAGTTCCAAAAGAAATAAAAAAAATAGAAAAAAATATAAATACCGAAACTGGAACTTACTTTGACTACACTAGACAAAAATAAATTCAGTTTTGTATCTTCACCTGGGATTGTTTATACTACCATACCTGCACATCGCTCCAAAACGCAATATGTTGACATATATTGTTTTTACATTTTCAAGCTCTAATATAAAGTTTATGTAAATAAAAATTGTTTTTTTCTGCGTAATATCAAAGAACTATCATTTAGTTAAAAAAATAAAAAGGCTAGTGCGGGATTCGAACCCGGGCCTCTCGCGTGCTCAGCGAGGATTCTACCCGCTACACAACGGTATTATTATGAAAGGAGGAAGTAATTAAACGCTACTTATTTTGAATGCTATGATTCGGAAGTGACGTCACGTTCTTCATTTAGAAACCTTTCCAAAATCATATCGCCGGCACCGATCGAAGCAAATTCAATGAAAAATCTTTGAAATGACACATTTATCGTAAGTATTTTTACACAAGATTTGCCCCATTTGTTCATCATTCTATAATAGTCCGGTTGCCAAATACCTCTGACAGGCTAAAGGTCGTTTTAAGGTATAAAGTTTTTTTCTGTGCATTTTTCTATTGCTACACATGTATTCTTTAAAATGAAATAATCTGCAAAATCATATATGTTGAGCATTTTTTTTAATCGCACCATATAATTATGTAATTAATTTCAAAGGGGGCGTGGCACTTTGAAAGTTATAACATGTTAACAGTCATTAAAAATTATTAGACCACTGAGAAATATGTGTTTTGGAGAGATAGAGAGAACAAAGGTTTAATTTAACATACATTGCATGTTTTCAGCCTGACCCCCAGGGGCCGTGAATGGGGGGAGGGGTCGGGAAACAGGAATTTTGAGATCTTTCTGAAGTATAGCTTTATTATACTCAAATGAAAGGTAATTAAGAGTAGATTGCAAATATTTATCATTTTTCTGATTCGGGCCTCCTGAAATTCAAAATGGCCACCTAGTGTGGGATTTCGCAATAATTTTGTGATCTTCAAAGTATGCGTATTTTATACTCAATTTGAAGGAATGTGAGAGCAGGTTACTGTTATGGTATTGTTTTTCCTAATTCATGCCTTAAGATTCAAAATGGCTGCATAGAGCAGGAATTCTGTATTACTTAAAGATCTTTTCAAAGTAGTGTTACATGATACTATATTAGATTTCAAATAGTATTGTCTTGATGATTTATACCTTTGAAACCCCTTAATGGTCACTCATATGCTTAAATCTGTGAAGCTTCTTATATATCTCTAATGTATGTATGTCTTAATATCTGTGCGAGTTGCTGATATCTAGTTTGAGATTGATTACATAGTATTACAATAAATAAAACTTTGTTAAAAAAAGATAATACCTATAGTACATATTTTGATAGAAGCACATGCAATTATATTCAATGTACCTCAATTTATAAAGTCATCATGTGATACAAAATATGATGCTTTTTAAACTAATTTGTCAAAAAATGTCATCCAAACGAAAATGTGACTATACTAACATTCCATTTTCATAGAGGTGTGAAAAATAACAATTGTGATCTTTCCCCTCTAAGAGATTACTGAATCACCAACTTAGTTATCAACAATTATTTACCTCTACAAATATCGCTTGGGACTATACTGCTGGAGTTCAAGGCTTCTGCTGTTGTATCTAGATTGATACAGATAATTTTAAACAATTTTGGAGCAAACATGTCCTTTTGGAATGAATGGAAGTCAACCCATACATTGGTACAGTGATATTGGCAGTACAACTAAAAAGAATATTGAGCTATTAAATCCCCAAGTATGGAGGATACTTTACCAGATTGACTACAATGAAAGAGAAATCAGTTAAGCCTGCCACCTTAACAAAGTACTAGCTATTGGCTGACATGAAACCATTCGACCCTAGCACAGTGATGACCATGATGATTAAAGCTAAACATCTTACAAATGAATATGGCATGGAACATACAATTTTAACATAGATCAGCAACTCTATAAAATAGCAATAGCATTAGGTGTGACTAGAGTATATTCAACCAACTTGGTGGAATGAACCAAGTTATTATGATTGTCAGATTCCTCATCAGTCTGAGCTGACAACCTGTCCACCACGGAATGCGTCATGATAAACCATGACATCTTATTACCTCTCAGCCCTGTTCCAGGTGAAACAGAAATTATGAGTATCAGAATGCACAGAATGTAAGCATCCTCCAAGTGTTAAGTAAATACCAAGCTGGTGTGCAGAAATTGAGTGTGATATAATATCATAAATATGATCATATGATATATATAGTGTATTCTTCTTGTGCACCATAACCACAACCATCAGTTGCAGGATCAGTTCACCATGCAGCGAAAATCACCTGGGAGGGCAGTGATGGATATAAAGCGCTTAAAACAATCTACAACAGCACTGGAGTTCGAACCCTACCCCCAACAATTAAGGCATTTGCAGATTGCAGAAATTTCAAGGGGGCTCATTGGAAAACTTGAAATATGCAGATTGTCCCAATCCATCCGCCCTTGAATCAACACAATTTAGTTGAGAAAAAGTACAGAATTATTACTTAGGAGCTTTACCAGAAGACATACAGTGTGTCTCATCAGAAGTCTTGAAGCCCATAAATGTGGATGGCTGGATGGCGCGCTTCAGGAGAAAATGACTGTATAGCAGTACAACGACAGTGTTGATTATGTAATAGTTATCTAACTAGAAAACGACAACTCCACGGAGTAGCAAATCCCAACGAACACTACAATATATTCATGAATCTGTATATGGCATGATGTGATTATTTACCATCTACTCTACCCTTTATCAAATTGACAGATATTAAAAGGCATACATTACAGATATATCAGAATTTCACCTGGGGTATATTCCTCAACACTACCCCTGGTAATACGAATAATGTGTAATATCGACAAATACACCCCTTAGATATCTAAGCACGAGTGCCAAAGGGAAAGGACCAAAAGTTGTAATGGAACTTAGCAAGAAAAAGCAAACTCTAAGTGCATACCAGTCAAGAAAAACAAACCCCATATATCCCAAAACCATGATCTAACATGAAAATAAACAATGTCTTTCCCCCGCCATTCAAGAACCAATATCACAATCCAAGACTAGAACACCAAGGGACATTTCATTCATACTGAAGTCATTACAATACATGTTGAAGAAAAAATTAGAAATTGATATCCAATACTCATTATAACATCAAAAATAGTTGTAGATACAAGTACTCATATAAGATAGAGCATTCAGTCTCAAATGATGTGGGATAGATAAAATCCAGTCTCCAAGTCCATAGGCGTTTCAAAGGGTCAACATCCATTCGCAAAAGCCATCGCCATAATCCATAAAACACAATAATTCACAATGGTCATCAGGAGAGAACTATGGGTGGTTTCGATCCCTATTTCTCAACCATTAATGCCAGTGCTGGGATCCACCTCAAAAGGTGCCAAGTGAAAATTGTGAGTTCAGCGCCAATTTCTTAAACAATTCCTACATCCTTCAGCATCTCAAGTGGTAAAACTTGAAACTTCGAAATTAATGACTTGTATTTTTCAGCAAAGACCAGAAAGTATTTCTTAAACTTTTTACAAGTATAACCTTGACCTAACAGTTTAATCACTAAAGTATTGTGTCTTGACTTAAAATCTAAATATTTAGAGCATGCAATGCCATATCTAATAAGCTAGGATACGTACACCCCATATGATAGAGCTAGGTACAAAAGCTTTCGAACACTTCACTCCCTTCAGTCGTTCGGGGTACATAAAACATTTGTACCTAGCCCTGCATGGTGTAATCGTCGATATAACACCTGCTCTTCAGTCTATATTTTTTAAATATAGTATAATATAGCCTTACTTTGAAGAAATCTGAGTATAAATGAATAAACACAAAAAGCACACAAGTCTCAAACTCGTGGTTACAGCACTTAATTGCCTAGTTTGAACGTGCTGGCGCTCAAGCCCTCTCGGCCATATAGACATACTTTGAATGGATCAGGAAATTATTGTGTAATCCTATACAATATTTGCAATCCACTCTAAATTGCCTTTCATTTGAGTATAATAAAGCTACACTTCAGAAAGATCTCAAAATTAATGAAAATTTCTTTTTCCCCACCCCCTCCCTCCTATACTCAGCCCGGGGGGGGGGGGGGGGGCAGGGTGAAAAACATAGAATATATGTGGAAAAGATGGATTTTTTTTAATATACTACCAAAATTAAAAAAAAATATTCAGTACTTTGGTTTAAAAATAAAGACTTAATATTTTCGCGAAATAGTCCCGTCATTTTTAAAGTGGTGGCCATCTTGATAACAGACGAATGGGTGGAGGACTTCACTCTATGTCTGGGATAATAACCAATTAAAAGCAATTTGCCTTTGCCTACAAATGCATTAGTTTGTGAAATATTGATCTTAAAACTTGGATTTTCTAAGATTATCGATATAAATCTGCAAAAAAACAATTATTAGAAAAAATGATGACTCAGCACTTTTTGAGACATTATAATTTTATGCATTTGTCGAGTTTTGAAGAGGTCTGTGTTAAATAAGTGCTTAATATAACCTCACAATATATTTTTCATTGAGATAAATTAGAATAATTGAAAAATAAAGTAAAAAATTTGCTGAGTCAGCAGAAAAAAATGCTCAACCTATAAAATTTTGCAGATTGTTTAATTTACTTAAGAATGTCAAGTACTATCAGAATATGCAAAGAAAAAAACTTTATACCCTAAAACGACCCCTTCCTTCTTGGCCACCGGACTATAATCTTTCATTAAGCTCAAAATGATAAAGTTCACCCCCAAAACAACCCAAGATTGCGTTTCGGAGCGTAGTCCAGCTTTAATCACATATAGTGTACTCATTCAATTAATTAAATTCCCATGCAATTTCCAGGGTAATTTCTCACTTTATTCTATTCATTCAATATGATAGTTGACAGACATGAATGGCTCGTGTTAGAATTCCTGGTTCATAATGTGCTTCTGATAATCCGAAATTTTACAACGGACAAAATATTTTTTCCATTAGGTTACTACCCTCAATTCATTTCGACCAACAAGAAGACAGTTTTTCAAAATAGGTGATAAATAATGCTACGAAATTTATCCTTGTTTGCAGATTTGAAACTTTTTAAAAATTTTGTCAGTTTTCAAGAGTTCAATGATGAGACAATCTTGAACAAATGAAGTTCATAGATCAGACCAATGTTTGAGGTAAGAATTCGGGCATATCTTAGCCATCGGACATGGACGGTCTCGTGGACTGGCTGGTTGAAATAACTCGTCAGAAATAACTCGTTTATCCGATGGTCCGACGCTTTGGAAAAACACTGGTCTGGGACTAATAATTCATCTTATATGCTCCAACCGGTAAATGCAATATAAGGACATATGCATGCATGCATGATTATTATAGACTATACAAATAACTGACAAAATAAATCAATGAGACAAGTTGAAGTAGATGTACTGAACTCACCACCATGGAATATGGAGTCTTGCTGTGTCCCTCTAAAGTCCTCAATGGCAGCCATGAACTAGCATCCCTGATGGAGATGAAGCAATCAAATGCTCCAACAATCAATAGTTTGGTATAGCCTTCCTTGGCAGTTGCGATACAGCTGATCTTCGTATTGGACACCTTATATGACTCATTGGTTTTTGATGTCTGAAACAAACATTTACATTAATTGGTAAAACCTGTGACTGTAAAATCAATCCATGGGTCAGACTCAGAGTACTTTGAAGAACCCTCATGAGGTTCCAATTACAGAAATGTTTAATTTCACAGTATGAAAGCAATACAAAAATAACCTTGTATAAACATGTTCTGAGAAACATTATGCCATCTATAAATAGTAAATAATAACAAGTGAGCGATTGCAAAAGCTCACCATGTGAGCTAAAAAAGATAAGCAAAAGAAGAAGAATGAGAAACTGAGACCAGCTTTTTTAAATTATTGTTTAATTTCAGAATTATTTTTGCTGATGTCATTCCTTATAATGTCAAATAACTAAAATAACCGAGGTTTACATCGTACAAGTACATCAAGTATATACATATATGTGTATGACTTGTACATTTATATGTATATGCAACAGATAATTCCTTGCTTCTGGAAGGATGCCTCTAAAGCATATGTAGAACTTACTTTGCCAATGAATGAAAATTAATACGAACAGTATGTACATATTATTTGAAGCAGTAAGTTATTTCATGATTGTTGCATCCTGGTTGGTTGCATGACATTTCAAGTTCTTGATGTCAGCTGACATGGGCATAACTGAAGTGTATTGCCAGAGGTAATACTTTAAAATTTATCCATGTCCAAAAACTAATCAGCTCTAGATTACACTTCCAAGAATCTCAAGTGGTCTGACTTGCTAGAAATGCTAAGACAAAAGAGCGTGACCGCCATTTTAATATTGACCACTCTTTGATCAATCAGAATTGAGTATATAAACTGAGTTAATAGAGAGATTTCATACATAAAAGAAAACACAATTTATATTTATGCATATAGCTCTTTGTTATAAGTGAACTGAAATTTGGCATTTCACAAAAATATGTTCTTATACATATAGAAATGTATATATCATTGATCAATTCTGATGTTCTTTTCACCAAAAATAATTTTTTCTCTTCCAAATTCCTTTTTATTATAAGGTGGATTGGATAGTAATATGACTTCATACCAAACATCACTATAATTCTCTTGCAATAACTTTGTCTAAACGAGATAAATATTTACTTACAGTACATATAAACAATGTTTTATAAGCGATGGCTCCTTATAAATGGATAGTTCTGCGTAACGAATGATGAGGTAGTACACACATTTATAAGTTATAAACATCAGGGATTTATAAATACGCTAGTAATAATAATTGATATTACTGATCTCTCTCTAACCAATCAATTTCTCATATAAAGATTTACGTTCTAACAAATATACATCCATACCTTCAAGCTGAAGTCCACTACAAATCCATCTCCTAGTCCTATATAGAGTTTCCCCCAGGCTTGAGTCATACAGTGGATGCGTGATTGAAAGCCAAACTTGCTCACCATGTCTCCAGTCTAAAATAATGACCAGTTGAAAACATAAAGGCTAAAATAAACCACATTGAAAAAACAGTAGATGATATGCAATTGGCAGATGCGAACAATAGCTGGGTTTCCATAAAAACAGAAATGTTTTATATTGTATCAATGTAGATCTGAGAGAAAACATATTTACAAATAAGGGGGCATTTTCAACAGTCGCATAAGTCATTTTACTTTGAAATTTTACACAGGTCATATAATATTGTGTTATGGTCCACACAAATCAAGCTGAAATATTCACTGATTTCTTGCTTTAATTATTGTCAACAGTCAGCACTTACATGTAATGGTCTTTGTGTAGAAACTATGCAAGATCTAAATGATGTCAATGGGTGGATAGTATATAAGTAATGAGTTTTTAGAGTATTTCCTACTTATTACATGATGAAAGAACAATGCTCACCTCCACATTGTAGCCAATGAGGTACTTGTCAAATGCTCCTGTGTAGAGCATATCAACAGGTTTACTAAGCCGGTTGGCCATCTCAAGAACCACAAGGCAATGCACTGTTGACTTGTGACCAGTGTACTCTCTAAGTAGCTCAAATGTCTGCAAAATTGAATATTTTCCTTTTAACTTTATTTTTCATTTCATATCAAACATTGTCCTCTTTCAACTGAAATGACCCATATTCCTCTATTTGAGGACCAATTAGTTCTAATAACATGATAATAATGATACTTTCGAGAATCCCTCTGCCTCCCTTCAGAATATGCCTGTCTATAGAACTATTTATAGTCCTAATTCTTTGCAACAATGATGTCCATTTTACGTTTAAAACTGTTAAAATTATTATATGACACAAAAAAGTCTTGAAATCCTCTCATCAATAATAATTTGGCTTTCTTGTTTGTCACTTATTTTTGCATCAGACTTGTACTTCAAATACCAATGCTATAAGTTGAAATAACATCTGACATTCAAATACTAGTGATAACAATGAGTTATAATGCCTCACTGACAACATAACAAGAAATTATATTCTACAATATTTTCAAATACAGTCTTATACAGTTATAGCAGTGGCTGGCTGAATCATACCTTGAGATCATAACGTCTGGCTGTACAATCTTGGGAGCAAGTGTATAAACTATCCTTATACACCTGTATACCCAGGACAGGTTTATGGTGACCTTCATAGATGCCCTCAGTCAGTTCCAGCTCATAGGATGTTGTCACTTGGGATGGGGTATCTTCCTTGGTAGACTTCCTTCCCCTTAAGTGAAATATTGCAGTTTTTAATAACAGGGAATCACAAGAGGTTACATTTAAAAAAAACAATGATTAAAAATAATGGTAACAGCAACACCAAGGCATAGCAAATCCCATTGAACATCTAATGAGTGTCAGACAAAACTGACAGTAATCATGTCTCAAAATGGCCACCACATGTATTGCCGAAAGATAATGTGTCGTTCTTGCATTTTCAAGTTGGGCACCATGTTTTAAAAAATCAGATTCCAAACTTGCATTAAAAACATTTCAGTACTGCAGTTTCATACAATATTCATTAGTCCAACATTTAACATTGGCTTTCAAGAGACATATGAAATGGATATAGTGTCTGGATTATATTTCAGAAAATACATTCTCTTTTTATTACTTCTAATAATTCCAGATATTTTGATTTGAAACCACATTAAATGCTATAAAAACCAACCTTTTCTTTTTAGGAGATGAGGTAGGCTTGTTAGCTTTTTCAGGGCTTGTGTCAATAAAGAGGGCACCATCTTCATTTGTATCATCAAATTGAGTACTGTCAGGGGATTTAGACTTATCACTCTTTTTGCTACTTCTTTTTCGCTTCTTCTTGCTTTTATCAATGTTAATACTGTCTGAGCTTGAATCTAAAACTTCTGCTTTTGATGATTTACGATCTTTAGTCTTTTTTAATTGTTTCTTTTTGTTTGACCCAGGTTCTGGGTAAAATTGTGAGGACTTTTTCTTTTTCACATTAAGTGTTGATTGGCTAGTCATGGATGCATTAGGGCTTGATGCATTTTTGTTTGGCTTATGAATGTCAATTGAGGGTATACTAGAATCAGGGTCCTGCTGGGGTTCCACTGGGGTGGTAGGTCTCTTGAATGCATCACTATTTGACCTGGCTTTTTTAGCAATAACTGCCCCAAGAGATTCACCCCCTATGGAGCCTCTAAATGTACCTATAGTACTAGTATCCACAGTTTCAATGGAGGTATCAGTTATATTCTGCTCCACCTCAGCTTCACTCAGTTCTTTCTCATCCACAAACATGTATGGAGAGTGATTCAAATCAGCTAAATTAACCGCAAGTTTTTTCACTATTTTATGTTTGCCCTCCAGGGTGCCAACATACTGCAGATTATACCCTTCGGAGTCATTTGAGGTCCTAGAGCTCGAGGAAATCCGATGGACTCTGGATAAAAGAGACTCTGGTTTGTTTACATTTGTGTCAAGCTGATTGTCAACTGGCTGTAAGCTGGGATGATGGGCACTCATCCCTAGAGGGAGCTCACTACCAGTTGATAGGCAAGACTGATCGATCAAGGCACTCTGATCCACAGACATGATGGATTCATCTCTAGTTAACTCGAAGGCATTAACAGCAGTAGGAGAGGGAGGTTCAGATTTGACTACAGATAGATCCAGGGTTGAGTTAGGATCTAGATGAATCCCATTTCCCTGAAAGAGGGATGTAGCACTGCTCCTTGCAGTTGAACACACAACTGTGTTGGCAGATTTCTCTGACTTAATATTTTCTGAGGAAATTGATGATGTTTTAACAGCACCTGAAAATGCAAGAAGTAAAGTTTTATTCCAATCATTCCATATCAGTGTTCTCTCAAAAAAATTTCAACTGGGTGCAATTTTTCAAGTCTAAAAAATCAGCGCTCTCTACGCTTGTGATATCTCCAGGTGGCTGCTTGCTTCACTCATTTTTCAAATCAGAATGTAAATGTGAATGTAAACACTTTGAATTTTATTGAATCTCTTTAAGGCATTGGTGGCAAATTCAATAACAGCTAGCAGGTGTGTTTGTGAAAAAGGGCATGTACATTTTGCTAGAAATGTCATCAAATTTGTCACCAGCTACCTCTGAATAGGAGCTGAGAACATCTTCAACACCAGGGCTTCAACAATAATTATGATTGACCTTTTCAATAAAACTATAATATTTTTTCAAAATATGAGGTCGCAGCATTTATGATTAACTTGGTCAAAAAAGTAGAAAACAAACACATGCATAACGCATGCATGCATAAATGCACACTCCAACAACAATGGACCTTTAAATAAATCACAATAAATTGAGAACAGTGAATAGTTTTAAGCTACTTTTACAGTTAAATGACAAAAATAGATAATTACTCAAGTATTTTATTAAAATGACTTACCTTGTAAGATATTTATCCTTTTTTCCCTTAGCTTGATTTCCCTCTGCTGTAACTATAAAATCAAAAATGCATCTTGAAATTGCATGTAGTATTGAACTTAACATTTTGTCATCTTGAAATTACACAAAATACAAAAATCTAAAATCTTCCATTCGAGAGAAAGATGGAAAATTCATAATGCATTTGATAAGTTTTCTATATAAAACAACAAAGTTGATTCAATGCTGCCTCAGTTGAAACTTCAGATGTTACATATTTGATTTACACACTGTTTACACATACCTGGCATTTCCGTAATTCTGCCTGTCTAAGATCATGTTTTGTCTTCTCCAAAATTGCCACTAAACGTGATATCCTGTCCCCGACCACAATTAATTCTTGTCTGACCTCTTCCTCTTGTAAACTAATCTCTAAAACTGTCGACACTGTGCTGGTCTCACTAGCCTGGCTTGCAGGGGAAAATGCTAATTTTGTATCCACAATGGGCTTGGCAGCTTCAGTCTCAAATGACTGATTCAGAGGTGATGATGCATGAGACGGTTTCTCATGTCGTTGTGGCGCATTATAGACCATGCTATGAGTGTCTGAATTGGAGTCATTTTGTGAAATCACGCCTTTTTCAAATAATTTGTTCATGAGTAAATTCTCCACACTGTTAGGTCTATGGTCTCTTATATTGTCTCTATCTCTAACATTACCTTCTGTTCTCTCTGTACTATTTCTTCTGACAGGCCTAGATATTTCTGAAGTGTCAGAATGTTCAGATTGCATTCTGTCAGACCTTTTCTCTAATGACCCAGATAATTGTCTTTTCCTTATGGGTTTACTAGACACACTTTCATAAGTTGAAGACATATTCTTATCTGAAGTTCTGGCCTTGGTTTCACCTGGTGTCAAATTCAATTTATTCTTCATGTGTTGAGCTGTGTCAATACTATGACTAGATTTATCGAAGTCAAATAATGAGAGATCGTCATTTGTAGAAGAAGTGACTTTATTAACGGCTGTTGCATTCACCTTTTGTTCTTCAGATATCTTTTTGTATTTGTTAATCACATAGTCAATTGTTAAACTGATGTTATCATCCAACTCATCTAACTTATCGTCTATAGTTTTACATGATTCCTCTTGGACTTTTTTGGCATTGCCACATTGAATATTTGAGCTTTCAGAGTAAACATCTTTGGAATCAAGACTCTCTGATTGGGTGTCAGATGGGATATTCTTAGAATGGAGATCTTGGGATAGGACATTTCCAGAAAGGAGGTTTTTGAATTCTACATTTTTGGGTTGATGGATGGCATTGAATAGGGGCTTTTCAGTGTGGTTATGAGACTGGAGGGTGAGGAGGCTTTCAGAATAATTTACTTTATCAGAATGAGTCACTTTCTTAGCCTCAATATCCATACTACCTATTCTTGGTGTTTTAGATAATTCAGATTGTGTTTTTGATGTTTCACTATGTGTAAGGCTATCTTCCAGTTGAATAGTTGAGTTTTGATTACTATCGATAGAAGATTTTATATCGAAGCCTTGGGATTCTCCCAGACTCGTGTTGTCATCAAGTGAAGGTGCCTTTGTACCTGAAAGCAAGGTACTCATGTAATCACATTTGTTAAGTAGATGGAAGATTTACACAGTTGTTTCATTTCATAAAATTTCCAAGGCTTTTAAATTTTCTGAGTCACAATTTCAATGGAGTTTTACATTAATATTAGGGGTACCACGAGTGCTCGAGTGCTCGAGCAATTCAACTCCGATACGAGCTGTATCGATACATAAAATGAATATCGGTCATATCGTTTTTTGACTGGAAGTCCCTTCTTACTTACCCAAAGGAAGGGGAAAATTCAGAGCTTAGAGATGACAGACAGTCATAGTTACATATCTTGCTCGCCGCCTTCGTTTGCCCCGATAGTTCCCGAATACCACACGTCATTAAGATGTTTTAATCTATGTTAGCATATTTTACACCTTTCTTTGTCGTGATGTGAAATAAACGTAATCTGGCTGAAGTGCTTCCGGCTTTACAAGTTTGAAAAATTAGAATAAAGTTCAGTTTTACTTCAATTAATGCTGTATCATTGTATCGTATCGTTCGTATCGCGAGGTCAGTATCGTAGATACGTATCAATATTAAATTTCTCGTATCGTGGTACCCCTAATTAATATACTAGTAACCCATTTCATATCATTCAATAAATCGAGGAATCAAGTGACTTTTAGTAGTTTTTCAATTGTAATTGCTGTATATCTCGCGCTACCAACATAGTGATGCAATCTATTTATCCATCTACAGTGTATATAGAAAATGTTATGTTATGTTGTATCATGATAAATGGTTAATAATTATTCTAACATAATTCCTATTTTTCCAAAACTGTATTGTTCACAAGGGTGTGTGGGAACTTTACAATTATCTAGTATCTAGTGCATATCTTTTTTAGAAGACCCCTTAGTCTGTCACATTTATTCCATTGATCTTGATTCTAGATTGACAGTAATAATCATATGTATGATTCAGCTTAAGAAATGTAATATTTTATTCAAGATCCAGGTACCTTCTTGTTTCATTTCTTCCATCTTTATTCTCTTCCCCGCACTAAACTGCTCAGTAGTCGCAGACTGGAAAATACATATAGTCAAAAATAACCTTCCTAACCGCAGAAGACCAAACATACAGAAATTTGAGAAATTAATGAATTCAAACAAAACTATACTTATACAAGGCATTAAAATGACAAAATGTCACCACCAAGTTGCTCACAATATTATTGAGAACTTGTAGATGATTTTGAAAAAAAAATTGGTCAAGTTGAAGCAGTTTTTTTACCGTTTTGACTTGAGAAGGTCAATGAAGGTCAAATCTCAAATCTAAAGTCAAATTTGAACTTCTGATAACTTGTGGATGATTTTGAAAAAAAATTGGTCAATTTGAACAAAGTTGAAAAAAGACCTTTTTGACCTTGAACATGAAGGTCAAATCTAAAATATAAAGTTAGATTTGACCTTTTTTGTAACCTCTATATTATATAGTATATACCCTTTATAAGGGTTGATATGAGAAATAAATAATAAATAATAACATAAACAAGTCGTTTATTGTTTTTAAAATTTGAAAGAAATGTTGTATGTACGGCTTTTTGCATTTATCCTACAACTTCTCTGTTTCAAAGTCCATGATTACTTTGATCTTTGCAGATTCATCTCTTTTCAACTCATATTTTGCATTTTAATATCAGAGTATTTCTTTTAAGGTAAAATCGGACAGTTCAGACATTTATTCTGTTCCGTGCCAGCCCTAATGGTAATACTGCAAAGTACAGCCGCTACTTGTAATTATATTTTGAACTAATAGAATTTAGAATAAAATAAACTGAACATTTCAAAATGGAATTAGTGAAAAATCGATTTCTTTAATTAGGCATTCAGGAAATAATTTATAGAAGATTAAATATTGCAGGAAGAATTCAAATTACTAAAAGTAATAAAAGAGAATCTAGAGCCAAAACTGGAAATAAACTTGACAACCAGGTTTTTAATAAAAAAGATTAATAAATGCTTGAAATACTTGAGATACGTGAGATATACTTTCACTTACTGTTTCTGATGTAGTTCGTCGCCTTTTTAACCCAAGAGAGGAGATTCCCAAGGTCGTTTCTTCCCTGGAACTCGCTTCATCTGAGCTAACCTCATTCTTTCCAAGATCACGTCGTATTAACTCAGCAATGTCCTCAGGTAGGTTATTATAATCCAGACGCTCCACATTTTGGTTCTCAAATTCTGGCTCTTTTAAAACCATCTTAGGCCTTTGTTGCTTTTTAAGGGCATGTTGTCTGACAATATTAGAAATTTTTATCTGGTCTTTTTTAGTTCTAGAGTTTACAAGACCAAGTAAGGAGGTTGTGGGTCTGTTTGAAGAGCTGCCTGACGGACCAGTCATTTTGTTCATGTCCTTAATAATTCTACTCGGAAGGGAAGCATCTTTACCCAAATCGGATAAACTTTTTTGAGATGGGTTTGTGTCTGTTTTTCTTAGATCTTTAGAAAGTTGATCAGATAGTGTTTCATTGGAAGAGGAAGACATATCTTTTCTGAGACTTGATGTGTCTGATCTGGCTTTAGTGACTTCATCTGGAGGCTTATTAGGTATGAGACCTTTTATATGTAAATTATCTTTGTCAGATAGTTTTTGTATCTTACTCTGTAGTTCTTTTGTTCTTAGCTCCTGTTTTCCCTTTTCTCTATTCTCTCTAATCATTTTTGCGTCCTCTCTTTGCTTGCGTGCACTTTCCACAATTCTCCTTGCTTTTTCTGTGATGTCCTCTTTCTCTGGGGTCTGATTCTGAACTGTGGGTGGTTGAGTCTTCTTGGGTGGAGAGGCTCTCCCAGGGGGCTCCAGGGATTTACTTCTATGGGGTTCTGATAAAGACCTCATTATTGGTGAATCTCTTGATACAGGTCCATGCAGTGGTTTATCTGGTTTACGAGCATCAAGTTTGGGATCAAAGCTGCTACGTCTATTCAGAAGTCTCGTTGCTGATTCTAGGGGAGATTTATTTAACAAATCTTGTGACTTGCTTTTTTCACTATCAGTTAATCCCGTAATTGGTTTAGATTCACTACTTTGTTTTGGATCTGGGGTTCTGCTTCTACTTCCACTGGGTTCTCCCCTAGATGGGGGTCTACTGCTTGACCTATTGTTTTTAGAATGAGGAGTACTTTCTCCAGAATATGACTTTTTGTCTTTTAAATGTTTGTCATCCCTTTCATAAGTCTTGTAATTTTTTGATTGTCTCTCGTACCTGTTAGGAGATCTTGACCTTGTAGGAGACCTTGATCTTTTGCTCACAGGGGAGTTTGATCGACTATTTTTATATGTACCTTTTCTATCAAGAGAAAATTTGCTATCGAAACGTGGTTTTTCGCTTGAATTTTTATTGAACGAACCTATGAAGTCTTTTAATTTTTCTGTGGGATCATTTGTTTTTTTCTCATCTTGTTTGTCATTATTTGGCTGTCTGTAAGAATCTTTACCCCCAGATTTATCATCCCGAGCATCTCTGTAGCCAGGTTTATGACTACCCCACTTTGATGGGGTATAATTGTCACGTTTTCGATAATCGTCATTTGTCCATTTTCGACTATGATGCTCGTAAGACTCATATCTATCACTGTATGAATTGTCTGCACCATGGCCTCTCCAACCACCCCTTCCTCTCCAGTGTCCTCGCCCACGACCTCTATATCCATATTCTTTGGGAGATCTATTGTCATTATTTGTGAAGTCATCAGACATGAAATCATTGCAAGCAAAGTCTTGACGATGATATCCTCCATAGTTTCTATGCCCTCTGCTAGAATTATAGTTATCATTTTGCCCCCATTGATTTTGAAAGTTTCTATTGTCAATATTTGTGCTACAACCACTTTGATTATTTCCCATAAAACCCCCTTGATTTCCACCATATCTACTTTGATTGTTCCTATTAAAACCATCATTATAATTCCCACTTTGATACATCCCTTGATTTCCTTGCCAGTTCATCTCCTCTTTGCTATCTTGCTTTCGATCTTGATCCCTTTCTAGATCTGGAGATTTCTTGGGTTCTAAACTGTTTCTCTTTTCAAGAGATTTCCGTTTTGGGATAGTGCTGAAATTGAAGCAAAAAGCAAATTCATATATTCCAAGAATATGCTCAGTTCATTTTTGTCTGGTGGTTTCAATAATCTCTTTTGTCTTGCTACTGTTTCATTTGTTAACAATAATCTGCTCTAGAGATTTGAGAAATACTTTAAATTCATTCCTGAAATAATGAGTGATCAAAATGCACAATGTACAAAAGGTTCATATTTAGTCTTTAATGGTCTCCCCATGGAATGGCCTCCCAAATGGAAGACTCAAGAGTCATTCTATTCTATACTGGTTATTAACCATCTCCCCCTCTCCCCTTGCTTGTCTCTAAAAGGCATTTGCATGCAAAATGTCACCATTTGTTACAGATGCCAAATGCCAAAATGCCAAACACTGTCCAAATAAAAGTTTGAGACTATAATGCTATATGACCACTTGTGGTGGTGACATTATAAACAAATGAAATATAACTTACTCTGCTGTTCTTTTTGGGGATGTAAAGTATATTTTGCCAGTTCCTGATGACGTTTTTCCAACCTTCAAGCGATGTTGTTCACTGTTTAAGTGGCTAGAATATGCCGTTAGATTGTTGAAGATTTCTTTACACAGTATACACTCATGAGAGGAGCCTCTGAAAGTACATTATAGAGGATCCATTCAATGATTGTCCTCTTGTATGTAAAGTCAATAATAAAAAACTCATCATAAACTCGGCACGTCATGACACATACTACATATGTTATTCTATTATCTCCAGGCTAAAATAATAAGAGCAATTTATACTAAATTGATAGATAATAAAAGGACCAATAACATGATAGGTGCATGCATTTGATAATAAAATATTGTTGCATTGTTCAAAACCTACATTGCCAATGACAATCTCCTTTTACTCTCTGCAATAGATACTATAGGTGCTGAACATTTTATGTGATATTCAATTTGCCAATAGACTAGATGCGAGTAGAAATAATCTTGATTTACTTCAAATTATTAAATATTCAAAATTCATTCAAAGTGATGTCATATTTGAAATCTACATGAACATGTAAAAGTACATCTTAAAATATGGTTTCTAAAATTATTTATAAAATTTGAATTTTTTTTTTTTGAAAATGTGACTTCTAGTTCGGGTTGATTTACTATAGAACCCATGTTACAAAATCACAAAAAGTGAAATATCTTTTCTTGTATTGGACAGATAACATTTTCTTTTATTGGACATATTGCATAACTATTAGGGTTGTATGAAAAATTGAACCACGTAAATAGATGTAATTTAAGTGAAAGGGAATTTTCTACTATACCCGCCATGCTATCTGTCCCGAACAAGCCACCTGGTGGTGAAACTGGTAAGAACCTACTCGCATCTGCGTTATTGCCAAATATAAATCAAATTTGGCAATTATAAGACATTAGTACCACCTTGCCGGGCCAGTTCTAAGGGTTTTAGTGCTAGTTTAGAAGGCATTTATTTTACTATATTGACCTGAGCTAATACTAATAACGTCATTTCTGCGGTCCGATATTTCACTTTATTGCTCTTCGAAATGACGTTATTGTACTATTGTTACATTGAAATTAGTAGTGCATGTATGTCATTATTATTACATAGCATGGTTATTGTTTTTCAAGTGTTAGCTACATCACTGGTACACTGCACTCTTACCATACCCTTTGCATTCGTTTGACTTCACTTCTTAAAAGAGAGCTTCGTCTTCACTCTTTCAAACTAAAATAAACCTGTGAACTCACCGCGCCAATCAGTGTTCGTCGGCCAAATTTGACCGACGTTCTATATATGGTCATTCCTTCTGACATCATCGTTGAGCCCGGAGTTGACCAATGACATGCGTATATTTAATTAGAACGGATTTGGCGTATGTTTCTTCAAGCTCGCTGATTAGTGGAAGAAAGGTCAGCGCGTAGGTCAGAAGTGATTTATTACCAAAACTCGTGTCACCGGTACCCGTCGTGGGGGCGGGGCTACTAAACTGTAATATGGTCTCTACTAGGCAGAGTGTAGTTTAACTAGACTCTGCACGCAGGGTACTCTTACCAGTAACTTGAGTTACCGAAATAGATCTGTTTCTGAGGCTCCAAGGCATAATTTTTCTTTTTTCCTTATTTCACGGGTTGGAGGCAGAATCTCTCAAACAGTTTTATTGAAAACGTGTGTCAGTATCATAATATTTAAGAAAATCTACATATTTGAGAACAAATAGTTCAGATAAAAACAACAGAACCATCAATATAATACCTCACTAATGTTACATAAATGGAACTGGTTTAAAAGTGCAGATCTTAACCATTTTTTAAATTCTGTTTACATCACAAAAGTGAGGTATTATATCTATGATTTTATCTTTTTCTGAACTATTAGTTCGCACATGTAGATTGAGGAAATTTTGCATACAACACGTGAAATACAGGAAAAGAAAAAAATCGTAACTTTAAGTTTCTGACATTTTGTTACCGAAATGGACAGTTTAGGTAACTAGTTTGAAGAGTGCAGTACCAGTATTCATATGCAAGCTACTCAAACATGTCAGAGGTCAGATAATTCCATACGACCACCATACAATTAACAAATTTAATCCCTGTTACTTTCAGCAATTTCATTATATGAATATCTGTTCATGTGTTTGTTTTTCACAAATTCATAGGTGAGATAATTCCTTACACACATGTTAACTTCCAATCAGCAACTTTAATCCCTTAGCATTTCGAGTAAATGTGTCGGAAAGTAAGTTTATTTGCGAGTTTGACACGTACGGAAATTATAATGCATGGCAATTTAATAACGTCTATAGTATCTACATTGTCAATGACAATCTCTCTTTACTTTTGTAATTAGATATGGGAGAAACGAACAAGAAACAAACTCCTCATTTTGAATATTTCATGATACAATTTTGGTGAAATATCTCAAATGGACCCCTGGTTATGACTGTAGCATCTATTAGCTGATAATCTTTTACTAAAGAGCAATAAGTATTAATGTGGTTGACATATTTGCATTTATATAAAAGAGCATCTAATAGTTCAGAAAATCTAATAATATCTTATCTCCTTATATTTAACTGTACCATGGTCTAGAAATCTCATACTATGACCCATCGCAGTATTCCAGCACACATTTACCCAAATGTATAATAACTTACCAGATTAGTTTTATCATTACTATTTCTTTATAGAGGCTGTAATTGTCACCCCACCTCAAGTATTAATTGTTATCTAATAGTAGTATTTATCAAAAAAACAAAACGTCATGGTCATTCAATTTCTGATTGATGCTGCAAAACCAGTTGGCATTTAACAATTATGATCTTTTTATGTATTAAGTGATTGCGTGTGAATAGTGGGGTCACCAGTTAATATCAATCTCATTTACTAATGGAGATGCTCAATTACTATCAATTTGTGTACTAAAATTTGCACTATGTCTACACAGTGTAATTCCTTGGGGAAACTAGTATTTTATGATATGAAGGGGATCACACAACTGATTAAAAAAATACATTATGAAATCCTTTATCTGTTTTTACAGGTGATACTCACTATTTAATTATGGTATGTAGAGTCAAATTATCTAAAAATATTGCTTGTTTTCATCAAACATAGTTTGAAAACAAGATCTAGTCAATTTAATGAGTATGATAAATACATATAAAAACAGACCAACCTTTCATTTGTGAGCATCACAGTAAAATGTGACTTAGCTTCTGCCATCTCTGAACCTATCATAATATCTGAATTTGACTCTTTTCCAGGAGAATGAAGTAGATTCAGAATGGAATCCTTACAAGTACATATACGTAGCCATCATCTTTATTTTATCTTCCAATCAACTTATATGTGTGTATTATATCTAAATAAAATTATAAGAAGTCTGAAACCAGACAAGTTGTCACAGGTATGTAGGAAGTATGACACTTCGGCTCTGTATGTACGGTATCTTCTGTTATGTTTGTGCTTATTTCATATCATACAACTACTAAATAGGACATTACAATGAGTGCTTCTAGCTCGTCCAGTAGTATATTTTTATGTGCAGTATTGTAGTAAACTGATGAAGCACATTAAAATGTCAGAAATCTAGCTAGCCATTAATATTGTTTCAGTAACAGAAGAGATTAGTCCTTATGTTTCAGTTTGTTTTGGTTGAAATATTATATCTCTGTTCATATGAGTATACTAGCTTCTAAGTAATAGACTATATATAAGTATTAAGTACGTGCTTCTAGGGCAACTTTCACAAGTTACCTGATATCTTATGTACATAACGAGTTCATCTATTGTATAACCATGTGGCTATTCAATTGTATCTTTGAAAATCATCAGTCTAACACATATAGTGACAGGTCATCTCAACCCCAAGTCAACTCAACCCAAGTCAAACTCAACCCCAAGTCAACTCAACCCCAGTAAAAACTCAACCTACCATATAGGGTGGGTGGTAGTTACAGAGAATACAGTAATTCATTTCTGCGATGTCTAATTAATTTTACAAAGAGTAATTTAAGGCGATTCATTTCTGAAATCAAGCATTTTGCATGATACTACCGGGGATACTTTGAATAGAAAGTTGTTAAAATATTCAAAAAAACAGTTAAGCTCAAAGATAATCATCAAGTTGTCACTACTATTTGATTTAAGACATCTTTTGAAATCAAATTTTAGATAATTAATCATTAAAATTTACACTTACTGAAACCCATGTTCGTTCCAGTATTCCAAATGATCACGAGTCTAAACATCAATTGTATAAAAATACAATTTTGGCAATTAACAATGTTTTTTTACAATGTTAATGTATTAACGAAATTATTTTAAAAATGATCAATAGTGTCAACCTGAAAGGCATTACAAAATTAAAATAAAATTACATGTGAAATAAGATTAAATCAATCTTAATTCCCTGTAATAAGCCTTGCTAATCCTTCAGCATTTTGCAGTAGCTACCATGTTGACAGTTTGGAGCTTTGGAGATCACGCTCATTATTAACTATACAAGGCAGGTCTATGAAGGGAAATAAAAATCGAAACTTTATTGAAACTTTTTTATTCAACAAACTTTTACAGGGTGGTCCAAAAAAGTAAACTGTTGGAACAGGCAATATTTCCCTTACACTTTTTTTGTCTTGAAATTTGCAGAAATTATAAGCCCTAACCAAACATCACTGAAAATGAATAAAATGTGAACTTCAACATGTGATTCTTCAACCCTTCAACAATTTTCCCATAGATAATTTTTAGCTGCAGTCTGAAAACCTAATGTTTCTGACTTTGTTTGGTTTTGAATCCCATTATAGGGTAAAAACTGTTAGTTGCAAATTTATTGTGATCCCAAAAAATGTTCTAAGTTTCCAAAGAAGAAAATACCCCCAGTGAAATCTTAACATGCCCCCATATGGTCTCAAAATGTCAATATCTTCATTAATCATGGACCAATTCTAATGAAATATAGCTCAAAACACTGAATATTAAATTTCCTTTTGATTTTTTAAGATATTTATTTGAAAGGCTTCTCAGATTTTGGGTCACAGGGGGTAACTTTGCCCCCTCCAACGGTTTGTATACGTAATAGTGTTGTAACTCGCGGGGATTTTTGGAATCGAGTAATTCGCGTGATTTTGAGTCTGAGATCGAATAAGAATCGCGATTTTTCATAAAAAAAATAAACAAGAAAAAATCTTACCATTGCATCTCATATGGTCGTTTTTTAGTCCTTTTTTCAATGTTGTTCACTTGAACAATACCCTAGGTACGCTAGGTATATCAAAAGTTGTCCATATCTACCGATTTAAATAACATACTTACGATTAATTACGACAAAAATTGAAATATTGTTTATTTTATGTTTCCCGCCACACATTGTTGCAGCACTTTCATTTCCGGTTCTACGGACTGAATTAATCATGGAATTAAAAAATAGACTCAAAAATATTTCATTTAAATTAGATTTATTACTCATATTCATTCAAATAAAAACAAATGATACACGGAACAATCATTTGTACATAGTTTCACCCTGTTTGTAAGAAAAAACAATGCATTTGACGTCAGGATTCGCTGTGAAATCGCGAATACGAATACAAATTCGCGCGTCTCAGACTCGTGTAATAATTCGCGAAATCTGAACTCCTAATCGAGCCGAATTCTATAACACCTTGGCGAGACGATGACTATGTGAGTACTTATCCACACCACTAATACGTAACATGCCTCTTAAAGGCAGAATCAAATCTATGGCGGGTGACAAAATTACAAGCAACATGTACAATTGACCTACCTATCTATTTCTTACAATCTCAGATACAATATCTCCAAAAATATCTTCGGTATATGATAAATTGGTGAAGTTTTAATGGATTCAAAATGCAAAAATGGGTGAAAAATGTTTAAATTCTCCCAAATAATAAGAATGGTAACCATTCTTATAGAAAAATAATACATTATTGTGAAAATATTTAGTTTTTCTGAAATAAAATGTGCGCTTTAGGGATTTTTAGAAAATAGACATGAAAAGGAATGACATAAGCCAGAAAAATTCTAAAATTAAAACAGTTTTTTGTTAGGCTGCTCGCTATATCTGATTCTCTCTTTAATTGTTGAATGGTTAAAACTGCTTCAAAATGGTCAATGAAAGTCATATGGCAGGTTTTAAACTTATATATGTCACTGAAAGGTTTTTTAAGATCATTCAATGAGTTCCGACAATTTCCGTGAGTCACATAAGTAATATTTTGCACAATATCTAATTATATTGTTTAATTCTTGTAATTTCTTCAAAATTGACTGAGAATAAATTATGACTTCAACAAAAGGCTAGATTTTTCTCTACAAGATGTTATAATATGAGCCAATTTAATGTACTGTATATATTAAGGAAAATACAGCCTGTTGCAGGGGTTCACCTTTTTAGACCACCCTGTATATCATATGGAATACAAACTTATCAGTACTTAAATATACATGTATAGAGGTTGAGCTGTACAGGGGCTGAGTTGACTTGGGGTTGAGTTTTACTGGGGCTGAGTTTTACAGGGGTTAAGTTGACTTGGGGTTAAGTTTTACTGGGGTTGATTTTGACTGGGTCTATGAGGACTTTGGCAAAAGATTTTAATATGTCAATTTTGCTGTTCATGATCTCCTTTATTAAATATTCAGGCTTTGAAGAATAATGCTCTCTGGTTTGTATTAGAAGGGCAGTAAATTAATAAAATGTAATTCATCTTCAATTTGATTTAGGTTACAATTTAAACAGAGTCTATCTTTTAGTTGTATCTTTTGCCCATTTTTCTTTTTGTGTCTACCTATTTCAATTTCTAGTTTGTGGTTACTTAGCCTTATTTTGCATAATGCATGTATGTTTCTAAGTTTGCTGTTTTTTATCATTAAGAAAGGCTCTTTTTAGTTCAACTTTGAATAAAGAATATGTTCTCAGGCATGATTTTTTTGAGTGATCATTGATTAGAGCAAGCCATTGGTTTTTGTAAAGAGATCTTAATTTATTTGATACTTTTAGATGAAGCATTAAATATGATTGAATGTCAATAACAGATTTTAAATGATTTTCCCACATATCTTGCAAATCACATTCTTTTAAAATGTTTTGGATTTGTGACACCCAAGTATTGCTAGATTTGAAGTTTGTGTTTTAACATGTAAAAGTTGCTTTAAAAATCTCAATTGTAATTTTTCTATGATCTCAAAACTTTTAGATTGTGCATGTACTTCAGTGAACAAATAATTTATGAATCTGAACAATGTAATATAATATTTCAGTACAGTATAGCAATCTCCTAATTATTGAGAATTCTTAGTACCTTTAACTAAATGATATAATAATTGTTAAACCAAAAATAAAATTTCTTCAATTTTTTTAATAATATAGCTATACGTTGAACAGATCTCAAATTACTACAAATAACAACATTGGGTGGCCATTTTGGATTTTCAAAGGCTTGGACTGAGTGGACTGACTGGACTGGACCAAATTAGACTGGATTGGACTGACTGTTGGATGGAGGGGCTTCACTACATCCCTAACAAAAGGAAGAGGTGCGTTTATTGGCAAATACCTCTATGGTCAAAATGAATAATTCTTAGGTGTAACATGAAGAATAGAATGTCTTATAACTCTTTGGAAGATATTAAAGTGCTCGGGCACACATAAGCTGAGATAGGGGCCATTTAGTTCAGTAAGGTTGTATTGACTTACATGGGACTAGGATATCAGCATATCCCAATAGAGGCCATTGGTTTCTATTGATTATCACAAAAATACCCAAAATACACTATGACCTGAATCGATTGCAAACTTAATCATTTTAAAATATGACACAAATGGTTTATCTCGTCAAATGTGCAAATATGAAGTTTGCAATCGATTCAGGTCATACTTAAAATTAAAAGATTGTACATTTTTTCATCATTTTTTCCCTACAAAATGGCTATAGAAAAATGCTCCAAAAACAACTTTTACGCTTATCAAAAATCATACAACTTTGTAAAACCAAAGAATATACTATTATATTTCATTATGTAGTAACATATTTGGATAAGATGTAGGGATGCTTAGGATGCAAATGGATTTTGACAGACACAAAAATACTTCCTGGTTTGGAATCTATGCCTCTACACTTCATGATTGCAATTCCTGACATGAAAGCAATATCTACATTTCTAGCTTTATTAATGTCCTATATAATGTTTTTACATTTAAAACATATTGCTATTACAGTTTTACATATTGCACCTAAATTACTGTAAAATTGGCTTTCGAGCAGAACTTCTACCCCCATAGGGTATATGTGTACAAAATATGAACAAAATCGGGCCAACGGTATTTGAGTTATTGCCCGGACGGACAGACGGACGGAGGCGTTCCCTATATGTGCAAAATATTTTTCCCGATGAAATATCCTGTCCACTGACATGTTCCTGAGGCTGCATGTCGAGGGAACATGTCAGTAGACAGGATATTCCCAAAGGGAAAATTTTTACACTATTTCCATAAAAGCAACTTCAGTGCATAAACTGGATGTAACTACATGTACCACATACATGTTTTTTGAAGTATATACTATATATTATACCACTCTAAGTCCGATTACAGTTGTATAACATGGGTCTATAACAATGATATACAGTGGAGAGTGGTATATCGTCATCGTATACACTCCACCGTATACACTCCAGCGTATACCACTGTAGAAGTGCATTCTGGGAACTAATGAATATTGACCGAAGAACGAGGTGTATGGTTTGTTACACATGATTTCCTAGAATCAAGTGACGTCATAAATGGTTCCCACATGATTTGCTAGAATCAAGTGACGTCATAAATGGATCGAGATCAACATCGGCATTACTGAGTTGGCTGTGGGATATTTTTATGGTTTTTATAATTGTTATGATTGTGTTTGAATCAACTGTAATTGAACTTATAGTGGCATAATAAGATTATATAATGGTTCAATCTGTATATCGTGCATTTTATACTCTCGTGAGAATATAATATATTCACTCGTTCGCTACGCTCACTTGTGAATATATTATATACCCACTCGAGTATAAACACGATATACAGAATGAACCATTATATAACCTCATATTACAAAGTACATGTAGATATATGTCACTAACCTATTTCTAGACTTCAAACTTGAATGCCTTTCTCTGTCGTCTGTCAATTTACTGTCAACTGGTATTTCATCTCTGGCTTGATCATTTTTTTGTTTTGAGTCTAGTATATATAATGGCCATGTTTTTTGGCTTCCTACATCTACTATTGTTTTTTGGTCAAATATGCTATAACCTGAATTTCTTTCCTGATCTTTTAAATCTTTGCTATGCCCTTGATCTCTAACATTGTAATTTGATCTTTCTGGTTCGCTGTTGTACCATCTATCTGGTCCGCTATAGCTTGATCTCCTTGTATAACTAACTGATCCACTGTTATAGTGTCTTTGACCTAAGTCTGTGTATCCTACCCTTCTTTCCTGACATTTTGAAACATTGGACATTCGATCAAAACGATTATACCCATACTTCCTGTCTGGACTTTGTTCTGATTCAATAAGCTCTAAATGTCTTTGCTGACTTCTTGTTTGGTTTTGAACATTATATTCTGATCTTTTTTGATCTATTGGATGATTGCTATAAGTTTGGTCTGGCCAATTGTAACTTGATTGTCTTTCTAGATGTTGGGTATCATTTTTGTTTAATCCTTTCAAACTTATTTCTTGCCTACCTGAATCATGGTTAAATCTATCTAATCTGTCATATTCTGACCTTTTCTCTTTGCTTAATGGTTCACTGTAATGTCTTTGATCAAAACCACTAGAATGTGATCTCTGTTTTTCAAGACTTTTGGAATCATTTTTACATTTAGATTCAGAATAGCCTGACTTTCTTTCTTGACATTTTGAATCATAGTTATGTCTTCGATCTGACTCACTGTGACTAGAACTTCTCCTTGGACTCTTGGAACCATCCCTATATCTTGATCCTTTATGTTTAGAACTTTGTCTTCCCCTATAAAATGACAATGGATGGTAAGTTGATCTATAAAATCTTGGCTTAAAGAACTGTGCTTTCCCCCTAAAGGTTGATCCTTTAACAGTGAAAACTCTATGAGGTATTCCTCTCACTCTAGGTGACCCTCTCCATTGACTTGTGTCTCTCCCTTGAAAAGATGACCCTCGAGTTAAACCTTTATCTTGAGTAGGAAGTACATAAAGGGTACCCTTTCCTCTAGTAGATGCTGCCCCTCGAGTAGATACTACCCTTTGATTAGGTACTGCCTCTAGGGTAGATGCTGCCCCTTGAGAAGTTGTTACCCCTTGGAAAGTTGTCTTCCCTTTAGTAGATGCTGCCCCTCGAGTAGATACTACCCTTTGATTAAGTACTACCTCTAGGGTAGATGCTGCCCCTTGAGAAGTTGTTGCCCCTTGGGAAGTTGTCTTCCCTTTAGTAGATGCTGCCCCTCGAGTAGATACTACCCTTTGATTAGGTACTACCTCTAGGGTAGATGCTGCCCCTTGAGAAGTTGTTGCCCCTTGGGTAGTTGTCTCCCTATTAGTAGATGCTGCTGCTCCCTGAGAACTTGCTACTCCTTGGGTAGTTGTCTCTCTTTTAGTAGATGCTGCTGCTCCCTGAGAACTTGCTACTCCTTGGGTTGTTGTCTCTCCTTTAGTAGATGGTGTCACTTGAGCTGCTTCTCTTTTTAGCTTGACTAACCTACGTTTGTCTTTCCTTGTTAGTTTTTGTGAAACTCCCTTTTCTTTTTCTTTAGATTCATCATTTTGTTGATTTTGCTTAATTGTCTGACTCTCCTGATTTACAAGAATTTGTAAATTTGAATTTTCAAGCTCCTCAAATAATTTGCTTACTTGTATCTGCTGCTCTTTACAGAATGAAGTTTCCTTCATATTTGCAGCTCAAGTCAGTTTCTAATTATAATATTTTCGATTCTCTTGCAGAAAATGTTATAGTTATGTTCACAATGCACTGTTTTCCTACATATATGCTGATATCACACCATTTTGGAAAAGATGCTCTGTTGATAATTATTATGTAGCACATATATCTAGTGTCACATGCATATTGCTTACAAAAACTATGTTTGTCAAATTATATCACAGGTTCATAGTACAAGTATCAGATATCTTAGCATAGCTAACTTTACATCTTATAGATAAATAACGATCCTTAAGTACTCCCAAAAAAGATAAAACTTTTTTAAAACTTGATATATTGGACTCTTGACACCTGAATATTTTTGATTGAGTGTTTTATCTCTAAGTATTAACTCAACTTGGTTTAACATAATTTCACAGATACAAACATTGTTCTAATTCAATGGCTTAGTGTAAGAAGGTTATACTTTTTCCTTTATAGTAACCTTCTATATGAATCCCTCCTCACAATATTTGCAAGACCAAGTGTGAAATCTCAGAATGAGATTTATCAAATATATTATAGATCAATAAAGATAATATTATAGACAAATGAAGAGTCTACAATAACAAATTGCAAATTCAGGATACTCAACAGGTTTTGTAAATTATGGATCATTTTGTTGTCTTGATCAAAATTATACAAAATTGAATGTTTTTGCAGAATCTATATCAATGCAGACACAACATATCGAATTAATCTTCACGTGAAACATGGTTTTATGGTACATTAAATGAAATTGATGCTGTCATCATCGGTTTGCTAATTTTACAAGTTAATTGTTTGTTGCATTTTTGATACGCACCTTATATGATGAGAAATGTAGAAGCAAATAAAAGCATGGACAGCACAAAAACTGGTTTAAACAATAGAAGTCAAAGTGAACAGTATACAAAAGACTTGAAAACATTGGAATCAAATATTAATTTGGCACACTAACCTACAGATATTTCTTACATTATACTTGTATAAATGGTCCAATCCAATCTATTTTCCTAAATCCACAGACTTAAAGTAAAAATGCATTACCATTAGCAATGAGGGATGTTGAGCTTCAATACTGAACTAAAATAACTACAGTTTGGAGTAGTCAATTTTCTATCACCATTTCAAAACCATAGCAGTTTGAACGCCAATATTGTCTAGATGCATCCCCTAAAAATTGTATATTTTACATTTTGTATACTCTCATCCAATGATGGCCTTGAAAATTCTCTTATTTTTAACATGGAAATCCTAATATTATCAAATCCATGACTCAACATTTATTTATGGTCCAAACTGCAATAATTATTTTTGTGTGGAAATTATGCAGCCACAGTACGTGAATATCCAAATCATGCAGAAAATATAAACACGATGTATGAGAACCATAAACTAACTGACTTACTTGTTTTTCTGCTCAATCTTTATGTGGTGCATCAAGCAAACACTATGATTCTCCAACTCCTGAAATGTTGTGAAATACCAGCATTAGCAATAGCATCAGTAAGTTACAGTGAAACCTTTCTAAAGTGAACACTTTTGGCATCAATAACAGGGGTCTCACTTCAATTTCTCACAACAGGCAAAATGAATGAATTCAACAGGCAAAATTATAAGACATTTAAACATCAAAACAGTGGCAAAATTCCTCAAAATAATCACCTGCTTCACATAAAACTCCTAAATAATATCTGTTTACTGTTGATGAGTAGGTGTTTCTCATCTAGCTAACTGTACAGCTGTACAAACTTAGCACAAGGCATTCTCAATTTCGCTAATTCTGAACTTTAACATCAGTACTCACTAGGGATGTATAATTCTATTAAATATATAATCAAGCCCAATGATACATGTATTTGTTTTTGCTTTCTAATTTTGAAGTCAGAGTCTAAACATGTATTCATTGTATTAAAAAAGTTCCTTGACTTCTCTGCATGCTTAATTATCTCAAGCTTATGAGGGTCCAACGAGATAATTAAGTCCATCCTCTTATAATACCTTATTTGGAGAAAAGGGGGAGGGAATAACATTTTCAATCAAATCTTACCCTCTTATTCCCATTGGTTCTACATTTCTATTTTTAAAGTGTACTCTAATGATCCCCAAACATCTAGATACAGGACAGGAGTACAGTAAAGATAAAACATCATGTGAAGGCTACCACTCGACTTACATTGACTTAAGGTCTCCAGTAGTTATCAGAAATTTACACCAAACACCATGTGGATTTTAGAATTTTAAAAGTTAGCATTTTGGAAAGGTCACTGCACAGAATATTTTGGATTTTTCAGAAAATGTGCCAAACATATTGCTTAAATGATAGGATCTTTTTTCCTTTTTATGACCATAACTTTTGTTTCAGACAATTTTTCTAATTTTCAAATCACAAGGAGATAGATCAACTATCACGTGAAGATAAAATTGATGCATGGATGAAGATATCATATTTTAGCAAACAATTCCCAAACCATCGAATATCACTTTTGAAACCATCGAATATCACTTTTTGAAAGGTGATATTCGATGGTTTTAAAAGTGATACTCGATGGTTTCAAAGTGATATTCAATAGTTTTGATTTTTTCAATTTTTTTATTAATTCAGCAAAACGATTCTTTGTATATTTTTTATTTTTTTGGATCTAGTTTTTACGGCTTTCGCATTAAATACAAACCATTTTATTGTTGTAAATATTAATGTTGAAATAAATCTTGTTGAAATTTATCTGACTATTCAATGTTCGCTGGATAATAATTCCCCATGGGATAAACGGACAATCCTATGGTTTTTCAAAACTATCACTTATATCCACTCATGGATATCAGTATCTTCACTCATTCGCTGTGCTCACTCGCAAAAATATCAATATCCACTCATGGATATAAGTGATATTTTTTTAAAGCCATAGAATATTCCTATAATATCCAAATGTAATATTTATCATCTACTCTACTCTAGATTTGCTGATATTAAGGTTCAGCTGGAAAGTAACATTTTGGTAAAAAATTGCTATACCTGCACATTATTTTCTGGTACAAAATTAAGTATGAAGGCATGTGTGTATTTCCTTGCTTTTTTCAGGAAAGTATCATTACACTGTCTACTTTTAGTAAACCTGGAAACAGGTCAATGGTAGCTCCTGTGTTGTCTGGAAACTTTGAAAGAAAATTAGAAAAAATATCAGAATTTCCTGGAGTTCCCATTGAACGCCTACCAGATATTCTTAAAGAAGACAATGTAATGACACTTTCCTGAAAAAAGCAAGGGAATTGATACATGCCTTCATACTTTATTTTGGTCCAGAAAATAACATGTGCAGGTAAAGCAATATTTTACCAAAATGTTATTCAGATCTAATGTAGTGTAATGTAACCATCTCAAAATGATGGTGAAATCTGAGGCACGAATCAGAAAACAATACCATAGTTGTGATCAACTCAAAAATTCCTACAATTTGTTATATTACTCAGTCATCTTGTTACCTGTTTTTACACCAACCCAAATAACTTTTGAACTCGAATAATTAATATGAATATCAATTGTGCAAACTGCAACAAGGCTCTTATTGGTTACAATTTATTATTCTATAGCCAATTAATTGTAGCAACAATGACTCAGGTTGCAGTAATTGACCTATTCTTATACAAGTACACACAATTACGTTCCTTCTTACAATAGTTTCACTTTCACGAAGAATGTCAATGCGCAGGATCGCAAGGTAGTTCCAATATTTTGTGTTTTCTAGAGCTTCAAAATGCTATTTTCTTCAATAAGTGGATGTTCACTCACATGCATGAAAAACTGGGAAAATATTTCTTCCAAATTCCAAATTAAAACACTTCTTTTGAATTTTAGTTACGCGTAATAATACAAATAAAATTACTGACTTTTTCTATCAGATGTGAGTTTCACGGTTACGGATCTCTGTGCGTGAGTCGAGAAATATTTTGGGAAAAAAGGAAACGGTGGTGAGTGACTAAAGATTTCACATTCACGATATAAGAATTGTGGTTTGAGTGTAAGGAACGTAGTTCTCGATGTCAGAACTGATGTTCGCGTTGTCGGAAGTCTAGAAGGCCTGAATGTATAGTTTCCATGGAAAACTGACATAATCTTACATAATCTTCATGTGATAGGATTGCTAGTATTTGTATATGTATTTGGTTAAGAAGACCTGATTGATGTGCTTTTACCTTTACATGCCCACCTTGCATTCAGCAGAAATATTTTACTGATCAATACAGAGGAGTTCAAAAATAACACCCAGCAGTGTTTATCAATAGTAGAGACCTAATAACAATTGTATGCAATGTTTATAAATTCAATGGCTCATATTGTTCAATGTTAGGAGGATTATTTTAAGTGATAAAAAAATATGAATACTGGGAATGCATCCATGCATTGATAAATCATATACATTTCAAACATGTTGAAAAGTATGTGGCCCTAAGCTATACCAGGAAATTTACTTCCACATACATATAAATGATATTGGGCTCCCAAAGAGGTTTGTGACAAGATGACCTGATCTCTAAAAATGTGAATAAATATGATGCAACTTTTTGCAAAATTTGAAATGTTTGGAACTACTTGAATCTAAAAAATAAGCAATAAAATAATCCATAAAATAAGGCACTTGTACAATTTCAAGTAAATGGATATAATGCCTGGGTCATATTTGCTCCGATTCATCGCCCGGCGCCTGGCCATGAATTGAGTAAAGTGGTGATCATAAATAATAACTAACACTATGAAAAAAGACATTGTGTCACATATGTCATAAATTTTTACCTCAGTGAATTGAGTGCTTTTTTTTCTCCATCCCACAACGTACAAACAAGGCATTAACATGACAAAATGTCACCACCTAAAACAATTTGGTCAATTTAAAGCAAGTTGAAAAATACCTCTTTGACTTTTTTTGACATTGAGAAGGTCATTGAAGGTCAAATGTCAAATGTAAAGTCAGATTTGAACTTCTGAGAACATGTAGATGATTTTGAAAAAAAAATTAAGTAAATTTGAAGCAAGTTGAAAAAAGACCTTTTTGACCTTGAAAAGGTCATTGAAGGTCAAATGTCAAATCTAAAGTCAGATTTGAACTTCTGAGAACATGTAGATGATTTTGAAAAAAAATTAAGTAAATTTGAAGCAAGTTGAAAAAAGACCTTTTTGACCTTGAAAAGGTCATTGAAGGTCAAAGGTCAAAATCAAATCTAAAGTCAGATTTGAACTTCTGAGAACTTGTAAAGTCAAATTTGAACTTCTGAAAAGATGTAGATGATTTTGAAAAAAAAAATTGGTCAATTTGAAGCAAGTTGAAAACAGACCTTTTTGACCTTTTTTGACCTTGAGAAGGTCATTAAAGGTCAAATGTCAAATCTAAAGTCAGATTTGAATTTCTGAGAACATGTAGATGATTTTGAAAAAAAAATTAGTCAATTTGAAGCAAGTTGAAAAAGACCCTTTTGACCTTTTTTGACCTTGAGAAGGTCAAATGTCAAATCTAAAGTCATATTTAAATTTCTGAGAACATGTAGATGATTTTGAAAAAAAAATTTAGTCAATTTGAAGCAAGATGAAAAAATACCTTTTTGACCTTTTTGACCTTTTTTGACTTTGAGAAGGTCATTGAAGGTCAAATGTCAAATCTTAAGTCAAATCTTAAGTCAGATTTGAATTTCTGAGAACACGTAGATGATTTTGAAAAAAAAATTTAGTCAATTTGAAGCAAGTTGAAAAAATACCTTTTTGACCTTTTTTGACTTTGAGAAGGTCATTGAAGGTCAAATGTCAAATCCTAAGTCAAATCTAAAGTCAGATTTGAATTTCTGAGAACACATAGATGATTTTGAAAAAAAAATTTAGTCAATTTGAAGCAAGTTGAAAAAATACCTTTTTGACCTTTTTTGACTTTGAGAAGGTCATTGAAGGTCAAATGTCAAATCCTAAGTCAAATCTAAAGTCAGATTTGAATTTCTGAGAACATGTAGATGATTTTGAAAAAAAAAATTAGTCAATTTGAAGCAAGTTGAAAAAAGATCTTTTTGACCTTTTTTGACCTTGAGAAGGTCATTGAAGGTCAAATCTAAAGTCAAATCTAAAGTCATATTTGAATTTCTGAGAACATGTAGATGATTTTGAAAAAAAAATTTAGTCAATTTGAAGCAAGATGAAAAAATACCTTTTTGACCTTTTTTGACTTTGAGAAGGTCATTGAAGGTCAAATGTCAAATCTTAAGTCAAATCTAAAGTCAGATTTGAATTTCTGAGAACACGTAGATGATTTTGAAAATTTTTTTTAGTCAATTTGAAGCAAGTTGAAAACAGACCTTTTTTGACCTTGAGAAGGTCATTGAAGGTCAAATGTCAAATCTTAAGTCAAATCTTAAGTCAGATTTGAATTTCTGACAACACGTAGATGATTTTGAAAAAAAAATTTAGTCAATTTGAAGCAAGTTGAAAACAGACCTTTTTGACCTTTTTTGACCTTGAGAAGGTCATTGAAGGTCAAATGTCAAATCTAAAGTCAGATTTGAAGGTCAAATGTCAAATCTAAAGTCAGATTTGAATTTCTGAGAACATGTAGATGATTTTGAAAAAAAAATTAAGTAAATTTGAAGCAAGTTGAAAAAAGACCTTTTTGACCTTGAGAAGGTCATTGAAGGTCAAATATCAAATCTAAAGTCAGAGTTGAACTTCTGAGAACATGTAGATGATTTAGAAAAAAATTGAAGTCAATCTAAACAGTATTTGTTAAGTTATAGGAAGTTGTAAGAAATTGTTACAGACGCCGGACGCCAACCGCCGGACGCCAACCGCCGGACGCCAACCGCCGGACGCCAACCGCCGTCGCAAAAAAACGGAGACCATAACAATATGTCACCACTTTTGGTGGTGACATAATAAAGTGAATATGTGTCCATAATGACAAATAAGAACTTTAAAATTTGAAGTGATATTCACACATTAAGGTAACGTTTAAGTTATTCAAAAGTACAAAAAATGGCAGCCATATTTTTTTGGTAAAGTCACAAAATTCTGTATCGGTTTTCCTCATATGTGAATGCATTTCCTGACTAAAGAGATATATCAAAGGAAACTTCACAAAAATTCTTATATTCACTATGTATAGTCACATACAACTCAGAAACAGAAACATTGACAAAAATAACTTAAAACAGGAACAGACAGACAGACAGACGGACAAGTGAGTGATTGCAAAAGCTCACCATGTGAGCTAATAATGGAAGTAGTGGACTAACTTTGAGAAAGTTGAAAAATTTAGATTTAACCTAGATTTTGACCTTTGATCTTGACCTAGATAAAATTTTGTTCTTACCAAGTTAGGCCCAGGTATTAGCAAAACCTGTGTATAGTGAACACCTATGGAGCTACAAAAATGTGTTCACTATAGGTAGGTGTTCACTACAGAGGCTATTTTATACAGAAATTAGTGGAGGGTGTGCTGAGAAAAGGAAATGTATTCACAAGATACATGTGTTCACTAGAGTGAGGTATTCACTAAGACAGGTGTTGATGTAGTAGATAGTTGAAAGTAAAAGAAAAATGTATGAAAACTTTTTAAAACAATTTTCAATCACAAAACCTGCCATTGACTTTATATATGAGAAAATTCCCTGAAATTGAGCTCTACTTTTTGTCAAATGTTATAGAGTAAACACAAACAATAGGCATTAACATGACAAAATGTCAACATCTAGTTGCTCACAATATTATGAGTTCAATCTTAAGTCAGATTTGAATTTCTGAGAACTTGTAGATCATTTTGAAAAAATAAGTTGGTCAATCTGAAGCAAGTTGAAAAAAGACCTTTTTTGACCTTGAAAAGGACAAATCTTAAATATGAACTTCTGAAAACTTGTAGATGATTTTGAAAAAATTGAAGTCAGTCTAAACGGTATTTGTTAAGTTATTGGCAGTTGTAAGAATTTGTTACAGATTTCAATGGCTGATCACCAACTGCCAACCAACGTAAAAAAAAAACTATTACAATTTGTCACCACTTTTTGGTGGTGACATAAAAACTGTAGTTCTAAGAGCTTTGAAATCCTCAGAGGATATACCAGCCTGGTACATACATTGCACAACTACTAACATCTATTTGAAAGTTCTACTTTACAAAGTGTCTGATATTTAAAGAAAATTTGACTCTTTTGCGTCAAAAGTGGCAATTTCTTGGAAACTAGACGAACTTGGGAAATGGCGATGACCGGTCAAAAAAGGCACTATGAATTTGACTTGATACAAATAGTAGTTAATTCGTGTGGCCAATGTTTACAGACAGATGGACTAATGGATGGATCAAAGAAGGCCTAGTTGATCCCAAAAAGGTACATGTACAATTTTGAAAACCTGATTTTTCTGCAATAGAACAATATTGAAACGAGGTGAGCAGTTTTTGAGACACTACTTATGCAGATAATTGAAGACTCAGTATAGACACATTTCAAAAGTTGTGGAGGATTTTAAATAGACAGATTGATGAACAGAGATTAGCTCATAATGTGTGAGCTAATAATACAATACGAGACATTGAATGCATGTATTGAGAATGGTATATGCTTACCTCTTTAGTTGCATATGCAACATTGCATAAATCACATTTATGATCCTTGTCACTCATCTTTCTTCTGAAAAATCTGAAATTATAAACAATATAAATTAATGAACTCGTGATAGGGGAAAATGTTACTGTGTGAACTGGGCTCACATGGGAAGGTTTTATTATTTTTATGTTCAGCAATAGCTGTGTGAAAAAGAGTGCAAGTTATTAAATGAATCGGGGAGTTTTTAAATGCATTTTGCTTGTGTTTTTCTATCATATAAAAATCATATTTTGTGCACATTTTCTGAATAATTCAAAATATTCTGTTCAGTGACCTTTGCGAAACGCTAACTTTTACATTTTTTCAGTCACAATTTCAGCTGAAAAAGCTAGTTCAGCATGGTAAGGGTCATTTTGACCATGAAAATTGTGATCCTGGTCATGTACAGGGTGGTCCAAAAAGTGAACCCCTGCAACGGGCCATATTTCCCTTATTTCCTGCAGGAATCCTTTCATTTTTTCAAGTGTTGTAGATGAAGGTCTAAATTTTTTGTTGGTACCATACATTTTTCTTAGTCTTGAAATTTGCAGAAATAATAAGCCCTAAACAAATAGAGAACTAATATTTTCTGACTTAGTTTGGTTTTGAATCAAGCACATTATGCAGTAAAAACTAACATCCTACCTCTGTGCAAAGATATTGTGATCCAAAGAAATGTTTTAAGTTTCCATAAAAGAAAATTTTTCCCAGTGAAATCGTAACATACCCCTATATGATCTTGAAATGTCAATATCTTCTTTAATCATGGACTAATTCTAATGGATTATAGCTCAAAACATTGAATATTAGATTTTTTCTTTTGATTTTCTAAAGATATTTGATAAAGGGCTTATCAGATTTTGGTTACAGGGGGCAACTTTGCCCCCCTCTGACCGTTTGTGTAGGTAACATGCCCCTTAACTGTTCAACAGTTAAAACTGCTTCAAAATGATCAATGAGAGTGTGAAATCTGTTTTCTGCTCAAATAGTGTTCTATTTGTCATATGGTAAACTTGTATCTCTAACTGAAAGCTGTTTTAAGAATATCTAATGTGTTTCAACAATTTCCGTAAATCACATTGGCACAATATCTAATTTTCATGCATGTTTCTTTAAGTCTTGTAATTTTTTCGAAATCCAAGACTAAGAACAAATTATGGCATCAACCAAAATTTTAGACCTTTCTCTACAACATGTGTTAAAATGAGGCAATTCATGCAAGTATTAAGGAAAATATAGCCTGTTGCACCGATTCATTTTTTTGGACCACCCTGTAAATAATATATGGAAGTACTAAAACTGATTGAAGATTAAGGTACAGCTGGAAAATAACATTTTGGTAAAAATTTGCTATACCTGCACATGTTATTTTCTGGTACACTATAAAGTATGAAGGCATGTGTAAATTTCCTTGCTTTTTTCAGGAAAGTATCAGTATATTGTCTTCTTTTAGTATATCTGGTAAGAGGTCAATGGGAACTCCAGGAAATTCTGATATTTCACCCTTTCTATTTTTCCAAATTTTCTTTCAAAGTTTCCAGACAACACAGGAGCTACAATTGATCTGTTTCCAGGTTTACTAAAAGTAAACAATGTAATGATACTTTCCTGAAAAAGCAAAGAAATATACACATGCCTTCATACTTAATTTCTTACCAGAAAATAACATGTGCAGGTATAGCAATTTTTACCAAAATGTTACTTTCCAGCTGAACCTTACCGGATTTTCTCGCATATAAGCCCTGGGGTAATTTCGTCTATTATTTTACCTCTTATTTTTTGCCAATGGGCGTATAAGTGTACTACTTTCAATTTTTGGCCAAGTGGGCGTAAAGGTGAGAAGAGCTGATGAATACAATGGTTCCTCAAAGACTACCGTACCTACTGTTGTAGTCCTACCGCATGTTTTGTAAGATATATAAAGGAAATATCACCTACAACCTTGGACTTAATGTTGAAACAAAGTAACAACAGAACGATCCACCACTGCCACTTACGGCACAGCGTTGAACTTAATGTTGAAACAAAGTAACGACAGAACGATCTGCCAGTGACAAAATACTCTTGAATTTATTGAAAAAATCAATAAATAGTCATTTTTTATAGGCCCATGGGCGTATAAGCGTACTACATTCAATTTTTGCCCCATGGGCCTAAATTTAGGGGGGCGTATATGCGAGAAAATCCGGTAGCAGAATTCTGTTATCTTAGTTCAAAAAATTTTAAAATCAACATGGTTTTTTCATTTCCTGTTTGGTGTAAATTTCTGATAACTACCCGAGACCCGAGACCACAATTGACGGAAAATGCCCCTACAGACAACTCAGTAAATGAAATTTGTGAGAAATGTATCATTCATACTCTAAAAGGAAGCTGCATACAATGAAATACAGGTGGGGGGTAGTAGGTGTGAAATATTTTGATGGAAATGCGTGACATATTCAGTTTTCCGCATGAAAATCCGAACGTAATGCATCTGTTTTTTTCAGCATTCGTTTTTTGCTGTATCGGCAATCACTTTTTTGAAGTTTTTCTACAGAAATATTTTTGCATGACAATAATAAGGTAAAATGCGTATTTGCGTGACATATTCTGTCACGCAAAAAAAACTGGCATGACTTCAAATTTTCCAGCAACAGCGAGACAAATACACAAATTGCCGGACACTTGGACAGCCTGTTTTTTGTACCATCATAAACCATAGTAAAGAGGATTATAAGATACAAGCACAGTACCCCCATAATGTAGTGTAGGCACTAGGCTAGCTGTAGATCTAAGGTTCTCTACACTAGGTCAGGGTTGATTAGCCTTTCCCAATGGCCATGATATCATGGCCATTAGGCATACCTATATTCATAATGACGCAGCAGCAAACTGCGATAAACTATGCACCTACCCTATCTTTGAATGCTCCGAAATCACTCTGCTACGTTTTTAGTGAAGTAATTTGGTATTTCATGAGTAATTAGAAGATTTGTGTCAAAAATTTGGAACTAATTTTGAAAATTAAAATCCTCTTTATGCGCATGCGCAGTATCGCATGTCAAAGCACAGTACCCCCATAATGTAGTGTAGGCTAGCTGTAGATCTAAGGTTCTCTACACTAGGCCAGGGTTGATTAGCCTTTCCCAATGGCTAAGATATCATGGCCATTACGCATACCTTTATTTATGATGACGCAGCAGCAAACTGCGATAAACTATGCACTTACCTATCTTTGAATGCTCCGAAATCACTCTGCTACGTTTTTATCATCCTCCTAAGCAGGTATCCAGAATCCGTACCTCCTTCTTCCACCCTGCTATAAGCAATTTAGAAGCGCCCGATTAAACTGAATCACGTGATTTAAATTATGTGCCAATGCTGTATACACGATTGCTGTCTCAGTGTTGCGACAGCGAATCAAATTGCGAGTTCTTAATCGGGGAAATGCTAACTGCTTATCGCAGGGGGTAAAAAAAGAAGATATTCTAGATTTTGAAGCCCTGTGATCGGAGGATGCGTTTTTATTGAAGTAATTTGGTATTTCATGAGTAATTAGGAGATTTGGAGCTAATTTTGAAAATTAAAATCCTCTTTATGCGCATGCGCGGTATCGCATGTCAAACTTTTTACTAATCAAAATCATTATTTCAATACGCTGGCGTTGTTTCTGGTGTCACGTTTACAACCGCTTTACTCCCAGACAAAGATACCTTTCTCCTAGGCATTTCTAAAACTCACGTTTAGTAGCTTTAGCAAAATCTTATTATAATAATTTTGTTTCTTGATGTTCATATAGATTTGCATAACGATCAGAGGAACGGGTTCAATGAAGTTGAAATTGCTTGGACATTATACTTATAGGACCAAGGATTTAGGATAAGAACTCAAGAATTACAATTTCAACTGTATAAATGAGACAGGAAAGAAGTGGGCTGGTCAAATAAAGTGTAGGTCTCCAACTAACATCATAATTTTAACATTTATGAGTGCCGAATTCTGCGACAATCTATTCAAATTGTATGCGAGATGTCCCTAGTAGGACTAGGGACATCTTGAAGTCTAGGCTAGATATAGGGTTGATTTTATGAAAAATCAAATCAACTCCACATTGGGGGTAAACCCTAATGTACAGTAAAGATTCAAATGCTACCGATCAATACTTACATTGTAACTAAACAGAATACACCAAACAGTTATGCGCTGAGTACTTCGATTGTAGAGAAATCAGTGATGATTTCTATAAATTTTAAAATTTTTAAAAATATTCGCCATGTTGAATTTGTTTTCCACCTGAACTCAAGGAAACGGAATGACTTTTATTTTGTTATATGTTAAGTATTCCTTAATATATTTAGCATTCTATTTATTTGCATCTATTTAAATAGTACTAAGTGTATAATATTAAGATTGGAAATCAATTCAATTTTTGAATATTTGTTGCATTCGTTTTTTCATTAGAGTTTACATTTAGATGGGGTTTCCCGCCAATGTTTACGCCATGTTTTTTTAAAAACCAAACCAAAATAGAGAAATAAAGATTACAAGATAAGATCGGATTGTGCACGAATCAAGATGCCAAAGAGGCCAAATCCATTTGGAGATTTTTCTCCTCAAGTCAAAACACACGTTGGAGTAAAAGAAGTCGACATGGGTGTGAACTATGATCAGAATATGAAAGTTGTTTTTGGTGAGATTTCGAGACCCTATCTGTTGCAAGACTAACGCCTGGCGTAACCTCACCATGTTATTCAGTGATTTTAAGTTGCGCAAGGATCCTGCCATGACCGTGGTAATGTTATCATGAAAGCCTGGTATAACCGCGACAATGCTGTATTATATTGCAATTCCTGTCACAGGCCTGTCAACTGTCTAGTTAGTCCAACAACATTAGACCTAGCCTGGGCCTCGTTTCTTATCTGACATGTCTTATGGCCCCGGCTAGGTCTAACTTCCATGATGATTTTGCCCTTGTTGCGATCATTTAATCGTTCAGCAGGTTTCGACATGCGGAACTAATTAAACTCCGAAAACATGGTAATATTACATAAAGAATGTGATTCAAGCATGCATACATACCTTATAAATACATACACACCATCCCGTACCCCCCTTAGACCATATTGATGCATAATTACGAAAATATTGGAGACAGGTTTGGAATTTTACGAAAATATCGGTCAGCTCCGGTAACATCGAAATTGCAAATCGTATCAGGAATTAACCGTCATTGCGACACTGCATCAACGAACAGTAGGTTTGCAATTAATAACGATTTTGTGTGTATACAAGCGCTATATAAATCAATCAAAGATACCTGCTATCCTCAAAAATGGCTATTTTATCCCGAGTAATCGCGTGATAATTATCAATCTATTTGACAACAATTTCGTTTCAATAGTTTAAATTTTAACCCGGGACGAACAGACACAATGAAGGACATGCGGAAATGTCATTTTAGAGATTGGTAAGTTTAACCTCATTTTACTTGTATAAATGACCATTTAATACAATAATATTGTGTTGAATCGCTTGATGTTATGTGTTTTTATATTGTTGTCAAGTATCAGTTGCATGTTATCGCGGAAAAATGGTTTCGGTGGATCCAAAACTTGCATCAATGGAAAGAATAGTAAAGAGGTTAAACTCAATAATGGCCCCAAGAAAATTCTTAATAATAAATAACGCCGTTATTGAGTTTAACGACGTTGAACTACTGTCTAGTATGTCAACAGACCGAATATAATATTCAGACGAAGGATACAGTCTAGTCAACTGTCCCGCAATTTGCGTATTTGTCACGCATTTGCCGAAGAATTCGAAGTCACGCCAGTTATTTTTGCGTGACAGAAAATGTCACGCAAATACGCATTTTACCTGGTAATTGTCAAGCAAAAATATTTCTGTAGAAAAATTTCTAAAAAAGTTCGTCTACACAGCAAAAATACGAACGCCGAAAAAAAACGTACGCATTTCGTTCGGACTTTTCACGCGAATCACGTATATGTCACGCATTCCGTTTGAAATTTTTCGTACCTACCCCCCCCCCCCCGTTGATGGATGGTGAGCGCGAAAAATTTGAGGTGTTAAAAATTTGGCAAGATGTAATAAAATTTAAACCAAGGTGTTCAAAATTTGGATCAAGGTGTTCAGATTCGGACCAAGGTGTCCACATTTAGAGGGGAGGTGTTCAACATTTCCAAGTCACTCATGTTAGGTGTTCCCAAGTTGACAGGCCTGCTGTCATGACCGTGACAATGTGATAGTCTATAGTTCTGCAAGGCTTGGCATGACCGTGACAATGTAATATAGTACTGCAAGGCCTGGCATGACCGTGACAATGTAATACAGTATTGCAAGGCCAGGTATGAGGGTGGCAATGTAGAAATTTAGGCTTAGTCCTACTATGACCGTTATAATGTATTGCAATGACTAGTAAATATGTATGACATTAATGCCAGGAATATCCTTAATAATTTTAACTGATCGTCATTACAATTAAAAAGTTTAATACTATGATCATGATGTTTAGGCTTAACTACCTTAATCATGTCAAAATCAAAATTACTACCATACATTAATATTCACATTCGCTTATAAACCACAATAAAGGCTACGGTAGCGCCAGGCTTCCACGATATCACTTCCAGGGTCATGTCAGGCCTTGCAATATAATACAGCATTGTCACGGTTATACCAGCCTGTCACGGTTATACCAGGCTTACACGATCACACTACCACGGTCATGGCAGGATCCTTGTGCTACTTAAAAACACTGATTAACATGGCGACGGTTGTGGCAGGCGTAAGTCTTGCAATAGATAGCATGTGGAGATTTCTGCAAAGCTTAGTCTTAGAGAGGAGATAGGGGCATTCTCGGCCGCGGGGCATTCCCGGACAAACCCTTGGTATCAGGTGAAAATCTGGGACAAAGTTAGAATTTTTACAATATATAGCACCACATCTATAATATGATGTGTCTAATACAAAGTTTCAATAAAAAAAACCATATAAAACAAAGAATTATTGAAGATCGTCCGACAATGCCTGTGTCCGAGATTACCCCTATGTCCTCTAGGCTAAGCTTAGGCTTAGGTAACCGTCGCTTCAATTCTTTAATCACTTGGGTTTTCATTTCATGGGACCTTATCATCGCTGATTCTGTGTATGTATTAAGCTCTTGTGATGTTGTATTATATGAAATCCTAATTTGGATGAAATGTGGTCATGAATCGCCACAATATACCATCTTCCATATCACATCAATAAGCTATTCCTGTCACCAAATTGACTACTGTCCAGGATAATTCTTATTTTCTCTCATGTCTCTATGTCTGTTCCATTTAGATCGTTGTTTTCAATTATACTGTTTAACTGATGGCTTTAAAATGTTCAACATCATGGCAGTGAAATAATAAATGTTTCAATGTCTGCACTGTCCTCCATGTCCTCATAGTGAACATGTGTCACTCTCTTCGACTTCATATATTTTACTATTGAGTGATGAAGTTTCACATAAATTCTCAACAAGGTGACACAGGGTCTTATTAAGAATGGATTCTGTTTTGCTAAAATCTACCACTTAATCGGCTTAATAAATTTCTGAATATACTAAGAGACTTGTACATCATACAACTAAACCTCCATGTGTCCAACTCATGTCCCTGTAACACACTCTAAACAATATTTTTATCCAACCAATTCCTTTATCCCAGATCTCTGTCTAATTTCAGAAAAAACAAAGAACATTTTGTTCAGTGCTGCTAACAAAGGTATGACATGTGAACAAGAGCCAATAGAATCTGGCGACTATATGGGACTAAATGATGATAATAACCATGCTGCCTCTATCCACAAAGGACAGATGAAAATAGACTCACATGGCCATCTCTATGCTAACGGTGTTCATGAGAATCAGTCAGATATGAATGGGATTCACTTAACTGAAAATGGACATCTACCATTCGGTTGCCAAGCAGTCCAACCTCAGCCAAATGGTCAAATGACTTTTGGTCAGCCAATTAACAGTCAACTAAATGACCAAATGACATGTGGACAAGTGCTTAATGAAAAATCAAATGTAGTTCCAGGACAGATGTTTTTTGATGGTCATGGTAAACTGAGTGGACCCTTTCATGGAGATAAAAGTAAGCCAATATATTTATCACAAGAATGACACATTATCTTTTGGCAGCACATTCATGGTAACCATTTTGAGGAATAATTTCTAGCAATGTTGCCTGACATTTATTATGTTCAATGATTTGTTATGCCTTGGGTGTTAGTTCGACCTGAAAATAACATGACTTGGGATTCTTGTTATCTGTCTCTTGCCACTGTAGCTGTTGCTGAAGTGTGTCTCTATTCCAGATTCCAATGCCCTTCTGCAGCAGAATTTGATGTCTAACTCTCCAATGTGTTACATGTGTAGCAAATCACTGGGCCCTCAAAATAACCATGGGAGGAAGTGCAACTTCTGTGATCGCGTCATGTGCCATGAGTGTAACAGACAATGTGTCAACTGCCAGGGACTCTTCTGTAGCTCCTGCTCTACAATCAAGTAAGTTATGCATTTGGATATTGTTAGATCCTAGTTATTAGTCATATCAGCTAGTTTCATTCATATATGATGAGAATATATTCATAAAATGTTCTTTTTACAAAAGTCCCATTTCTGGGCTTCAAAATTGAAAATGACAATGTTTTAAGCTTGTGAACAAATGTATGAAACACTCTGTCATACTATTTCATTTTTCTTTGCAGTTATGATGAATGCTTTGAGAGGACATTCTGTTTGAACTGTTTGCAGTAGAATTGGACTTATTAACCTCCTTTGTGTCAACATGGCATGGTCAATTTACTACAGTATCATCATGAAACAGATGGATACAGATGTTTTGAACATATGCATCAATTGTGCACATTAGTGCAAACTCTCACCTTCACAATGTAAAGCAAACTGTTTACAAACGAACCATGAAATTCTTTCCTGCCAAAAGTGGCATAAAAGACATTACTTCATTGAAATGGAATTCAAACTGGCCATATCAGTTTGCAGGCCTTTTTGTTTGCTGCAATGTCACAGGAACACATTACACAGAAGAAATAAAGAAAAACAATAAATAAACAGTTAAAGCATAAGTTGTGAGAAATGTTTCAGTAGAGAATAATCACCTGACCTATTGAATAATGTGGCTTAATATCAGAAATAAAGTGTTACAAAGAGTAAAGTGAAAGTACAATGGAACTTGGGTTGAGAACCTTTGCAGTTTTCATTGCACATGAATGTATAACATAATCTTACCTCCCTATCACACCAAACTTGTTCTCAACCGTTCTTTCAGTCGTATGAAAATAATTTGGCTGTGGTCAGGAAATATGTCTAAAATAATGAGTTTAAACCAGTTTGTAATTAGTTCTACATGTTCTAACTTGTTCTCAATACTACCTCAGATAGTTCAACTCGTTGTAAAAACGTCCCTAGTAGGATTTGTACGACGGTTCCGTTCAAAGTACGTCCAGCTTGTCGTTAGTATGTTGTCAGTTGTTCTAATTGTAGAACGTGATGACCACGAGAACATTTTGAGCATGTTCCAAGTTCTAGAGGACCTACCTGTTCGAGTACATTCGACGCAGTTTGTAAATAGACCCCATGCCAAACGGTTCTAAGCACATCCAGTCTGTACATCCATGTTTGTACACAGTTGAAGCCCGTTTTTGAGAATGTACTGAGAACTAGTTTGGTGTGATAGTAGGGTTAGTCTTGCATAAAGTCTCTCAGTTGGCTTGGAAGACTATGTGACAGTAGAGGAAAATTAGCAGTACATAATCTTAGCAACTTTCTATTACAGATATTTTGATACATAAGACAATGTGCAAATTGGACTTGAACAAAGCTGATTACTGAAGCCGTGTTGAAACTATTAGGCAAATTTATCATGCAAATTAACCTCCAGTTTAAATAAAAATTCATGCTACTCTACTGAAGTGTATACTCAGTTGGTTGATGTGTGGATGTCAACAGACAATTAACGAAGAATAAAGTAAGTTTTGTTACATAAGAGAGTATTTGACAATTTCATTGAAGAATGTTCATTTTAGAATAAGTGAAAGGCAAATCAACATTTTCAAAATTGGGATATGGGGGAAGGGGACTACCATAATGAAATCATTTTCCTCAACTGTCTGCTATTATTAAAGATCATCATTAGGAATCCCACGATACGTTATCTTTAATTTCGATACAAGCAACAATATTTACCTCACGATACGATATAAACGATACAAGCAATGTAGCAACAAAAAAAAATGGGAAAACAAGATATTAGATGCCAAATGTACCAACTGCCGAATTTCGAACTCATGAAACAGTATGTAACTATGAATGTCCTCTTAAAACTCCATCCATGATTTACATTTTTATTTCAAGTTCTTTTTCCAAGTTTTTTTAATTAAACTTAACCGGATATCCTATACTAGAAGTACATTCTATGCCAGATTACTCAAGGAACAAAATGGAAAAACGGGAAGATACAATCTTACATTATTTAAACATGATTTTGCTGTTTTGGGAGTCTGCCCATCAGTCCAACATTACAGCTATTAGATCAATTTACCTGTCATTGCCATTTTCCCCAGTCCTCTCAGTTTCGGGAAAATTTTTTGACTTAAATCATATTTTGTTAGAACTGTCAAATTAGATAAATGCTTCATCTTCTGAAAAATTCAAAGCTCTATGAATAAAAGATTTTGGTGTTGCTCTACAAATTTTGACAAAAAAGTGTATATTTCCAATAGGAGGTTTTGTGATAGAAATTTGTTATAGAAAATATATGTATCAGCTCACAACATTATTATGTTTATTCATAACTGGTATTTTTTTTCTGATTGCAATTGCAAAATGTTTTTCAATTTTTGAGAATTTTTTTGAGAAAATTGTAATTTTGATGTTATGTAAAAAAGTTATATATTTGTTTAGCCTATATGTCAAAAAGATGCTGTACAACATGATGCTTACAAGTTGCTATAAGATGCCTGTATATATACGGGTACAATGTGCTTCACTGTTTTGATGTACTTCATCTTAAAAGCACATTTTGGCTCCTTACATAGTCCTGGGCTTTTAAGGTGACTGTTAACTTAATCTTGGAATTTTCAAACTCTTCCTGAGAAGTCGTTTTTATTATTTCACATATGCTTGTGCACTGTAATCATTACAAAGACATCAAAGAACAACAAAAAACTTTAGTTTGAGAAAAAAAAGTGCCGTTTAAAGAATTTGAGAAGATTTTTTTCTAGGAGTAGCCCGTGAAAAGCCGCTGATTCAAAATATCTGAACATTTCAGAAAATATACTTCAAACATATATCAAAAACGAAGGAGCAACGGAAATTTGAAAAATTACCCGATAAAAAAATTGGGATCAAAATAAGGAAAAAAGTACACTTCTCAAATTGTTTTTTTCTATTTTTTTTAATTTGTATGAGAGATTTTAAAATTCTAAAGCTCCTTCCATTTTGGGCTATATTAAAGGGATGTTTCAGAGAAATTAGAAAAAAAATGTTCAGGGACCTTTGCCCTGCTACTCTTTGTGTCAATTTTTCTGTCACATTTTCAGAGGACTCAAATTCCCATTCCAAAATGTTTACTGTTTCTATTTGCATTACCACAGTGAGCCTGGTTATATAAATGATAAGTGGAACTAAAAAATTGAGAGAAAATCCAACCAAAAGACAGTTAATTTTGATGGTCAGATTATACTCAAATGCCATGTGCTTCCTGGTTTCGGCCATCTTTGATTTTTTGATTAAGTTAGAAGTTACCTTAAATCCACGTCAGCTAGGTTCTTCAGGCTTGTGACTGAGCAATGTTTGACAGATAGAAGTTTTCTATATCCTTTACAAACTATGCTCAGTGGGATAATTATGTGTTTAGAATGTCAGAAGAGGTTTTACCAATAGAAACTGATATACAAGGCATTAACATGACAAAATGTCACCACCTAAAACAATTTGGTCAATTTAAAGCAAGTTGGAAAATACCTTTTGACCTTAAGAATGTTTTTGAAGATTTGAGCTTCTGGGATCTTGTAGATGATTTTGAAAAAAGAAATTGTTCAATCTGAAGCAAGTTAAAACTAGTTGCACACAAATCTTAAGTCAGATTTGAACTTCTTAGAACATGTAGATGATTTTGAAAAAAAAATTCGTCAATTTGAAGCAAGTTGAAAAAATACCTCTTTGACTTTTTTTGACATTGAGAAGGTCATTGAAGGTCAAATGTAAAGTCAGATTTGAACTTCTGAGAACATGTAGATGATTTTGAAAAAAAATTAAGTAAATTTGAAGCAAGTTGAAAAAAGACCTTTTTGACCTTGAAAAGGTCATTGAAGGTCAAATGTCAAATCTAAAGTCAGATTTGAACTTCTGAGAACATGTAGATGATTTTGAAAAAAAATTAGTCAATTTGAAGCAAGTTGAAAAAAGACCTTTTTGACCTTGAGAAGGTCATTGAAGGTCAAAGGTCAAATCTAAAGTCAGATTTGAATTTCTGAGAAAATGTAGATGATTTTGAAAAAAAAATTAGTCAATTTGAAGCAAGTTGAAAAAAGACCTTTTTGACCTTTTTTGACCTTCAGAACGTCATTGAAGGTCAAATGTCAAATCTAAAGTCAAATCTAAAGTCATATTTGAATTTCTGAGAACATGTAGATGATTTTGAAAAAAGAATTTAGTCAATTTGAAGCAAGTTGAAAACAGACCTTTTTGACCTTTTTTGACCTTGAGAAGGTCATTAAAGGTCAAATGTCAAATCGAAAAGGCAGATTTGAATTTCTGAGAACATGTAGATGATTTTGAAAAAAAAATTAGTCAATTTGAAGCAAGTTGAAAAAAGACCTTTTTGACCTTTTTTGACCTTGAGAAGGTCATTGAAGGTCAAATGTCAAATCCAAAGTCAAATCTAAAGTCATATTTGAATTTCTGAGAACATGTAGATGATTTTGAAAAAAAAATTTAGTCAATTTGAAGTAAGATGAAAAAATACCTTTTTGACCTTTTTTGACATTGAGAAGGTCATTGAAGGTCAAATGTCAAATCTAAAGTCAGATTTGAATTTCTGAGAACATGTAGATGATTTCGAAAAAAAAATTTAGTCAATTTGAAGCAAGTTGAAAAAAGACCTTTTTGACCTTTTTTGACTTTGAGAAGGTCATTGAAGGTCAAATGTCAAATCTTAAGTCAAATCTAAAGTCAGATTTGAATTTCTGAGAACACGTAGATGATTTTGAAAAATTTTTTTAGTCAATTTGAAGCAAGTTGAAAACAGACCTTTTTGACCTTTTTTGACCTTGAGAAGGTCATTGAAGGTCAAATGTCAAATCTTAAGTCAGATTTGAATTTCTGAGAACACGTAGATGATTTTGAAAAAAAAATTTAGTCAATTTGAAGCAAGTTGAAAACAGACCTTTTTTGACCTTGAGAAGGTCATTGAAGGTCAAATGTCAAATCTAAAGTCAGATTTGAAGGTCAAATGTCAAATCTAAAGTCAGATTTGAATTTCTGAGAACATGTAGATGATTTTGAAAAAAAAATTAGTCAATGTGAAGCAAGTTGAAAAAAGACCTTTTTGACCTTGAGAAGGTCATTGAAGGTCAAATGTCAAATCTTAAGTCAGATTTGAACTTCTGAGAACATGTAGATGATTTAGAAAAAAATTGAAGTCAGTCTAAACAGTATTTGTTAAGTTATAGGAAGTTGTAAGAAATTGTTACAGACGCCAACCGCCGGACGCCGGACGCCAACCTCCAACCGCCGGACGCCGTCGCAAAAAAAACGGAGACCATAACAATATGTCACCACTTTTGGTGGTGACATAAAAAAAAACGGAGACCATAACAATATGTCACCACTTTTGGTGGTGACATAATAAAAACAATATTGTACTGTCCATTCATCAGAACAATTCTGGTTTATTTTCATATATTTTTATTATTTTATTTATTAATAAACTGTTTATTGCCTCGTAATAAAATGTATTTACAATATATCTATTATTACATATTGTTAATACCATCTTTCTATATTACAAAATATCAAACATTAGGCCAAAACCTTGAATCATATATAAAATAAAACAAATGTTGAAACATTCACCAAAAGCTACTTAATGACAACAAATCTTAACATTTTTTGAAAATGAATATTACTTAGTTCACATCAATAATCTATACATATTAATATATGTAGTGCTTATATAATTGTATGTCAAAATATAATTTCACTCATCCTAGACTAAATTACTTTGGCCTCTGAAGGGGATGCATAATCCCTGAAGACATTTGTTCACATTGCCCTAATCTCTTACATTATACAAGGTCTCCCATTATCAAAATGCAAGAACTACACCGTAGACATACTACTGGCTCCACACTATCATGTAAATTGTAAACCCCTTGTGAAATGAACAAATTACACAGATAAAAGATGGTGTCTGTTCTCTGTTCTTGCTCCTTCTAAGGGTAGATTGATTTCATATAATCTATGTACATGTATATGTGCTGTACAGTATAACATCTTAAATATTTTGGAAATTGTCATGCATGTTGGTGGCAAGTTTAATTAATGAAAGCACCATCATTTCCCACACTATTTTCTCAAATTGTGACCTATAAATATAGACATTGGAGATTAGATTCTTTGAATATCAAGTTTTATACCAAGGGTTTAATTTCTAAATGTACTACAACACTAAGAGAAAGAGCACATAACCAGAACAAGTGAACAGCCTTTTCAAATGCATAATTTGTGTATAAAACTAGAAAAACAGCAACTCCAGGAAGTAGCAAATCCCACCAAACAAAACATATTTTGCTTATTAGTGGCCATCTTGAAATTCCTTCTTGAGCAGAGCTTGTTTGTCCCTAGGCATCAACATATAAAATGTAAACCATATCCATCAATTAGCATTTGAGTTATAAAAGATTACATTCTTTTTTAACGAATAATGGCAGCCATTTTGAATTTCATCTGCCATTTTGAAAATCTTTCTCGAACAGAGCTACTATGTCCCTAGGCATCAGTATATTCTAGGCATCAGCATATTCATTCACTGCTATTTGAATTTTCTGAAATATAGAGAATAGAGTCAAGGTACATATCCATTGACATTATCAGTTTTTCTTTCGTTTGAGGCTTTGAAAATAAGAGTTCAAATATACATGGGGTTTAACATGTAAACCTATGAGGAAAAAGACTGGTCCTTAACCTTTTTTGAGGAGTATATAAAATTTGAACCAAAACCATTAATTGGTATTTGAGTTATCAAAGATTACGTTTTTTACAAAAAATGGCCGCCATTTTGATATCTAGCAGCCATTTTGAAAATCTTCTTTGTCCCTAGGCATCATTGTATAAAATTTGAACCAAATCTGTCAACTAGTATTTGAGAAATATTTGCAAATCTCATTAAAATGTGACTTTATGAGATATATACAGGGTGGTCCAAAAAAAACTGGAACATTTGTTAATTGGACACAAAACTTTTATTTTTCCTCTAAAATGCACCAAAATTTCACTGAGTATAGTTCAGTCACTTATCTCTCTGATGTAAAGTTTATAGGTGCAAACCACAAAGTTAATGCATTGAACTAGTCAATGTTTAATATGATCCCCTTTTCTTAAATATACACTTGTCAATTTTGCAGCTACTTTTCAAGTATTCTTTATTTCAAAGCTTTAATGAACATGTTGATTGCTATACACATTTTATAAAATCATATTTAGTTGACATGAGGTATTAACATCTATGGTTTACTGGAAAACTATTGTGTTATTGTCAACTTAAGAATACCCCAAATCATTATTTTTATTTAAGAGTAGGAAAAAAAGAACATGTCAGAGATGAGTGATTGCATAACCCATACAGCTACTAAACTGACAAAATCATTGTTTCCACTTTTCAGTAGAGGGGACACTGACTAGTTATTTACAAGGCTTTATTAAAGACCACCTCTAAGCACATAATATAATATATCATTTGTGTTTTGGGAAACTCCTTTATGATATTGATATACATATATTGATTTATCCCACGATTAATGTGTTATCTGTACAATAACAGCTATTGATATTTCTGATATTATTGAAATCCGTGTGATATTTTCCAGAAAATCGTTTATCAAACTCATATGCGTGTGATATCGTTTATCTCACGCATATCCGTGTGATATCACATTTGCACTTCGCGCCACAATATTGTTGGAAATTAGGTCAGATAATTTATTCTCTTTTGAGAAAATAGGTCCGTTAATTTATTCTCTTTAAGTTTCATTGGTGTATTGAATTACGATTGTGTATATAATTTGATTAGAAAGCTGCTTAATAACGATTAAAAAATGAAATTTATGACGAACTATATCATGTGCAGAAAGTAGTGCATATTACTGCGTAGTGAGTAAAGTACAAATCAAAAAGGCCGGTGCAAATTCGTCTGACGAAGAATTGGCGAATTTTAATCATGGGATAAACCCAATATCACATAATTTCTCGTGATATCATTTTATCGCCTCGTAGATATCAAATATCAACACTCATTCGCTTCGCTCACTCGTGTTGATATTTGATATGAATGATGTGATATTCTGTATATATTCAATGAATATTATTCATATTAGAACAAGAAAGGGGAGGGGGTTCATTTACCAGTCAAAACAGACTGCCCTGGCCTCTTTCTCTTTCTTTCAATCAGTATTATATCCAACAATAGCCATCAAAATATGCTTGATACCCATCAATTTGGGTAAAAAATGTTGAATGTGTTCATATATTTGATCTTCCAAGGCAAACATATAAGTAGTTTGTTCAGGCAGAATTTTTAATCAAGATGGCTTGGACAAAATCAAACGAACAGCTTCAACTTGTAATTCAGGAGGAAGGGGGTCATATCAAACATTCTCTAGTTTAATGCACTTTGTTGTTTGCACCTATAAACTTTACATCAGATAAATAAGTGATTGAACAATACTCAGTAAAATTTTGGTGCATTTTAGAGAAAAAATAACGATTTTGAGTTCAATTATCAAATGTTCCAATTTTTTTTGGACCACCCTGTACATATATACTATATAGAAGAGTTTATTTGACCAGTCACCAGACAACTTTACAGTTCACAATTTAGTCGGCTTACTTTATCTATACCAAATAGTGCTAATGGAGTCATAAAAGTGCTATTAGTTTTATTTTCAAAGTCAATATGAAATGTTATTATAAATCATTCAAAAACATGAGTTAGATATTCATGCTTAAAACAGTAAAAACAAAAAATGTACATTTTGTTACTGTATAAAATAAATATGTGTTACTATAGTACATGAATACTACTGTCAGGAAGATTCATTTTCTGAATATTATAATTCTTTTTGAGATGCCCAAAACCTAATCTAATGCAAATGCAACAATTATTCAAGTCAAAGATTTTTGAGTTGCACAATTTTACCTATGTATCATTTGAGACATATGTTATGGAAGTTAACTGTAATTGTTAACTGTTAAATGTAATTGCCATAATTATTCACACTTCATCAGTCACTCGTTACTTAGCCACAAGACAATAATACTAGTCAACATCTCAATCAGATTTTCAAAATTCAGAAAATGCCTTTCTGTGTTAATAATACAATGTATAGCTACAATTTTGGGAACCTACTTTTTTTAAAATATACATTATGTTCCCATTAATTTTATTTTTACAATAGCTGACTACACTTTTCAAAATATATTATTCAAATAGTTACAACTGCACGTATGAGTTCTACTCCTAGAATTAGTAAATCCTTCATTTTTAAACATTCTCCAACACATGTCTTATTTTTTCAAATTAAAATATAAAGGTTGGTTGATTGCATGTTGGGTCAAAATTACCAAAAACTACAAAAATATACAACTTTTATATAACTGAATGACACTAAAAGGGTGCAGGGAGGAACTTTTACAGTGCAGAGGGGCTTGTCAATAACTCTTCATACATCAAAAGACAAATTCATCTTTTCTACATTGAAAGGGATTCATTTTCATTAAGGTAGGCCAATTAGAACTGACACCATGCATATAATGGTCCCAGTATAAACCCACCTACCTACCTTCAATGGAATATATACATGTATCCATGATAGTCTATCTTGTTTAGGTTCTTTCTCTTGATACTTGTCAACTCAGAGGAAAATGAAAGTAACTGGTGGTGAATCTGGTTACAGAATCATCCTGCTCCTAGGTTATAGACTAGATATAATATTGTGAGGCGTTTTACCCAATTTCCTGACCATATTGACTTTTTTTTGAATTGACATTATCTGAAATATGCCTGTGAATTTGTGTCCCATAATGCATCAGATTAATCAGACAATCTGATTAATCTTTTAAATACACTTACCATGACACACATGTTCAATACATTAGACATTTAGGATTATTATAAATAGTTCTATATTCACATGCATTAATATATATATATGTGTTCCAATTCAGTGTTGATATCATCCAAAATCATCCCATCACATTCAATGTGGTGCACAACCTTATATGGGATAGTTGTGAAGATATTGGAACACACATACTCCTGGGTATATTCCTTTATATGTTGATTTATGCACACTATCCAGTTGGCACTTTGCTTCACATACTCCCTAATAATTACATGGCAGTATAGGTGAAAAATCCAGACACAAATACAATCCTTGTGTGATTGATAACATTGTCATATACATCCAACATAAGTTACATTTGCATAACACTGTCTAGATATGTGCTATTTGGAATACATGTCCCATACAGCTTGAATTTGCAATACATGGATCAGATATGTTGCATTCAGAATATTTGCAACTGTATATTGCATTTGCAATCCACAACCAGGATATGTTATATATGCAAATACAGCCCAGATATGTTAGATTGCATTGTACAGCCCAGATATGTGGTGTTTTCATATAATTTCCAATAAACAGCAGTATTAACCATTTCCAGTCCTAGCTACTAACTTTGCACCCACTGTGCAGGCACCCATTGAGGTTCAACCTCTAAACGGTTAATGTTTGATACTAGTTCATCAAATGCTTTATCCATATCATAGTTCACTATAAACAGGTCAAAGTAATGACCAAAATTGTCCTCCATTTCCCTGGCCTTTTCTATAATTTCTTTAAGTTCATCCATCTGAAATTTTAAACATTATTTTAAATTGAGCTCTGTAGTATAAAAATAAAATATATATAAAAATCATTATGTTACATAACACTTTCTTGAAATGTTGAATGAATACAGATCAGGTCAACAATAAAACAAACAGAATGAACTAAATAAAATATACATGTACGAGTAGATGCCATTAACTGCTAAAACTCACAATGACAGTCAGAATACAGTTGAGTGTGCTTCTTGTTAAACATGGGTATATGTTACACGTTTTGCAAATTTATCTTTATTTTACAATGAATAGTACAAATGTATGGATTTTCCACTTACAGATACTTTATCACCAGCTGCTTCTCGATTCCTTCGTAACTTTTCTAGGTTAGGTGGCGCCACAAACACAACATAGGGCTTTAGATCTGACACCTTTAGAATCTTTAAAGACTGAAAATAGAAAAAGTATAAATTGTTCAAACATATACCTTAAGTTTATTCACTTCTTTCTTTCCACTTTCATTTTTATTCACGTTCATTTAACAATGTAAGCTAAATTATCTAAATTCATCTTTTTAAATAAATTAAAGTGACTTTATTCATTTGTTATTCTCTACTTTCCATTCTATTTTCCATATTTACCTGTGGATGTAAGTTGAGCACACATATTTTTCCAGCACTGACTACCTCACGAATTGCCATGAGACTAGTGCCATATAAATTTTTCTCATATTCCCCATGTTCCACAAACTTATTTTGTACAATCTCCTGCTCAAACTGATGTCTCGGAACAAAGTGGTAATCCTTGCCATTTCCCTCCCCAGACTTCCTTGGTCGACTAGTGTCTGAAGGTAAACATAAAGGTGGTTAGTGAGCTGCTGTTAGCCTAAAACTTGGACTTTACACATAAGACCTTTACACATAAGGCGCTAGGTAGTCTTCATTTTATTATATATTAGAATTGTTATAAGTAAAAAAGAAACACATAGGAAAATTGTATGTTCACTGACATCAAGTTGTCAGTTGTCTAATATTTATTTACTAATTAATGAATCATGAATCACTCATCATTCAATGATAACACTTGATTTCCTTGCTAGGGAATTGAATATGGGTTTATACCAAGGTCAATATGATATAGGGACCGCGGTTAATATCATATTTCTGCTTGCCATAAAACCCATATTCAATCTCTCCCAGTAAGTATATCAATACTTACGAGGTACTGCAGCGGCGAATCTGTCTATGTCACTCTCCATTAGTCGTTGTCTTAGTTCATGACGTCCTACATTTGGTGGACCAATCAAAACCACTGGCCTTTTTCTGTTGGGTTCCGGATAATAGAGGGCAACTTCTTCATATGATAGAATCTCCTCAGATTCAAGATCTTTAAGCAAAAAATACTTTCATTTATAAATCAGTTATTCTTCATGCCACTTGCCCAACATTATAAACAGGGATGAGAATATATCTCATTCAGTGATGATTTTATCATTTTCTTATCTTTTTATTAACATCATTGCAATTTAAATCTTGCCATATACAATAGAGGAAGTTCTTCTTGCATGTATACTTGAAATTAACATACGAGAACAACAATTATAATGTCTGAAGCATTTGAGGAACACTCAACATCATTACACAATTATACTCAATATCACACAATTATACTCAATGTCACACAATAACATTCAATGTTTCACAGTCATACTAATTAATATTGCTCAATAATACTGAATTGTTATTCTACAATGTACTCACCATCATTTCCTCCACTGTTGTACATCTTTTTCTTCTTTTTCTTGCCTTTTCCTGCACATATTCTTTTCTTCTTCTTCCTCTGTTTCTCTTCCTGTTGCATTAGGTCTTGCTTCAGAGATTCTCTCCTATAAGAGAGCAAAGATGCTGACTGTATTTCATTAATCTATTTACACGAAACACTTCAACAGAGTTTATATCATGTCAAATATATAGTTTGGGTGGATTAAAGGAATATTCCTTGTCAAACCATCTCTCTCCTCATATGGTAGCTATAACCACATATATGCTTGCCATGTTTAGCAAAACACGCAAAAATGTTTTGATATGGTCAAATATGATCACTTAGAAATGTGATTCTCAATTCCAGTAAGCTGCCATCTTTTAAAATTTCACACAGGAAGTGATGTCATCGACTCTCAACTTTGCATATAGCATTAGGTGAGGAGCTATTAAGAATTACAAAACCAGCTAAATATTCTTTTTCAACTTTGTATCTTATTTAATCCTTCTGAAAATCTCTTCTTTTATTCTAAGTTGACAAGCCCTGAAAATATTTTTGCACAGAAAGTAATGATCACTTGTCAAGAAGTGATTTTATGCTACTTTCCTATACTGTTATGGGCAAGGTTATAGAAGTTGAGAGTTGATGACATCACTTCCTGCAAGAAATCTTAAAAGATGGCAGCTTACTGGAAATAAGCACTAGCTTTTTAAATGATCAATATTGACCATATTAAAACATTTTCCCATGTTTTGCTAAATATGGAAACTATATATATGATTATAGCTACCACATCAAGAGAGAAAGGGTCTGGCAAGGAATATTCCTTTAAGTTACTTTAAACAGAATATGACAACAAAGTCAGTCATTAACTCTTAAAACTATTTTTGCACAAAAGAAAGTTCTACTTACTGTTCTTGAAAGTTTTTACTAGGGATGAGTCCAGCGAGTGCTTGGTCTTCTTCACCTTCCCTATAGGCCTGCCACCAGTTAGCGTCCTCTTGATTGATCACATGCAAGATGTCCCCTTTCTCAAAAGATATCCCCAGCTCTCGGCATGGAATGTAGAGGTCATCTTCAGGGTCGTAACCATAGTGAGCCTTAATGTGCATTTCTGTGCCAACTCTTGGTGGCTCTTGGGTACGGGGCATAAGGAGGGTGTTGTCAGGGTTTGGCACAATTAAGAAGGTTAGAGTTCCTGTTAAGTTGGCCTGGAATCATAAATTACAGATTTATAATAGTAGTGAAATATAGCATTGCAGAATATAGCAGTGCAGAATGGAGAATATCGCTGTGCAGAATACAGCATTGCAGAATATGGCAGTGCAGAATATAGCAGTGCAGAATGGAGAATATCACTGTGTAGAATGGAGAATATCGCTGTCCAGAATACAGCATTGCAGAATATGGCAGTGCAGAATATAGCAGTTCAGAATATAGCAGGGCATAATATAGCAGTGCAGAATACAGCAGTGCATAATATAGCAGTGCAGAATACAGCAGTGCAGAATACAGTAGTGCATAATATAGCAGTGCAGAATACAACAGTGCATAATATAGCAGTGGAGAATATGGCAGTTCAGAATACAGTAGTGCATAATATAGCAGTGCAGAATACAAGAGTGCATAATATAGCAGGGCATAATATAGCAGTGCAGAATACAGCAGTGCAGAATATAGCAGCGCAGAATATAGCAGTGCAGAATATGGCAGTGGAGAATATGACAGTGCAGAATATAGCAGTTCAGAATATAGCAGGGCATAATATAGCTGTGCAGAATACAGCAGTGCATAATATAGCAGTATACAATATAGCAGTGAAGAATATGGCAGTTCAGAATACAGCAGTGCAGAATGTCCTAGAATTCAGTTTTAGCAAAGAGTAGATGGAATTAACCTTCAGGCTTGATATTACAGAATCTTAAATTAACGCAGAATTTCACATGGTATTGACATATTTTCTGAAAGTATGAATAATCAGCCATACATTGATGCCATTCCCCATGATTTTATCAGAAATGAGGTGTAAAGAAAAGTTTAGATATCCTTTATTGATGGAAAACTTCAACTTTATAAGAACCTTTGATTCAACATCAGATGAAGACATTTAAATAAATAATTCATGACTCCAATAAAATGAGCAAAAATAAAATAATTTGAAATTGGATCATTTTTTAAACGGTGATACAGTGAAGGATGTTCTGTCATCAAGTAGGTGCAAATCGCTGCAGGAAATCGACCATAAAGAAAGAAACATGATATTAGCTGGGTAATACCAGTCTTAATTTGCATTAGAAATGGCATCATTACCTTACATTATTCACTAATTTCACTTGTAGAATTCAGTATTTCAATTTGCAGAAAACTATGAGTGAGATTCTGTCTACTGGGGGATTTCTAGTTTTGTATTGTAAAATTCTTGATTGATGAACTATGATCAGCAATGCAGCCTGATGTTTCTGTTTCTGAGTTGTAAATAAATAAACAGTCTAAGAAGCTTTACTTCAGTTTCATAACTTCTGGATGAACTTGAACTCTGAATGAAACAAAGTAATAAGTTCGCAGATAGTTCACACACATTGTGGTAAGACAGAATGAACCATGTTCATAATACTGAGAGTGACCATTTATTGCATTCAATAATGTAAGACTCAAGGCATTTATAAGGGTTCTGTCTCTAAAATACCTCTTTATTTTGTTTCATTTGAATTTCTAGCAACAGGTTAAATAAAATTATTTACAACAACAGACAAAATTCCTTAAAGCTAAGTTCACACCAACAACGAATGCCACGCTTTAAATCAGTGAGCAAAGTGCCATCATTTTTGTTCACTTTTCCAAATACTATATCACGATCTCCTAAGTAATGTTACGCTCTGATAAGCTCCTACGAATTAGTTGTCGCTTTGGGGGATGAATTGTTTCCTGACTTATTACAGTTCCTCACACTTTGATCAGGCTTTGTTACGCTTGAAATCATGCTTTGATAAGCTTTATTGTGCTTTATTACACTATGATGCGATAATGACGCTTTAAATCAGGCTCTGATACGATTATCAAGCTCTGTCGTGCATCGTTACGCTCTGTGAAGCTCTGTTACACATTGGAAAATGCCGAGATCGCCGATTTCACGCCGCTTTTGATCAAGAGCCTATATAAAAATGCAGCAGATCAATAAAATCATTGCATCTTTGACTCCAGAACACGATGGCAGAAGAACAAAATCCAGAAGTTCCAGATATACCAGAGCATGATCTATCTGAAGAAGACATGATGTGGTACTCAAGTCTCAGCGCTATATGTCCAAAATTTTTAAACAGTTTAAAAATTTTTGGCACTTTTGCCGAATGTCCCGCTTTAATCCAAGCTTTTGCACAATCTATTACGACCCTGACGCTTTAATGAAGTTTTGTTACACTTTGGTGCCGCTTTGCACGCCGCATTAAAGTGCCATCAAAGGGCCGTTGATGTGAACTTAGTGTAAGTGCCATCAAAGGGCCGTTGATGTGAACTTAGCTTACCATAGAAATAAAACAAAACTGGAGAAAATTGCCTAATGTAATGAACTCCTGTAACTTACCATAAAGTCGAACACATCATTGACTGTCTTGCCCCTCATGTCTTCCCCGTTGATCTCTAGTATCTCGTCACCTTCATGTAGCAGTCCACTCTTGTCAGCAGCGCCACCTTTTACTATCCTGCCTATGATAACTGACTCTCCATCATTTCTAACTGTAGCACCCTACAACACAAACAAAGTATTTGGAATGTTACTCTTAGTTTAATTTTTATTTTAATGTTGGTCAGTTTCTATAGGATATTTTCATTCCTAATTAGATTGGAAATTCAAAATTTTAAAATTTCATTTTCCCACACGGAGTAATATAAGTCACTTCCTCTTCGACTTTATATATAAGCTTATGTCCTGCAGTGAGTTTACTTAGTTCCTGTGACTTTTTCGACTTAGAAATGTCTAAAATCATTCATAATTTTGAACATCCCAAGTGGGTGAGATGACAATTAGATTTCAACTGGGTACAAGGCAATGTTCAAATTCTGAACTGTATGTAGCATCTGCTCCAAAACTGAGGAGATCACTGGACTTATGATTAAGGACTTTATCCTTTTTGCATACACAAGAGAATACCATCATAGAATCATATGTCTACATGTTTTCTAAAAAACAGAATTTATAGAAACAGTTACATCCATCATTTGTTACAGATGCAGACGCCGAGCACTGTTCAGAAAAAAAAAAGTTGGAGAATACATATGACAACTACTTCTGTGGTGACATAAAATCTGAAACTTCTCCAAAATTTAAATTCATAAAATCTGAGTAAATTATGGTTTGAAAGTCACTTACAAGAGGATCTGTAGTTTTCTGTAGGCGTATTATTTTAATATTATCTTCTCCATACTGTGAGGCTCTTTCAAGTACAATGTCATCGGCTGTTAGAGTTGGAGGAAGACTAGCACGCTGGGCAATTTGATCATGGGCCAACATAAGGCTCTGAAATCAGAATAAATCAAAGATGAATTACCAATATCTTTTTACTATAGTTTTCAGTTTTCTACTGTTATACTCAGGATTTGTGTCTAGAATAGACATTTAAGTAATGTGTTTTAAATAGATCGATTGGAGGTTAAAAGATACACATTGAAGAACACTTCTCATAATTCTGAATTAAACATTCCAGTAATATATATATCTTTTATTGACTCTTTAGATGTTATGACATATTAGTCATTACAAAATGAAATTTTACGAAAATAAATGTATTTATATTGAACAAGTTTGCAATTTTCGAAGTTCTTATAGTTTATTAATCCACTTATACAAATACATTCTTTATCTACTGAAACTCAAATCAAGGAAAACTTGCAGAACAATAAACAGAAATCAGCAAACAAATATATGCAAATTTGTGAAAGCCTTTTTGTTTACAGCATTACCAGTTCTGTTAGATCGGCAGGGTAGAAACACCAACGTATTTTCTTTGCTGGCTCTTATAGCATATAAAATTGCCATTTATTTTCACCTGAATTCAGTGACTTAGTCTCAGAACTTTCAATTAAACGAGACAGAATAAGCTAAAAAAAACTGCTTCAAAACCTACCTACTTTTTTATGCTTATCTTATAGGAAGCATCAATTAATTAAGACTTTAACTACCAACTACCCCATTCACAAATTCACTGTTGATTTGTTTGATATAACATGAGAAAATAAATATAACAATACTGTTGAGGAAAACATAATATTAAGACCTAATACTAAACAACAAAAACCAAGTGAGTGATTGCATGTGAGCTAAAAATGACACTTACTAACTGTGGTCCATATGTTAGTCCATGGTGCAATATGAATGGAGTGATATCCCTGTAGGCCCCACGTTTTTACTTTGATTTGAACATAGAGAAAAAAATACTTGTATCCTTACCCATCCTATGCAATAGAATTCATTCAAATCTACACTGCAAAGAAGATCACTTACTGTTTCCTTCAGACCATCTAGAACCACTTGAAGATGTTACACCATGAATTATAAACTGATCTTTTACTTACCGTTTGCCATAAATAAGTCAATGGGGTCATGTTTGGCTCATTCCTAATAAATATCCTTTATTTACTTGGGACATGTGGAATTTTAGGGGTCTTTTAGTGTGAATTTCACAACACAGTTCTGTTCAAATTAGCAGTGTTGAAAATAACACAGAACAACTGCTCCCAGGGCCTAGTCTAAATAATAACTAGCCATTGGCAAGATCTTCCTTCAATATTCACTGCTCATACCAGAAAAGCAATCATTCCTTCAGTGTTCAAAAACTTTTCTCTTGTATGTACTTTTCTTACTCTATTATTGTGCTTGGAAAACCTATTACATGTAAAAAGTCAAGTAATCCACTTCAAATTTGATGAAAAACATGCAATATATCAAGATGAATTTTAGCTGATGTATTACAGTACATGAACCTCTGTTTCAATCAGTATTTCTCCAATGTTAAACTGTACTTCCAGCAGCAAGCTCTTGATGAAGTTTGCAGATCCAGAATATTGAGCACTTCTTGTCTTAGAAGATGTTATGTGATTGACTTATCTCTCTCTGTCACATATACCTCTCAAAGGCAGCTAATATCTGCACAAGTGATAACATTTCTAATGGTGCCTAACTCAAATAGCATCCTTTGGAAGATAATAATGTCCCAGAGAATAAGCTCAAAAAGAAGATATCAAGGTTATTTTTACAAACTTTGCAATTTACAGATTGATGTACATACAACTTTGATTGGTTTCAGGCTCCAAAAATTTAACAGCATTCTTAATATCCATTTTCATTTACCAGTCTCCCTAATTTGGCCAAGAACATGTATTTCTGAACTGTCTAAATCTGGGAGATAATGAGTACAGGAGCACCAGGTGTAGCACTCATCAGTGAAATCTCAGGGTGGTCGTGTTTTGAATGGAAAAGAGAAAAAATGTGGAATCAGGGAGGAATGAAAAAAAATGTACATTCTAAAATCTCCATATAATGTCCGAATACCCCCAAAATTAGTTCAAACAGATTGAAAAGATTTGGGAAATGTTTCACTGTAGAATATATACCTTAATGGATACTAGTAAAGTGTTCTAAGGGTTGCATGGTTTTAACAGTTGTTGTATATCTGTATCTCACATAGAGATTCTGTAACTGTATATGTAACTATGGTAACAGTATCTCAGATACCTGGGGTACACTTCTACTTAAAATATCACATCTGCTTATGCTTATTCTACTCTAATTCTCTTAACAATAAGAATAAAGTATTTAATATTTTTGACAATCCCATTTAATATTAAGAGTGTATAGTTCAAGCCTGCTTCGTTCCTTGATAATCCACTCTTATTACATCATTTCATGTTTCAAATCATGACCTTCCTGACATTTCATTCACCACCGAGCTTCCGCCATCAGTTGCAGGATGCAGACTAGTCACATGTTCAATGATACACTATTTTTGATAAGATAACCTTTATAATCTACAAAGAGATTTAGCACAGAACTAATAAAGATGGCTAGCTGGTTGTTTATAAGCAATCAAATATTCTATGATACACCAGTCATAGGCATGTTATTACTAAAATAAACAGTTTCTAGAACTAAATGGACTGATAAAATGTTTCTCTATATATTTATATATACGTTAATAACTGAAGCTAAACATATGATGATAGAAAATCAGCAATTCCAAATCTGTAGAATATTCTAAAATCAAGGATGCCTAATTTTCAAGATGATTATCCAGATCATTTTACTCAAATGACCCTCTCTAAGATATCACTGGTCAAAATGACAAAGATTTCAGCAAAATAATATATTATGAACTGCACATCTCAAATTCATATACTTACATTTAATTCAGAAACTCCAAATATAACTTCCCTTCAGTCAAAATATTCCTTATACTGTAGAAAATGAACAAGGCTAGCTAGAGAGCTCCACAAGATGAGATCATAATATTTACTGGCTGCCTCCTAACTATTCCTGAATTTGACATGACAAACAAGTTTGAAGTTCACATGGTAGAAATAGAAATACATTTCCCACATCATGTTATGATAATGTTTTCCAGTGCAGTAGGCAGAACAGAGTGTATATGGCTCAGAATAATTCTTGTTTTTAGATATCATGATGAAATAATTGCCAATTTGGTTATGTTTATGTTCAGTTGGCCATGTCCTTAAAGATAAATTATTATCCACAAGTGCTAGACTTCATATATACTCAAAGATATATCACTATCCACAAGTGCTAGACTTCATATATATTCAAAGATATATCATTATCCACAAGTGCTAGACTTCATATATGCTCAACGATATATCATTATCCACAAGTGCTGGACTTCATCTAGACTCAAAGATATATCACTATCCATAAGTGCTGGACTTCATCTATACTCAAAGATATATCATTATCCATAAGTGCTGGACTTCATCTATACTCAAAGATATATCACTATCCATAAGTGCTGGACTTCATCTATACTCAAAGATATATCACTATCCATAAGTGCTGGACTTCATCTATACTCAAAGATATATCACTATCCACAAGTGCTGGACTTCATCTATACTCAAAGATATATCACTATCCATAAGTGCTGGACTTCATCTAGACTCAAAGATATATCACTATCCACAAGTGCTGGACTTCATCTATACTCAAAGATATATCACTATCCACAAGTGCTAGACTTCATATATACTCAAAGATAAGTCACTATCCACAAGTGCTAGACTTCATATATATTCAAAGATATATCACTATCCACAAGTGCTAGACTTCATATATGCTCAACGATATATCATTATCCACAAGTGCTGGACTTCATCTATACTCAAAGATATATCACTATCCACAAGTGCTAGACTTCATATATGCTCAACGATATATCACTATCCACAAGAGCTGGACTTCATCTATACTCAAAGATATATCACTATCCACAAGTGCTGGACTTCATCTATACTCAAAGATATATCACTATCCATAAGTGCTGGACTTCATCTATACTCAAAGATACATCACTATCCACAAGTGCTGGACTTCATCTATACGCAAAGATATATCATTATCCACAAGTGCTGGACTTCATCTATACTCAAAGATATATCACTATCCACAAGTGCTACTTCATCTATACTCAAAGATATATCACTATCCACAAGTGCTGGACTTCATCTATACTCAAAGATATATCATTATCCACAAGTGCTGGACTTCATATATACTCAAAGATATATCACTATCCACAAGTGCTGGACTTCATCTATACTCAAAGATACATCACTATCCACAAGTGCTGGACTTCATCTATACGCAAAGATATATCACTATCCACAAGTGCTAGACTTCATATATACTCAAAGATATATCACTATCCACAAGTGCTGGACTTCATCTATACTCAAAGATATATCACTATCCACAAGTGCTGGACTTCATCTATACTCAAAGATACATCACTATCCACAAGTGCTGGACTTCATCTATACGCAAAGATACATCACTATCCACAAGTGCTGGACTTCATCTATACTCAAAGATACATCACTATCCACAAGTGCTGGACTTCATCTATACGCAAAGATACATCACTATCCACAAGTGCTGGACTTCATCTATACTCAAAGATACATCACTATCCACAAGTGCTGGACTTCATCTATACTCAAAGATATATCACTATCCACAAGTGCTGGACTTCATCTATACTCAAAGATACATCACTATCCACAAGTGCTGGACTTCATCTATACGCAAAGATATATCATTATCCACAAGTGCTGGACTTCATCTATACTCAAAGATATATCACTATCCATAAGTGCTGGACTTCATCTATACTCAAAGATATATCACTATCCACAAGTGCTACTTCATCTATACTCAAAGATAGATCACTATACTCAAGTGCTGGACTTCATCTATACGCAAAGATATATCACTATCCATAAGTGCTGGACTTC